TGTTGACGCGACAAGCCTTACTGGCTGTGTGGGGTGGTAGAGAGTCACGACACATTTATACTTACGCGATCTGACCCAAAAACATTAGTTATGATCGCGAAAACCTACGCTTAATTACACACGTTTCTGTTTCATAAGGTGGTGTTGATGATGATAATGATGACGATCGAGATCGAGATGTCATCACGGCCATAGCCGTTGATGCCGCATCTCGCCAACACTTTCCACCTTTGTGTCAGCTCGAGCCATCCGCTTCACAGCGTCCTGCGAGAGAGAAAAAAAAAACTAATTTGTCTATGAAAATAACCTGCCTGTGTGCTTTGCCAAGAGCACAGTCAAGCGGAAGATGGTGTGCAATTGCCCCCGAAGCAAACACGCGCCATGTAAGAAAACGGCAATCGTCCATTGCCACTAAGTGGCAGTGACGACAACCCACAGTGCTTGTGCCAGGCTAGGTGCACTTTTGAGGTCACGTGAAGCGTCGAAGGCGCGCTTTGCTGGCAGGTCACGGAACAGACCCGGGTGGAATGGGTTTACTGAGCAAGATGACTGACGGATGCACCGCGTGTCTTCTCCTCACTGCACCAACTCACTGTGTTTTAGCCGCCCGGCGCTCCGCTCGTTGTTGTGAGCTTCGCTCCTCCGCCCTCCACTATTGCTGGAGGACGACTGCCTCCAACTGCCCCGTAGCGTACGTCAATAACCTCAAATGAAATAAAACACCACCATCATCACCACCATTACCACCATCATCACCACCATCACCACCATCACCATTACCATCACCATTATCACCACCACCATCATCACCACCATCATCAACAACAACCGCCATTCGCCACTAAGTGGTGGTGACGTCACCACGACCCTTGTGCCAGACTATGTGCACCTTGAGGCCATGTGAAGTGTCGAACGCCCGCTGGCAGGAGGTCACGGGGCAGACCCAGGTGCCATGGGTCGACTGACTGAGACGACTGGCCGATACACCACCTGTGCCCCCTACTATGCCAACTTGCTGTGCTTTAGCCACCCGGCGCTCCACTCGTTGTTGTGAGCGTCGCTCCTCCGCCCTCCGTTGTTGTTGGAGGGCGACTGCCTCCAACTGCCCAGTAGCGTCATTCACGAGCCTCCTCCACAGAGGCCGATCTTGACACCGCTGGTACCGACATCGGCAAGTCAACTCAGCTCCACATCCTCCTGTACCACATCACTCCATCTCTTCTCTAGCCCGTGCCTCGCCCGTTTAGCCCCCTCGAACCGTTCGAACAAAAGCTGTTTCGGCATGCGGTGACTGGGCATGCTGGCTACATGACTCAGTCAACGCAGCCTTGCCTGCTGGAGGAGCTCACCGATGGGACTTTGTCCAGATCTTTCAAGGATTTGTGATCTCCTCACACAATCAAGCCTGGTTAAACCCAGGATTGATCGTAGGCAGGCCAGCATGAATGCTTCTAAACAAGTGTAGATGTTCCATTAGGGGGGTCCACGTTTCACAAGCGTAGAGAAGGAAGTGAATGACCGTGGCCGAGAAGACCTGAAGCTTCGTGCAGAGCGACAGACCAGGTAGCTTCCACACAGCGTTATGCAACTGATGAAAAGATATTGTCGCTCGACTGATTCGGAGTGAGATCTCTGCTGATAAACCGGAGCCGGTCATGAGCACACTGCCCAGGTATGGGAAACTTTCCACTCTCTCCACAACTGCCCTAATCATCATTATCACCACCATCACCACCATCATCACCACCATCATCAACATCAAAGCCACCCCGTATAGCCTTAACAGACAGTTCAGGCACGTGCTGTTAGTGAGCACCTATGAAAGCCGACAAAGCACACGAGGGGATGGCCAGCACCATACCTGGACGCTTTTATCTCCCTAGTGCTGATCTTTACACACCACATCAGGTACTCATTTGCGGCTGAGTCGACCTAAGGGAGGCCCTGGACCGGTTCAGATAATAGCCACTGATTCTAGATTTGAAGCTTTTGTGACTGCAATGATTCATACTCTTTGGTTTTTTCGGTAAAGTCACGTAGGTAAAATAATTTAGTTTTCTTTTATTTTACCTACGTGACTTTACTGAAAAAACCAAAGAGTATAATAGCCACTAATGTTGGCCGTGAGCGGGAATCGAATCCGGATCACCGGGTTCGTAGCGCAGCATGCTAACAACTACGCTAGCGCTCCCTATAACACCACCACCACATACATGATCCCTTTCAATCGAAAAGAGCATTGACCCGCAGGCACACAAACAAATTCCCAACACTGATGTCTTATCACACAGGTGACAAGGTAATGTCAAACATTGTACACTGGCCAGTCCAAGGTTCATTGGTTCAACACTCGCGATTGTGACATAGCGAATGCACCACCCCCAGAGAATGGCTTCTAATGCCCTCTCTCATGAAATTAACGAAAAATATTAGCGCTGCTTATCTGCTTATTTAAGTCACCGCGATTACTCCATGATATCTGCGACAGAGGTATTGGTCCTAGGGGCCGTCCATAAATGACGTCACGCACCTGGGGGGGTCAGACATTTGTGACGATGTGTGACGAGGGGGGGGGGGGGTTTGAGAAATGTGACGTCACATATAAATGCGCAACTTTAAATAAATATAAACACTTTCTCCTTAATGAAATAGACTTTTTAATCAATATTTTCTCCTACAACATCAGAGTGCAGCGGCACATTAAATAAGCACTACAATGACAATAGTTCAAAGCGATTTGAAGTATGTTCTATTTTCAAAATGGAAATATGGTTTTGGGGAGGGGGAGGGCAGAGCTTTGTGACGTCATATTTGAGGGGGTGTCTGACTTTTTGTGACGCCGTGTGACGACGGGGGGGGGGGGGGGGGGTCAAAAATCGTCCAAAATCGCGTGAAGTCATTTATGGACGGCCCCCTAACGTGTTTCAGATCTATCTTGTGTTCGCAAAAGCGGTCTGAGACATGTCGTTTCGTTTCCCCAATGTAACTGCTGCCGCAGCCACAACTCAGTTTGTAGACACCCGGGTATTGCATATCAGGAATCACATCATTTACAGATGGGATCAACTCACGGATTTTGTGTACTGTGTTGAAACGAACCTGGATCTTGTGTTTAAGATTTTGGAAATAATTTTGGTAACCCCTGCTATGTATGGCAAAGTGATGGTATTGGTTGGATCCTCAGATGGTTGTCTCCCCATAGCTGGGGAGACAGCTTTGCAGATTGTACGGTCAGAATATCCATTCATCCTGAGGGCTTGGTGTACGTGCTCCAGCTCACTGGCTAGGTGGTACTGGTCGGAGATGCAACGGGCCCTATGGTGTAGTGTTTTGATGGGGGAATTCTTCTGGGCTGGATGGTGGTGGGAGTCAGGCTTTAGATAGGCATCCGTGTGGGTGGCTTTTCTGTAAACAGTGTCCCAACGAGCCACCAGGTCTCTTCTCGATCAAAACATCCAGGAATGGTAGCTTGCCATCCTTTTCCACTTCCATGGTGAATTTGATAGACGGGTGTATGGAATTGATGTGGTTGAGAAATTGGTTCAGTGCTGGCAGGCCATGTGGCCAGATGACGAACGTGTCATCTACGTATCTCTTCCACAAGGAAGGACGTAGGGTGGATGTCTGGATGGCATCTGTCTTAAATTTCTCCATGAAAACATTTGCTACCACTGGCGATAAGGGATAACCCATTGGGGTACCCTCATTTTGTTTGTAGAATGTACCATTCCAGGTGAAGTAAGTGTTGGTAGGACAGTGTCTTACCAAAGTTGGTACATCTGGATTCAGTCCCTGTTGGACCAAGTCTTCAATGATTGCAATGGCATCAGGTACAGGTACCTTGGTAAACAGGGAGACTACATCGAAACTGACAAGTAAATCATCTTGAGACAGTGAGATGTCCTTGATTAGAGAAACCAAGTGGGCTGAGTTAAGTACAGCTGAGGTGGTCTTGCCCGTGAAAGGAAGCAGGGTCTCAGACAGAAATCAGGCCAGTTTGTAGGTGGGTGAGTTAATGGTGGAGACGATAGAACGGAGCGGGGTACCTTCTTTGTGGGCCTTTGGAAGGCCATGAAATCTGGGTGGTCTAGCAGCCGATGGCTTTTGAGAGCGCTGCTTGTTCGAGTTCGACGTTTCGCCAGTAAGAAAGTCCACCTGTTTCGTTCACTCAACCGAACGTCGACGCCACCCGGCTGAGCTCTCGCGAGAGCTTCGGTCGGTGGTTTGGTTATTTACACGATTTTTTTTATTATTATTACACGCTTTTATTTAACTCACTCTGTCTTTTGTATCCTCAAATCTCGTAACTTAATTTTAACACACTTCCCAATGGCGTATCGACTGCACACTTGGTATGCGTATGTCACACTGATGACAATACTATGTTCTATCATAAAAAAATAATAAAATATATATATTTTTAAGCAATCTTTTGTATATCTAATGTTTCGGCTTGGGTCTAATTGTCCACGCTCAACTCAGGTTGGCTGTAATTTCCCAAGGTCCCTTTCGTCGTGGCAAGCTTCCTGGAGTCGTGGAGTTCTGCCATCACTTGTACGGTACATTTAATTAAAGCGTGTTTTGATAACAGTTATCTTTAAATATAACTTGTTATTGTCCTCGGAAGTCTCGCGCTCGCAAACATCACGTGGTGGTGGGGGGGGTGACCGGCACCGGGGTGTTTATCTAATCCCCTCTGCGATTCCGATTCCGCAACATCGATTCATTCTCCCCCGTCACGATCCATTAATTCATCCGCCGAAGCGCACGAGGCGCGCGAGAATCGCATTAAAAAAAAGCAATCGAACTTCGCGATTTCCCCACGTGTTCAACTAGCAGCTAGGAATCGATTGGGTGGGCGTGCGGGGAGGAGTTACGATTCGAATCAATCGATGCGAGCGCTCAGTCGGCGTTGTGTTTTTGTTTTGGGGACGGGGAGCTGCCGTCGCCGAAAGTCTTTCTCGGCCGGCGTCGCTTCGCCTCAGCAGAATAAAACTTCGTCGTCTTCGTCGCCTTCGTCGCAACTTATCGCTCGGTCGGTTGGCTCGCAGGCGCCCCTCGCTCGCTCCGGCCGGGGTTTGGAAGCTCGTCTGAGGTAAATCTCGAAGAGGGCCGCCCTTCGTTGTTGGTAATCAATAATCATCGGTAGTTGAGCAACTTGGCTCAACCTTCCGATGTTTGTAGTTGTTGTTGCTGCTGCTGTTCCTTTGTTCCGCTTGCAGTGTCGCGTGGGGTGTTTTTTTATTTGTTGTTAATTGCTCGCGTCTTGGATGGACTTATCCCCCGTCACGGGAATGTGGAATGGAATTACATTCCCGCGACGCCCCAAAAATAGAGATGGAGCGATTAGATAAACCGGTTTTTTTTAGAACCCTTTGTGCGGATTATTACCGCTCACAAAGGATCTCTAGAGATGGGGACCATTTGCTGGAGGAGAATTTTCATCATCCAGCAGTGGATTGATCCTGGCCGGTTAAATTACATCGCAACGTTTCGTTACTTTTGCTCTCGTTATAAGAATAACAATCGGCGCCTGGGTCTCGTCAGACCTCGGGAGCGAATGCAGAACTTTTTACAAACCTAGACGATGGCTTTGCAAACCTGTCAACACCCTAACCTTATTACAGACCAATTCAGACCGTGTCGGTCACCGCGTGCCCCTTATAAATCCCAATGTTCATCCTATAAAGTCCCATCAAAAGGTAGAAACACAAACAAATAGACCAAAACATTCATAATAAACGTTTTTGGGTTAGATCGCGTTGTTTATAAATGTGTCGTGACCCTCCACCACCCGACACGGCCAATCAGCAAAAAAGTGTCACGTTGACAAAAGACAAATATTTGCCAGAATGGCAAATTTCCCGATGATGCTGCTGGTGATGTAATTACCAGCGAAACGTCGTACTCAAAAATTGTAAATGTTGTGGATTCACTATTAAACACACCGGTGGGCTAAAGTAGTGAACTATTTTGTCTTTTAGTCAACGTGACACTTTTTTGCTGATTGGCCGTGTTGGGTGGTGGAGGGTTACGACACATTTATAAAAAAACGCGATCGAACCCAAAAACTTTATTGTGTATAATATTGGTCGCGAAAGCCTACGTGTTAAACAGACCAAAACATGTTTTTGTCTGTTGAAACAGCTGTATTGCGTATGGACCCGAAAACTCTTATTTCTCTGTACAAGAATACGGGCAAACTGTATGGGTTGACAGGTATGGCTTTGTATGGGGTGACTACCACCGTGCATAACAGGGTGCTGTAGGATATCTTCATCCAGCAGTGGCTTTACAAGGTCTTGTTAATGTACCATTGTTAAAATTGTCTTTTCTTTCCTCTCTCCATTATTTCGTTTTAGACATTGGATATTAATTCTGCCGTTTGCTGCATACAGCTGCAGTATTTTGGTCCCAAGGGCCTCCTACAATAACACAATTTACAGCTCTTTGCCAATCCACTGCTACGTGAAGATATCTAATAACATTATTTACAGCTCTTTGCCAATCCACTGCTACGTGAAGACATCTCCCCTCCCCCGCACGCCCTGTGAGTTATTGTTCAGCGAGATCCGAAGCAGGAAGGAGGCTTTCTCACAATTCTGGCAAATCGCCCGATGAAGCTGATGGTTGTTGTGATCACCGGCAAAAACGTCACAGGACTCAAATTGGAAATGTTGTGGCTTGTGGGTTTACTCTCCTAACACACCCAGAGTGTGTTGAAGCAGGAACGAATTGACACGTTTTGTTTACGTGACAAACCTTACTCATTGGCTTTGTCGGGGTGGTGGGTTAACGATACACATTCATATTTACGCTATCTAACCCATCACAACAAAACCTTTATTATGGATATTGTTTTAACCAAACTTCGTCACGCAGGTCAGTGGTGTGGAGTGTAGGGAGGAGATCCAGTGGCTGGTTTGCTTAAAGCACCCCAAGTGGCTTATCCCCGTGTATTGTTTGTCATATAAATGTCATACTGCAGTACTACAGGAGAGGCTACGAACGGTCATTCTCTGGGGGTGGTGGTGCATGCTCACAGTTGTAAGCCAATGAACCTTGGACCATGAGACGAGTGTGGTACAATCTTTTGACATTACCTTGCCACCCGTGCGATAAGACATCAGTGCTTGTGTGTATTTCAAGGAATCATATTGCTTTAATTACCGCACATGTTGACTTGCATGGCATTCACATGGCAGCTGTTACTTGATGTTGCTCTTGGCAAAGCTGACAAGCAGTTGAACTCTTTAAAAGGCATAGGAGTAGATGGTTGTGTGTAACGCTTAAGGCTGAGAAGTATTTGTAATCGTTGAGATTATTTGGCTGCTATAAATTTAGACGTGATAAGCCACTTCATTGAGCTATCGTTTGTGGCTAGATCACTTCTGAAAAATAATCTAATAGCTCAGTGGGCTTTACCTGGTGAAATAAAAAAGTTTAGTTTTATTTGTATTTTTTGTTATCTTCTTACCTTTCCTATACTTTGCGCTCCTATCGTGTTTTTGTATATGTTGCAATGTTCTGACCCCATGCCCCTCTTACTGGACATGTGAGTAATTCACTAACTGTGAATAGGGAGCACTCAGGCCTAGCTTTTGTTTGTTTAACTTGGCAATGTTTATCGGGCTGAACTGTTGTGCCTCGAACTTGGTAGTGAGGTGTTAACTAACTCGCCTGGTATACAGGAGAGCGTGGGTTCGAGCCCAACTCCGAAGCATGTTGTATACTGCATGTTCTCCCCGTGGTCTTGTGGATTTTTCTCTGGGCCCTCCGGTTTTTCCCTCCAAATTTAAAATCAACATCACGTGTTGAATAGTATTTGGCTGTTCAAAATTTCCACATGATAACCCACTTTTCGTTGAGCTATTATTTGTGGCCAGGTCGCTTCTGAAAAATAACTTTATAGCTCATTGGATTGCTCCTCCAGTCCAAATTAAAATTCTGATTCTGATGCACATGGTGAATTTTTGTGTGTTTTGTTGAAGTAATGTGATCTTTGGAGGTGGCCCGGTGGTTCAGAGGTCAGAGCACTGAACTGGTCTCAAGTTCCAAGCAGCTGCCAGTGTAACGAGTTTATTATACAGGAGTCGCCTCGATTTACTAAAGGGATGATACATTCTTTAAAAAAAACACACTGAAAATGACATTTCGTAAATCGGAATGGCTTTTCCCGTTTTGTAAGTTAATACTAAAATTCAGGGATATATTTGAGGCGGTCATTCCAACTCGTAAATCAAGGGATACACCGGTACCGTGTTGATGAATCTAGATCAGGGGTCAGCAACCAAAACAACAAGAAGAGCAATTTTTTTACGAATTTGGTAAACAAAAATTTCAAGAGAGCCGCAATGAACCGTGCTGGTGAATACGAGACGGTGGTCCTTAATAAATAACGCATGAAGCAGTCCCTTGAAGAGCTGCGTGCGGCTTCGGAGCCGCAGGTTGCCGACCCCTGCCCATGGTAAACTGGACTCCCACGGTAAACTGGACTCCCACGGTAAACTGGACTCCCACGGTAAACTGGATTCCCACGGTAAACTGGACTCGCACGGTAAACTCGATTCCCACGGTAAACTGGACTCCCGTGGTAAACTGGATTCCCACGGTAAATGGACTCCCGTGATAAACTGGACTCTTCCACGGTAAACTGGAATCCCATGGTCAGGGGTCGGCAACCAAAATAACAAGAGGAGCCTTTTTATTATTTGAATAGCCGTACTGCAGTCCTCAAAGAGCCACATTCGACTCCGGAGCCGCAGATTTGCCGACCCCTGCTCTGGATGTGTGTACATATATTCCACCCCCCAATCCCCCATATGTTTCAGCAGTTACCCCAGTGGCCTCGAGTATTCTGACAAACTACCATTCCACACCCACGTACTGGAAGCAGTGCTGAAGGTTGTTTTGTTATTTTAATAAAAAAAAAATATTCCCCAAAGATGTCCCCGATTGTGCTGCTGTGGCAATGTCACGAGATGGGAAAAAATTATTCCGACCTCTCGCTGAGCAGTGCAAAGCTTTTGTCTTGAGAGAACGGGCCCCACAGATGAGGGTACCAGAGATCCATCTCTCAAATTCCCTTCAAGTGAGCTATGTTCCACACAGTAAAGAGCAGAACTTTTCCCACCTACTCACTCTGTCTATAGAGAATTTTTTTTTTAATACGTAGGCTTTTGCAACCAATATGCATAATAAAGGTTTTTTTTGGGTGAGAATGCGTAAATGTTGTTGTCTGACAGGCAAACCAATCCAATTTTCAGAGTTGGAATTTAGCCCAATTTAAGTGCAGAACCAAACTTAAATTGGTGGGATTTCTGTCAGATTGTTTCTTCACCGACGCTGTCTCTTTAACACTGCATTGTGCTTTCATTGTTCACAGATGAAATCGGAGAATTGTGCTCCTGTGCTGCGCCCAGTGCGGGTGAAACAGGTAGAAGAATCCTTGAGCACAATCACACCCAACATGAAACACACACACACTCACCTGTGTACTGTATGTACACAAGCGAGACGTTAACTACCTCGCCTGGTATACAGGAGGTTGTGGGTTCGATCCCAACCCTGATGCCTGTATATATGGAGTTTGCATGTTCTACCCCGTGGTCACGTGGATTTTTCTCTGGGTCCTCTGGTTTTTCCCTCCGCATTTATAAACGTTCATTTATAGTATTAGGCTGCGATAGATTTACACGTAATTAGCCACTTTGTTGAGCAATAATTTTTCATAGTGAAAGGTTGCTTCTGAAAAAGCTGTATAGCTCAATGGGCCTGACCTAGTAAAATAAAAAAAAAACAGTTAAGTTATTGATTAGTTTGTAAAAAGGGAAAATGTGACTGTGCAGTCCTGCAATTTTTCACTCGCACCACTGCTGGTGCAGAGGGGTCTCTTTTAGAGAGAGCTGTGGAGAGTCCCACTGGACAGGGTATTTGTGGCCTACTCTTCCACACTGGCCAGACTTCTTGGAAGAGGTGGGAGCACTCACCCCTTACCCCACCATAGGCAACCTGCCAGTCGATTAATTGGTGTGTGCACCCATTTATGCTGCTAGGTGGATAGAAGTGGTTGTGTTTATGTACGTTGAACTTCTTTCGCACTGTACGTAGGCCAACCGTGCTAGTCGGAGGTGCGAGGGAAGGACCACACACTAAACATAAATGCAGTTCTAAAGAAATACGTTTTCAATCTAAAAAAAAATAGTTTTCAAGGGGGGGTATTTAAGACACTTGTACCATTATTTCAACTGCTACTTTGGGGGATTAAACGAGCGACCTCTGGATTGCAAGACCAGTGCCATCCCCTCCTGTATATGTAGGTCAGCAAACTGTGACCCCCTCCGCCCCCCCCCCCCTCCATGCATGGCCAATTCTTCTGTTCTTGCTGAGATGAGATTACTCCACAGGTAGGCTGGTAGCCACTTCATTGGCGTGTCTTCCTTGGTCATTCAATAACTCGTCTCGGCGTATGGTTGATGCAGCAGCACTTCACATCGTTGAATTAAAAATGATGTGGCCAGGCGGCTCAGAAGTCCGAGCGCCGTGTAGGCACCGCTGAGAATCCTAGGGTGGAATCCAGGCAGCTGTCTGACTAAACTGGGTTCTCAAGTGCAGTGAGTTGGTGTTTTCAATTCGGTCGCAGTCCATTATATCTGCCCCTGAAATGTGCCACATCCATCTGCTGTACAGAGGGTATTGAAAACCACATAATGTTAATTTCCAGAGTAAATAATTCCATTCCTGTGGCATACATAGCTCATAAACAAAATGTAAAAAATTTCTGCAGCTACATTACAAATTAACATCCCCTACTTGCACAGTAGTGGCTCCAGCCAAGTTAGATGTATGTATGTTGAACTTCTTTGCCACCATACGTAGCCAACCGTGTTGATCGGAGGTGTGGGTGAAGAACAACAAACTAAACACAAAAAACTGTTCGAAATAAATTCATTTTTAATTGAGATTTAACAGAAGTGCAGTGACTCCACACGACTGTGATTATACGCGACGGAACGTTTGGCCAAATCTGTGTTGTTGCCACAGATGTTTTCAATATCTGCAGCACCACTATTCTTATGTTTCTGGTCAGATAAATACAATTAACACGCACAAAGCAGTGCTCATTTTAATCTGTGTTAAAGGTTATATGAAAAATGAATTCAAAAGTGGAAAAGTTATTGTTATTCTCATTGCTCTTGTTGCAAATGCAAAACAAATAGTAAACAGAGAGGTTGAGCCCATGCATATGGACATTGATCCAGGCCCTGTTACTGTGGCTGTTCCTGTGCTGTTCCTGTGCTGCTCCTGTGCTGTTCCTGTGCTGTTCCTGTGCTGCTCCTATGCTGTTCCTATGCTGTTCCTGTGCTGTTTGTGTGCTGTTCCTGGGCCCGCAAAGGCCAGCATTTCCCAGTGTCCATAAAAATGAGACTTTGGTTGTGTGTGGTGTTTGTGTGCAGAGTGGACAGGTGTGGGATTCGGTGCAGAAAGCGGCATTCGTATTGGGGACCGGTCTGCTGGTGTTTGCCGCAGCGAGGAACACGATCACATGGTGAGAACCTCGACTTTCGGTGCTCCTCAAAACTCACCCGCCCCACCCGAGTCCTCGCCAGCACCCCGCACCGTGCAGCTTCCCTGCGATTGTCACAGATACGTTTCCATTCTTGCGTAAATCAAGCTGCCGCACGCGCTGCACGCGCCTGATGGTTGGTAATCGTGGAGAGGTTGCGCCATGGTGGATATTGCGAGCATTGCACTCCTTCCTCAATGGTTTAAAATGTGTGCATGAAATAATTTGCGCAACTATCGGTTATTAATAATGCACTCACGATGGAAACGAGTCGTACGCAATTGTAGTGACATCGCGGATGTCACTGTGTAATGCCGGCCCTAGAGGGGCTCGGTGAGCGCTGACTGACAGCGCTGGATGGCACCACGCTCTGCGTGCAGTGCCAACCCCGACAGGATGGGGTGTCAGGGTGCCGGCCAAGGGAATGGGGTTACTAAGGGCCATGGCACTCTGGTTGACCCTAGAGGACACGTGACCGGTAAAGTCTACACAGGGGCCCCAGGTGAGGGCTAGGGGTGGTCACGTGTCAGGGTCGAGATCCTGCTCGAGGGTTCGAGAAGATGGTCGTGGCTAAGGGCGGAGCCAGCCACACCACAGAGGATATAAGCCGGGTCCCTGAGAGGGACCGGCTGTTGTTGTTCATCCTGAAGAATCTACGTTCTACGTCCTACGTCCTACAAGAGTCACCAACACGTGGACCGTGACCCAAGCTAGTGTCCGGTCCATTGTCGCTAGTTCCAGTGTAATTAGAGCAGTTAGCCTGGTGGTCCACCACCATAGGTTCTTATCTTGTTAAGGGGTAGTACCCCGTTTGTTAGCTTTAATAAATGTGTTGCCTCCAAGAAATGCATCTGGACTCAGTTGAACTCGCTACACAATCATTAGAATTAGGCTAATGGGGTGAACTATATTAACGAGATGACAAGCAAAAATGGAACAAAACAAAACTACGTTAGAATTTATGGAAATGATTTTGGTGGGGCGGTGAATTGCTACAGGCCTATTTGTAAATATATATTGTAGGTGCACTTCTATGAGCAGTGAGTGCCACAACCCATCCCGTAGCCTTCGCTCATCTGACGCCAACTTCCTGACTCCACCTCTCAGGACCAAGCGTCGAACCTGGGGCGACAGAGCCTTCTCTATAGCTGTACCCTCACTTTGGAACGCTCTCCCAAAACAAATCCGTGACCACACCGAACTTCCAGCATTCGAATCATTGACTACAGCTCACCTTTTTAAAATTGCTTTTAATGTTTAGCTAAGTTTGATGTGTTTTTACCATTTGATGTTGTTTTTGCTGCTTTTATGATTTTATGTAAAGTGTCTTTGAGTATTCAGAAAAGCGCTCATAAATGAAATGTATTATTATTGAAAATATATCGTCACTCGCAGCTGGGGTGCTGCTGAGCGAGCGCATTGTGAACTGTGTAGCGCGTGTGCTAGTCTCCGATTACAGTATTTTAAAAACACAAACAGAAGTGACATCCAGCAAAAAAAAAACGCAACTTATGTAATAATAAACTACATTTTTTAGCTAAACCATTCTTTTTGTTTATTTTACCAGGATCCACTGAGCTCTGTATTTCTTTATCAGAAGCGACCTGGCCACAAATAATAGCTCAACGAAAAGTGCGTTTTCATTTGTAAATTTACATTAGCCAAATACTATTAAACGCGTGATGTTAATTCTATATGTGGAGGAAAAAAACCGGAGGACCCGGAGAAAAATCCACACGACATCAGGGAGAACATGCAGACTTCAAGTATACAACAGGCATTGCGGGTCGGGATCGAACCCACGACCTCCTGTATACCAAGCGAGGCAGTTAACATCTCTATCCACCGTGGTGCCCAACTACTGCCAAGTTAGAGGCACAATAGTTCAGCCCCATAAATATTGACAAGTTAAACAAACAACAGCTGGGGTTTAGTGCTGCCTATTCACAGTTAGTGAATTGCTCACATCAACCCGTTGCCTGCTTGTGCCGACCATAGATTTTTTTCCCGGCATATTTCAGAAACTAAGCAGGCTTGAGTCTCCAGGGCACTTGGATGGGTGATCACCACATGTAATTCAGGTGTAGCAGGCTGTTTAAAAAAATGAGCTTCAGATAGAGGTACTTCAAGAGGTCAGAGTGCTGATCTGAAAACCGCTGAGATCTTGTGTTCGAATTGAGGCAGCCTGCTGTGATTAAACCAGGATCTCATATGCAAGAAGTTGCTGGTCTCGGCCTTTTGTCCAATGTCTGCATCAAATTCCATCTCATTAAATACAGCGCTGCTAACTTCCAGCTCTGAAAAAATTTCACTTTTGACTGTCATGCAAATGAACATGATACATTTTTCGAGACGGAATGTTTTCAAGCGGCGTTCTTCTGGGTGCCCTGCGATGTCAGCGGAGGGGAGGAGGGGAGGGGGGCGGTGTGCTGGGAAACTTGAGCTAGTGAAAATTCAACAACATTGTTTCTGGCCAAACCATACTCACGGTGGTGTGTGATGTCATCTTCCTCACCTCGTATGCAGGAGGTCGGGAGTTCGATCCAACCCTGATGCCTGCATATTTGAAGTTTGCATGTTTTCCCCATGGTCATGTAGATTTTTTTCTCCAAGTCCTCCGGTTTTTCTCTCCACATTTAGTAACATGCTTTTAGACTATTTAGATAATTTTTCTGCTATAAATGTCCACGTGATAAGCCACTTGGTTGAGCTATTACTTGTGGCCAGCTTGCTTTTGAAAAATAAGTTAATACCTCAGTAGTCTGTCTGGTAGGATGGGGATGGTTTAGTTGTCTTTTATTTTATACCTACGTGACTTTACCGAAATAACCAAAGAGTATGCTTGTATTTGTATGTTTGGATGTTTTGTTTACCTTTTTTGTACTTTGCACTCCTATCATATTTGTATTGTTTGTTGTTGTAACTTTCTTACCCCGTGTCCCTACTGGACATCTGTTAAAAATATCTTTATAGCTCATTAGATTCCTACAGTATAAAATATTCAGATTTTGACGGACGACATACATTTTTTTGTTTTGTGTTTAGTTTGTTGTCCTTCCCCCCTGCACCTCCCATTAGCACAGTTGGCTGCGTACGGTATGAAAGAAGTTCAACGTACATCACTCATATGGCAGAGTGTGGTGTAAAAGTGCTGCCCCTCTACAATGTCGATCAGAGATCACTTGGTGGGATCTCAGAGGAAGCTCTGTGACATTCACTTTATGTGGGCAGTTCTCGTAACATGAAGGATTGCACCGCTCTGCCTCTGTGAGATCTGAATGGATACTTTGATTACGATAACCCAATCAGGATAAAAAATGTATGTTATTATTTTTTGTTAAACAGAAAATATAAAAAGGAATGAGCGCCGGGTTGGCTTTATCGACTCGTCGTGTCTGGTCCACAGGCACCTGCAGCAGTTCTGGGGAGCGTCCGGTGATTTCTGGCAGTCGCAATGGGCTCTCTTCTACAATGCCTACGAGGAGGAACCTTTCAAGATCTTTGTCTTCTGTGCGTGCTCGAGTCGAATGCGAGATAAAAGCACACTTGCATTCAACAACAACAAACAGCAGCCATAAATTTACACCGTGCGGCTGTGACGTCGCAGTGGAGTAGGTGTCAGATGGGGTGCACGTTGAGGCCACACGGAGAGTGGCTCCCCCATATCGATGTAGTTAACCCCTTTTCCCATTCCGACACGTACTGCAAGTCACAGGGTCGGTGGGTGTCCCATTCGCCCGCTGAATTTCGGAATGCACAAGCGGCTCGGCGTTAATTTGATTTAGAGAGGCGTAGCACTTCTCTTTTTAATTAAGACATTGTACTGTCCTCACCGCAGAGAGCTGTAGCGACAAGTCCGTCGCGCTCTGATAACTGGTGCCAAACTGTGCCACGTGCCCTCCCGCGTGGCCTTTTACTTCAAATTCCATTATGATGATGTAAACGTACGTTATCGGAACGGAATCGGATGAACGGGAAAGGGTTAATAGGAGTTGCTATGAATCTAGACGTTGTATCCATTAGAGGCTTTGTTCTCTCAATCCCTTGATCGCAGCAAATACTTCAAGTTCCACCAGCTTATTTGTGACTCTCCTCTCAATTGAATTGAGTACCTGACATACGAGAGACTAGGGAAGTGGCCCAAACTAATCTTGTGTGCCCTGCCAGCCTTAAAAGGCAATTGAAAACATGTATTGTCTCAAGTATATCTCCTGGCGATAAAACAGTGCGTAAGGTACACACTGTTTTAACAAACAGTAACTAAAGAGATTGTGAAATTGAATATTAGAATGTTATGTATTGGGGACAAGGCCATTGCAAGGCTTAGCTTTTGCATTGTCATTGTTGTGAATGTAATAGACTCGCTTGCTTTGATTGGCTTGGCTCATGCCTGTGTTTGTGTGCATGTGGTATTGGTCACCCGCCCCTTCGTGTGTTTGCTAGCGGCACTTGTCCCAACAGTCTGTTCAGACTATACAGGGAATCTTTGTCTTTGCATATGGAAAATGTGTATGGGGGGGTGGGGGTAGTGGTGGCATAGTGACTAGCACTCTGCATTACGTACCTGGTGACTCATGCAGTGAGCGAGGTGGGGGGGCATGGCGGGGCAGGATGGGTGGGAAAGTGCTGCCCCCCTTACTGCATGCACCAGAGGTCACTTGTAAGGGAATCGCACAAGGTAGCTGTTATATCCGCTTCCGTTGGCTGTTCGCTATAACAAGGAAGGATTGTGCTACTTTGCGAAAGATTCAGATTGAATGAATGGAGTAAAAGTTTAAACGGAACTCTTTTTAATTATACAACAGCAACAACAAAAGTAACATGTGAAAAAAGCACTGACATGCAGATTGGTCGTTTTTGTGGTGGTGGTGGTGGAGCCAGGCTCGATGGTGGTCCCCACCGGAATGTTCTGGCTCTTCAACGCCCTGCTGATGTGCGTGGACGTGACCGGCTGGCCCGCGTTCTTCCTCCGCTACAAGATCCAAGCCGATAAGAATGTGCCGGTGAGCGCTAGCTGCGGTGGTGCCCAGGGGGCACTGCTCCCATTCCAGCCAGAACCAAATAATAACAATCGGATAAACAATTGAGTGCATTTGGTATTTGTGAAATTCCGTTAAGAGTGCGAGGGCTATTGTGAAGGTGCTACAGTGAGGGAAAAAAGTATTTGATCCCCTGCTGATTTTGTACGTTTGCCCACTGACAAAGAAATGATCAGTCTATAATTTTAATGGTAGGTTTATTTGAACAGTGAGAGACAGATTAACAACAACAAAATCCAGAAAAACGCATGTCAAAAATGTTATAAATTGATTTGCATTTCAATGAGTGAAATAAGTATTTGACCCCTCTGCAAAACATGACTTAGTACTTGGTGGCAAGACTTTTGTTGGCAATCACAGAGGTCAGACGTTTCTTGTAGTTGGCCACCAGGTTTGCACACATCTCGAGAGGGATTTTGTCCCACTCATCTTGGCAGATCTTCTCCAAGTCATTAAGGTTTCGAGGCTGACGTTTGGCAACTCGAACCTTCAGCTCCCTCCACAGATTTTCTATGATATTAAGGTCTGGAGATTGGCTAGGCCATTCCAGTACCTTAATGTGCTTCTTCTTGAGCCACTCCTTTGTTGCCTTGGCCGTGTGTTTTGGGTCATTGTCATGCTGGAATACCCATCCACTACCCATTTTCAATGCCCTGGCTGAGGGAAGGAGGTTCTCACCCAAGAGTTGACGGTACATGGCCCCGTCCATCGTCCCTTTGATTCGGTGAAGTTGTCCTGTCCCCTTAGCAGAAAAGCACCCCCAAAGCATAATGTTTCCACCTCCATGTTTGACGGTGGGGATGGTGTTCTTGGGGTCATAGGCAGCATTCCTCCTCCAAACATGGCGAGTTGAGTTGATACCAAAGAGCTCCATTTTGGTCTCATCTGACCACAACACTTTCACCCAGTTGTCCTCTGAATCATTCAGATGTTCATTGGCAAACTTCAGACGGGCATGTATATGTGCTTTCTTGAGCAGGGGGACCTTGCGGGCGCTGCAGGATTTCAGTCCTTCACGGCGTAGTGTGTTACCAATTGTTTTCTTGGTGACTATGGTCCCAGCTGCCTTGAGATCATTGACAAGATCCTCCCATGTAGTTCTGGGCTGATTCCTTAACGTTCTCATCATCATTGCAACTCCACGAGGTGAGATCTTGCATGGAGCCCCAGGCCGAGGGAGATTGACAGTTCTTTTGTGTTTCTTCCATTTGTGAATAATCGCACCAACTGTTGTCACCTTCTCACCAAGCTGCTTGGCAATGGTCTTGTAGCCCATTCCAGCCTTGTGTAGGTCTACAATCTTGTCCCTGACATCCTTGGATAGCTATTTGGTCTTGGCCATGGTGGAGAGTTTGGAATCTGATTGATTACTTCTGTGGACAGGTGTCTTTTATACAGGTGTAGTGGGTTCCAGGACACGGAGACGGCAGAATAGAAGCAGCACTATTTATTTAAACCTTAACAAGGGTTACACTAGAAGGGGTAGCGGCCCCTCCACCCGTATAACTCAGGAACACACCCCAGGCTCTCTAGCCTAAGCTCTAGGCTCCCAGTTCCTCCTGGTAGGGCTCTAAGGGAGGCTATCAGATCCGGCCCTGGTTAGGCACAGATCTCGGCACCCCGCCGACCAGACCGGCCCTTAGAAGGACTCTGACTCTGGGGCTCTGGGGCCGCACCACTGGCTTGCTGTGCCGGCCCTGAAAAGGGCAGCGGTCACAGGAGTTCCAGGGTCTCACCTAGCTGGCCTTCTTTCTTCACTGGTTGCTTCAGCCTCGGGCCCCACACTCTGCCCCGAGCTCCCTGGCTCCCCGCACTTTATACCCACTGGAGCCTTAGCGGACGTTGTTGTAGCCACCAAGGTGTGGGTGAACCACACCTTCCCGTGTCATGTGTTTATTCCCCATAGCACCCCTACATCACCCCCTCCCGTGTAACCCGCAGCCGTCCCGGCTGCAACAATACTCGAACAATAAACACAACAAACCCCCACCCGTGCGTGCCTCATAAGAACGAACACCCCAATAAATAACCCAACCCACCTATACAAAATTACACTATATACACATATACATTGTACCCGCCCCCCCCATCAACGCAGCAAGAAAACTTAACAGTGAACAACAAGAGTAACAAGAACCATTTTTACAACAAGCGGCGCATTTTGGCGCGAGTCCGATTTGCGGGTCCATCGTAGGGGGAGGGTCCGGTCGGCCCGGCAGTGGGCACCGGCTGTGCAGGTGCACCGTCTTCCGTCACCCCGGAAGGGCAAACTCCGTCCCCACCGGGTGGCGCAGGCGCGCTGGAAGCCGTCATTCTTGAGGCGCCTGAAGGTGGAACAGTTAGCGAAGCATCAAGGGCAGGTGACGAAGACGCCGTCCGGGAGTCAGCGGAGACATCACATGCTCGGCCTGTGTAATGTGGTGGAGGGACGCGCGGCGCCACAAACGGCTTCAGACGCGAGGGGTGTACGTACCAGCGGCGTTTCCCCCACTGGATACGAACGCACTGCGGCCGCATAACCTTCACAATAACCACAGGGCCCCTCCAAGGCCGCAACAATTTCGCCGAGGTCGCCAACGGCACCTGAGGGCAGTGCAGCCAGGCTTGATCGCCTGGCTTCCACGCATGTGTGCGTGATTGGCGCGATCGCAACCTCTCGTTGGCTTTCTGCCGAGAGGAAGAGTTTTGGGCCGCTGCCTCCCGCGCCTCGGTCAACCTCAGGATATTAAATTTAACGTGGTCGGCCAATTTCGATTTTCTGCTGGTTTCCGAGACGCGGAGCTGATTCGCAATTGGTGGGTCAACGTCGCGACCGTACATCAAAAAGAACGGCGAGAAGCCGGTTGCCGCGTGAGGAGCCATTCTATAGGCGGCCAAAACCCCCGGAATGTGAAGGTCCCAATCGGTCTGGGAGTCACACACCTGGTGACACAACATAGATGTGAGCGTCCTATGCAGCCGCTCCACCATGCCATCGGTTTGTGGGTGATAGGGGGAAGTGCGAATCTTTTTCGTACCAAGAAGCGCACACACCTCGTGCAGAAGGACGCCAGAGAAGTTCTTCCCTTGGTCAGTCAGCAGCCGTTCGGGAGCACCCTTGTCGAGGACATAGCCCTGGACAAAGGCCTCGGCAACGGCTGCTGCTGACTGGTTAGCAAGAGGCCATGCCATAGGCCATCGGGTGAAATATTCCACGCCAACCAGCAGGTACTTGTTACCCCTAGGGGTCGCAGGGAAGGGCCCCAATATATCGAGTGCGACGAGTTCGTTAACCCGAGAGACCGTGATAGATTGTAGCGGTGGGCAGGCGCCTTTCGCTGGTGGTTTTCGTTGGGCGCACTGAGTGCATGCACCCAGGAGGTCATCCACATCCCTTGCCATACCCGGCCAGAAGAAATCCAGCTGGAGCACGGCAAGGGTCTTGTGGGTCCCCAGGTGCAAAAGTCGCTCGTGTGCGGCCCAAACGGCCTTACCCCGCAAAGCGGATGGCACCACAAGCCTGTGACGGCAGGCCCTCCCATCCCAATGCATTAGGAGCCCCTGGAGCAGCCCGTACGAATCAATCCCCGCGACCCCCCGCACGGAACCCCCTGCGCGACGACGCAACGCGAGGAGGGATGCGTCCTCCATCTGGAGGCGCCCCCATTCCGCAACGGACAACCCCAGCAAGGAGTCCGCACCTCCCTCCCCGACAGGACCCTCAGGCAAGGGGTCCTCAGTGGCAGCAGCGAGAACCGGGATATCTAAGGGGGGGCTATCCTCTGGCGGCTTACAACGCCCCGATCCCCTGAGACAAGCGCAATCTGAGGCGGGCGGCAGGCGAGACAGCGCATCCGCATTAGTGTGCCGAGCACCCTTCCGATATGTGGTCGTGAAATCATAATCCTGAAGGATTTCGAGCCATCGGGACAATTGCCCCGAAGGCTGTGTCACCCGCAAGGCATATTGTAATGCCGCATGGTCCGTACGGACAGTGAAATGCCGACCGTACAGGTATGGGCGATACTGTTGCATAAAAAATACAATAGCCAAGAGTTCCCGACGCATGACGCAGTATCTCTGTTCCGCCGGAGACAAAACCCTACTGCCATAAGCCACGACGCGTTCCACACCACAGATCACCTGTGAGAGCACACCCCCAATGCCCGTATTGCTGGCGTCTGTATCGAGCAGGAAGGGTTCCGAAAAATCGGGGTAGCTCAATGGAGGGGCCCGCACGAGAGCGTCGCGAAGGGAACAAAAAGCGACCTCCTCCTCCTGGCCCCAGTGAAATTTCACTCCCTTCGCCGTCAGAGCGTGTAAGGGCTTAGCAATGGTCGCGAAATCCGCGACGAACCGCCGGTAATAAGACGCAAATCCAATGAAACTCCTGACCTCAGCCACCGAGGTGGGGGTTGGCCAGGAGTTGACACACTGCGTCTTTGCGGGATCGGTGGATATGCCCGAGCGGCTGACGATGTGCCCCAAATAGCGTACGGATTCCCGTAGCAGGTGGCACTTTTGCGGCTTAAATTTCAAATTCGCAGCACGCATTTTGAGGAACACGGCGCGCAAGCGCAAAAGGTGTTCGTCAAATGTCTTGCTGAACACGATGACGTCATCCAGATAGATCAAACAGACGTTCCACTGTAAGCCAGCCAAAACCAGTTCCATAAGGCGCTGAAATGTCGCCGGAGCGGAGTGTAATCCCATAGGTAACCGGTTAAATTGGAATAGGCCGTGTGGTGTGCGAAACGCAGTCTTTGGCTTGGACTCATCATCCAATGGGAGTTGCCAAAATCCGGATAACAAGTCCAACGTAGAAAAAAAACGTGCGCCAGCCAGAGCATCCAGAGATTCGTCCATCCGGGGAAGTGGATACGCGTCGGCCACGGAGATCTTATTAAGGCGGCGAAAATCCACACAGAATCGCAAGGACCCATCGTGCTTTTTGACAAGCACTATGGGTGCTCCCCATGGACTGGTGGAAGGGGCTATAATGTCTGCAGCCAGCATGTCATCCACTGCCAATTTGACATGATCTTTTTCGGCCGGACTTAACCGAAAAGGATTCTGGCGTACCGGGGCATTGTCACCCGTGTCAATGTGGTGACGCAACAATTTCGTGCACCCAATGTCATATTTGTGTTTACTAAAAACATCGGAAAATTCCGTCAGAAGGGTGCGTAGGCCGGCACGCTGGGAGTCGGACAGATCACTCGTGCCCGAACATAGTGTGTCCATCCAACTATCGTCCCCCTCAGAATGCGGTTGAGCCAGAGGATCGGTCCCCACATTACCCATAACCGTGTCTACCACGGGGACCGGTGTCGCGTGCGCGAGCACAGTTCCCTGAGGAACGACGGCCGTCTGTACGCCAACGTTAAGGACGAGGATAAACGGGTCATCGCTCCCCTTAACGAGCGTTTGAGCGGCCACCAGATCCAGCCCGTTTTCCCCAGCCCTCGAGGGCCCTAACAGAATTCCCTGGTCCAGAACACCGGGCACGAAAGGCCGACGCAAGCGAAGGGGCACGAGCATTTGCGCCCCGGGAGGTACACGCACCGTCCGAGTGACGAACGCTTGTATCGACGCGCACGCTGCCCTTGAGGTGACAGGGGAAGGCAGGAATGTTACCCGTCGGCCCGAGGGAAGCTCGATGCAACCCTGATCAATTAGAATTTTAATCGGCATTTTGCCCAAAAAGTCCGTCCCCAACAAGCACGGAACCGCCAGCGAGGACGAGACTAATATCGGCCCGGAGAGTTTGATATCGCCAATGCAAATTTGTGCTCGAATTTGGCCTATGATACCCAGCGAACCCCCGTTCGCTGCGTAACACGGAACGGTGACTGGGAGCAAGGGGCGGCTTTGAACGGGAAGAATATTATAAATCAAGTCTGACACAATGGTCGCCGAAGCTCCCGTATCGACGAGGATACGCACCTCGACCCCGTCAATGCGACCCGCGACCACGGACGAGCCTGCCGACGCAGCAACAATGCGGTGGGCCAATTCCGTCCACTGCCCCGGCCCGAGCACCCTCTCGACCCCGCCGCCACCCAACAAACCAATGGGCGTACCCCGAGGCCCGTACACCGAAACGCGCGAGGTGGGGACAGGTGTGTGCACAGGCCGAGCATGTGGGGTGCCGCGACTTGCCAGGTTGCGATGCGGAGGCCTGTAGGCTGGAGCGCCGTCCGACCGTCCCGGCTGTCGTTGACGAGGCGCCCGGCATTCCGCAGCCACGTGGCCCTTGCGGCCACAGTTGTAGCACGTGATGAGCGCCTTGGGGTGCTCCTGGCGATCCGGTGTGGTCCGAGCCGGCCTCCCTCCGGATCTCCACTCCACCGGGCGACCCGCCGCGAAGACCTCCTCGGAGGGGGGGATGGTCGGCGTCCCAGCGCACACCGCAGCTGCGCCCTTGGGGACGAGAGGTGATCGACGCTGCGCTATCAGGTGCGCGTGGATGTGTCTTGCTGCCCGCAAGGAGCACATGTCCGCGTCGTCCTCTGCGACGATGACGATCTGTAGCTCCTGGGCCAATGCCAGGAGCTTCTCCGTCACCATCGCGTCCACCCCTTCGCCGTCCATCCGCGGGAAAGCCGCTTTTGCGAGGGCCAGGAGAGCCGTGCGATACGCCAGCGGTGGCTCCTTCTGGCCCCTGCACCGCTCGTGGAAGAGTTTGCGGCAGTCCGACGATGGCCCGTAGACTATGGTGAGGACCTGGAGCGCCGACTGTAGCGTAGATCGCGTTGATCTGGGAGCTGTGATGAGCGTAGCAAGGGCGTCATCGTCCAGCATGGCCGGTAGCGCACTCAACGCCTCGTTGTCCGTCCAGCCGGCCATCTCTTGATGAGCGAGAAAGCGGCGTTGAAAGGCCCCCCAGTCGCCGCCGTCTGAAACGAACTCCTTCAACACCGGCAGGCGTTGTTGAAACGATGGCTTCGTCTCTGAGAGGTGCCGCGCGCCATTTCCGGCCTCTCCACCGGTGTCTGAGGGGCTGGGGACACCCATCGGCGGTCGCGCAGGTGATGACGATGCGCCCGCCGATTGGTCCTGACAGCGGGCGTCCGTTGGTGATGACGTCACCACCGCTGATTGGCCCACGGCGTCCACGTGGCGCTGCGACCCTCCAATCGCCGTGGCGGACACTGTCATGGCGGCAAATCCGAAATCTGGTGGCTGTGTTTCGGCGGGAATGGCCGTTGAACGGCGTTCGTCTCTCTGCCGCCTTTGCGCCCGCAGCCCCGCGCGGTTGATTTCCTCCAGCGTGGAAGCCACGGCATACAGCAGCTCAGCCAGTCGAGAGTGAGCCGCCTGCAACCCGTCCTCCATCGGCGGCCACTCCTCCAGCGGCGGCTGCTGTTGGGGCGTCTGGGACATCCCAGGATCGTCGGCCGCGGCCTCTGGCGCAATCCCAGGCGAGCCGTCCTCCTCCTGGGGTTCCTGTGATCGGTTTGTACTCCTTGTGTCCATTTTAAGACCACTCCTGACACCAGTTGTAGTGGGTTCCAGGACACGGAGACGGCAGAATAGAAGCAGCACTATTTATTTAAACCTTAACAAGGGTTACACTAGAAGGGGTAGCGGCCCCTCCACCCGTATAACTCAGGAACACACCCCAGGCTCTCTAGCCTAAGCTCTAGGCTCCCAGTTCCTCCTGGTAGGGCTCTAAGGGAGGCTATCAGATCCGGCCCTGGTTAGGCACAGATCTCGGCACCCCGCCGACCAGACCGGCCCTTAGAAGGACTCTGACTCTGGGGCTCTGGGGCCGCACCACTGGCTTGCTGTGCCGGCCCTGAAAAGGGCAGCGGTCACAGGAGTTCCAGGGTCTCACCTAGCTGGCCTTCTTTCTTCACTGGTTGCTTCAGCCTCGGGCCCCACACTCTGCCCCGAGCTCCCTGGCTCCCCGCACTTTATACCCACTGGAGCCTTAGCGGACGTTGTTGTAGCCACCAAGGTGTGGGTGAACCACACCTTCCCGTGTCATGTGTTTATTCCCCATAGCACCCCTACACAGGTAACAAGCTGAGATTAGGAGCACTCCCTTTAAAAGTGTGCTCCTAATCTGAGCTCGTTACCTGTATAAAAGACACCTGGGAGCCAGAAATCTTTCTGATTGAGAGGGGGTCAAATACTTATTTCCCTCATTAAAATTAAAATAAATTTATAACATTTTTGACATGCGTTTTACTGGATTTTTTTGTTGTTATTCTGTCTCTCACTGTTCAAATAAACCTACCATTAAAATTATAGACTGATAATTTCTTTGTCAGTGGGCAAACGTACAAAATCGCGGGGATCAAATACTTTTTTCACTTCACGTTTCACCGACGGGTATATTCTCTCGGTAGGCGGGGGGGGGGGGTTCTATTACCGTCTTGTGTTTATCCAATTAAGTAATTTGTAAGTACATTCAGTTCTGCTATAAAGCTGTGTGTTTTCATGACACGAATTGGATCGAGTGAACAGAACTGCATCGCGCGAGTAGGAATAAGTGGTCGTACGGCTGCCTCGGTGTAGCATCATCACACAAGGCATTCGGATGCTGCTGGATGCTTCTAGATGCTGCCCACGCACCTCAGTCTTTGTTTGGCCTGCGTACGCATTTCACGTTATCGCGGACTGTGCTTTATTTTATATTATTTGTCTTGCTTTGCATACAACTTTGTTGATTTTTTATTACGAGTGGCTTAGCGACTAACGCTGCAATATGCATTTTTCACTCATGTTTTTATTTAATTAAGCAATTATATTCTTAAACTGAAAAGCAGTAATTATAAGAGAACATGTAAGAAAAATCAACGATAATATAACACATTATTGTGAAATATGTCAAGTCATGTTGGTGTTTTCAAAACCTACTACCCCATAAGTCCATAATTCCCATTGAAACAATTTTTATTATAACGCAATTTTTCCCTAACGCAGTGGTTCTCAGGAACACAACTACTACCGCGTTATAAGAGGCCGGACTGTCGTTCGTAATTTGTCAAATTTGAATGGTGTCGCAGGCAAGGGATCTTTGACGTTCACTGCGGTGGATATTTATTCACCACTGCCAATTCAGTATTGCCAAGTGATAGGCTTATAATTAGCTTCATTCCTCACGATTCGGAATACCTCGCCCCCTCTCCGCGTCTCCCCGCAGGTTGACCCGGCAAAGCTGAGGAACGCCATTTTCACGGTGCTGGCCAATCAGCTGTTCATCTCCTTCCCCATGGTGCTGATCGCGTACGTGATCTCGCTGTGGCGCGGTGGCACTTGTGGGCCTGAGCTGCCCACGTTCCATTGGGTGCTGCTCGAGCTGCTGGTGTTTGGCCTCATCGAGGAGGTGATGTTCTACTACTCGCACAGGTGAGCGGTCTGTTTGCTCTAGTGCGTGGGGAAGGTGATGTTCTACTACTCACACAAGTGAGTGGCCTGGTCGCTCGCTCTTAAGGGGCTCAGTTTTTCCATCTTGTCGTACGAAAACTCCCATCAAGGAGTAAGGATCAGTCTGTTTATTATTCTGAAGGGTCTGTCTAAGATTCGTGTCACTGTTTAGTCTCTTGTTTAAAATATTTTACCAAAGGCCAATCTATAATAAAGGTTTTTTGGGGTTGGATCGCGTAAAATATGTTTCGTTAAACCCACCACCACCTAACACAGTCACTTAGTAAGGTTTGTCACATAAACAAAACGTGGCAATTAGTTACTAGTTCAGCACACCGGTGTATTGGAGAGTAAACCCACAACATTTCCAATTAATAACCTTTATTTTTATTAATATTGGTCGCGAAAGCCTACGTGTTAAAAAGTCCAGTCAACATGTTTAAAGCTGCTTTTAGAAATCGGTCTGTTATATAAATAATCCATCAGAAACTGGTGTGCCCTGTACACACACTTGCTTATTAGTTTTTGTTACTTGCATTGTCAGGGACATCGGTCAATCACCGTAGCCTGCTGAATCCACAAAGCTTTGGCCACGGGTACTCTGGTGATGTCACCAACCAGTGGCGTCATGCGGTTTGGCATGGGTACTGGTGCATGGATTTAAATTGGGGCGCTATCGCTTTCCAATATCCCCCAACCTGCACACAACTCACCATCCCCAGCCTGCATCACTGTCAACAAGTCACTGCTGCCACAGTCACTGGTACATCATGCACACCAACCACTGCCCCCCCACAGACCTTCAGGCCAGGGTTCCACCCCCCATATGAAAGACGCCGTTTCACTCTGCTCTCCGGATATGGAACTGCCTCCCTGAACACATTGTCGGTGAAATCACTGATTTAGGCCTTCCAATGCCGAGCACACATGGATATCTCCTAACTTCACCACACGCCTTGTAGCAATTAAGTATTTGAGCTGTAGTGAACCAATGATCACTATTGTCTGATATGGCTCTTGTTCACAATTGCACCCAAAATAAAACCTCTTGGTAGCACGACAACTGAGACGTTCCGACTGTTGGGCCCTCGTGCATTTGCACCGCTTGCACCACTACTCAATGGCTACTTGACTGTCGCCACCTCCACCACTCCGTTTGATCTTCCACGAAGCGCCATGGTCCACCCCAAACCGCATCCACCGCACAACACATGGCTACAGATGCGGATACTTGATGCACAAATAAGAATATTAAAAACTCTCCAGTAATAGTGGTACAACTGCGGGCATCCAGAACACACCGTACAACGTGTAACGACTTAACACTGCCCATAGACTCAGAACACACCGTACAACGTGTAACGACTCAACACTGCCCATAGACTCAGAACACACCGTACAACGTGTAACGACTCAACACTGCCCATAGACTCAGAACAGACCGTACAACGTATAACGACGCAATGCCCCGATCCACAAATACGAAGTAGGCGATGATATACTCCGCTCCTTCCCGACGCGATTATCCGGTTTGACCACCTGCGAATGTGTAGCTTGTTTAGTTGTTGCTCTACGTCTACATCATCAGCAGCAGTCACACGAAAGAAGAAGAACATGGTGGCGGTGGTGGTGATGAATACTGATTGCTGCCGGCTGCTGCTGCTGCTGCCTTTGGCTTACAAATAGGCTCTTCCATCACCCGGCGCTCTACAAGCGATTCCACAAGCAGCACCACGAATGGACGGCGCCCATCGGCCTCGTGTCCCTCTACGCACACCCTCTCGAGCACTTTGTGAGTTGCTCCCCACCCCCCCAACCCGAGCAAGCATCAGGTGCAGGTGGCTCGTGCGGCAGTCTCTTAGACCTCTTGTTCAAAAGTTTGCGCCGTTCGTTTACACGCACAACGTGGTGCCCGTGCATCTCCAGCCCTTTTGTCACTCCACTGCTGGATGAGGGCGACCACACATTCAAGTGATTATTTTTAAGCAGGTAAGGCCCACTAAGCTATACAGCTCTTTTTCAGAAGCAACCCGACCGTCACAAATGATAGCTCAACAAAGTGGCTTATCGCGTGGAAATGTGTAGCAGCCAAATACCCTAAACGCGTGACGTTGATTCTAAATGTGGAGGGAAAAACTGGAGGACCCGGAGAAACATTCACGCGACCACGGGGAGAACGTGCAAACTCCAAATATACAGGCATCAGGGTCGGGATCGAACCCACGGGCTCCTGTTGTTAACATTGCGCCACAATTGACCAAACTGCCAATTGCGATTTTAAAGGTTATTATTCACGAAGAAAGCTGCAAGTTTGGTGTTGAATAGCCCGTGACATACAGCCCAAGTACAGATCTATGATGTAAGATCTGTTGGCTTTTTGGGTTCCATCTATCCCCGCCCCCCCCCCCCCATGACCACACGAGTCAACACAAATGTTTGTCTGTGATTTATGGGGTGGTGGTTGTATATTGATGCAGGGTTCATTGTACTAACAGTGATAAACTTGTACACTGCACTTAAGCCTTGTGTGAAGCACTAAACAAGCCTATAACGCCACACGTTTTTGTAACTTTATAATAGCCAGTGAAAAGCGTTACTGACAGTACATTCAAGTACCTTATTCATGACTTGCACATTCAAGTTGTGTTTGTGTGTGTTCACGTACGTTCGTTTGTTTATTTGTGTAACTGTGCATGATGAAGTGGTGAGCTGTGTCTTTGTGGTTCCCACTGCACTATGAACATAACGGCTTGCGTTAAATTTCCAGCCATGGCGCTAACAGATGAGAATCGGAATTTGGTCCGGGCCTCCCGTAGGTTGATTCGGCTTTAATTGAGTACCCGGTATGATGTGTTAACATCGGCACTGGGGAGACAAAGGTGGCCAGGCCTGGTGCGGGCCACACATCCTCGTGCATCTTGCTGCCCGTCAGAATCGCTCACTACACGGATCTTTATCTTTACAGTTTGTAAGGTTTTTAGGGGATCTTTGTTTACGATTGTGGATGTTATCTTGTGTAGATGTGCATACATGTGTGTTTGGCTGCATATGTGTATCGTGAGTGCATGTTTTTTCGTGCACAGGTGTGTGAATGTGTGTATATGTGTGTAGAGCTGGCCTTAATAGGTGATCGCTCACAACAGAAACATTTCTTTGCGACTGATTTTTGTGTTTAGTTTGTTGTCCTTCCCCACTCCTCTAATTACCATGGTTGGCTACGTGAAAGGCTATTTGGGGGATCTTTGACGTGTGTGTTTGTGTGTGTTTTTGCCATGTGTGTGCAGGGAATTGATTGTTAAATTTTAATTTATGCTTGTGCAATGTTTTTTCGGTTTCTCATGTGACAGTTGTTTTTACACGGATTATTTTATTAATTTATGTGCCATATTTGATTTTCTTTTGTCATTGTTGGTGACCCCCCCCCAGGTCATTCTTGCAAACGGTGAGACTCCTTGTCTCTCGAGTTCTCTCATCTGGTTAAACAAATTAGCTTTGTGTGTGTGCATGTGTGTGTGTGTGTGATTGACCTGGTCAAGGTCTATTATACCATCAACAGGCCAGGGCTGTGGCAGTTCTTCCTGCTTTCAGAGTCCCTGACTGCTCACAATCATTAAGGCCCTTCATGATGGTGGGCAGGCCCAGTTAAAGCTCCGTGGCCAGGAGTCAGAGCCATTCCCTGTTCACCTTAGGGTGCAACAGGGATGTCCTTTAGCCTCCCACATTATTTAACATTATCTTTGACCACGTGGTTCAAGAAGTTTTCTATGGCTGTACCGGAGGAATTTCCATCTGGTATAGATACAACGGGAGGCTGATCGATGCCCAGGTGCAGTCGAGGGATGGCTCCCTATTGGCCAACCATTTTACATATGATCATGATCTGGTGATTGCTGTTCACTGAAGAGGAGTTGGAGGCGCTGCTGCTGAACCTGAAGTGTGCCACTAAGAGGTGGGGTCTTACCATCAGCCCCACCAAAACTAAGCACCTGCCTGGGTATTTCGTGCCACCAAACACTCCACCCCCTCAGCTCCCCATTGGTGATGGAGTAGTTTTGGAGAGATTGGAGAGTTTCCCATACCTGGGCAGTGTGCTTATGACCAGCTTCGGTTTGACAGCAGAGGTCTCACTCTGAATCAGTCGGGCGGTATTATTTTTGTTATTGGCTGCACAATGCTGTATGGAAGCTACCTGGTCTGTCGCTCCGCACGAAGCTTTGGGTCTTCTCGGCTACAGTCATGCCCTCCTCTATGCCTGTGAAACGTAGACCCCTCTCATGGAACATCTGTGCCGGTTAGAAACATTCAGGCTGGTATGCCTCCGATCAATCTTGGGTTTAACCAGGCTGGATTGTGTGAGGGTCTCACATCCTTGAAAGATCTGAACACATTCCCATCACTGAACTCCTCTTGCAGGCAAGGCTGCGTTGGCTCGGTAATGTAGCACGCATGCCCAAGCAGCTTTGTTTGGCCACATAGAGGGGGCTAAACGGGCACGACATGGGCTGGAGAAGAGATGGACTGATGCAGTACGGGAGGATGTGAAGCTGAGTGCACTTGCCAACGACCGGTACTAGTGGTGTCAAGATCGGCCTCTATGGAGGAGGCTCGTGAAGGACGCTACTGGGCAGTTGGAGGCAGTCGCTCTCCAGCAACAATGGAGGGCAGAGGAGCGACGCTCACAACAACGAGCGGAGCGCCGGGTGGCTAAAATGAAGCAAGTTGGCACAGTAGGGGGTACAGCTTATGCATCTACCAGTCATGTCAGTCAGCCAACCCATGGCACCTGGGTCTGTCACGTGGCTTCAAAGTGTACCTGGCCTTGCACAGTGGTGATGTCACCGACACTTAGTGGCGGGTATTGGTGGTTGGGCAGCCGTAGTGTAGCGGTTAGTGTGCTATGTTACGAACTCGGCGACCTGAGTTTGATTCCCGCTCACGGCCAACACCAGTGACGATTATCTGAACCGGTCCTGGACCTCCTCTTGGTCGACTCAGCCTCAAGTGAGTACCTGGTGTGATGTTTAAACTTTGCTACTGAGGAGATATAGATGCTGACCACCCACCCCCTCGTGTGCCATGCCGGCCTTAATAAGTACTCGCTATAACAGCACTTGCCCCAACAGTTTGTTACAGGCTATATGAGGGGTCTTTGTCTTTGTGGTTGGGCAGCTGTCCAACATGCTGCCACCCGTGATGGGCCCGGTGCTCATGGGCTCGCATGCCGCCACCATCATGCTGTGGTTCACCATGGCACTGCTGTCGACGAGTGTGGCGCACTGCGGCTACCACCTGCCCCTGCTGCCCTCGCCCGAGTTCCATGACTTCCACCACCTCAAGTGAGTCTCTCTCCTCTAGCATCACCCGCCCGCCTGCCTGTCACTCACTCACGGCTGGTCTGGTTCGCGTGGGTCACAAGTTACGTGGCGCAGTGGTTAATACTTGTGCCTTCAGGAAAGAAGGGACCGGGTTAGATTCCTGGCTCGGGTGCCTTGTTGTGTTAAGTTTTTGTTTATTTCGCCCCCTATTCTGCATTGGTTTCCTCTGGGTTCTCCCATTTTCCTGCGATAGTAAAAAAAATAAAAAGATAAATTGTAACTATTTTTGGTAAAGCATCTCAATGTAAAAAATACCTGCAAATTAATAATTTAGAATTAATAATAGGGTTTTTCCCCTTTTTTTCTGGCAACAAAACTGAAACCTTTTTACAAGGATTCATGTCTGCGTTAACCACAATACCTGCAGTCAAAATGCAAACAAAAAACATACTATGATAATATATGCATTGTCCTTGAAACTGATTGGCCCACACCAAGGGACGGCTTTCTTTGGGTCGAGGCTCAAAAGAAAGCCGTCCCTTGGTGTGGACCAATCAGTTTCAAGGGCAATGCATATATTATCATAATATGTTTTTTTTTGCATTTTGACTGCAGGTATTGTGGTTAATGCAGACATGAATCCTTGCAAAAAGGTTTCAGTTTTGTTGCCAGAAAAAAGGGGAAAAACCCTATTATTAAATTTTGGTACTGGCAAAGGAGGTCTAATGACATTTAGAATTACACAACAAAATTACCCCCCTCCTGTGAAAATGGGGCAATGCACTCCTGAAAAAACAGTCTTCAGGCTAGTAAGGCTTTTCTCAGGAAACAAGCGTGATGAAAATAAGAATCTCCCAGGGAGTCCACTTTGGTGGAATGGCTGGATATCGGTCCATCGAGCTGGCTAGAAAGAAAGGCAGCATCCTTGAAAAATCACCACCCCTTTTAGCCGAGCTGACCTCAGTTTCCAGCCGTGATGTCACGGTTTTATTATGGCTAAGAAGTGTGCATCCATTACACTTGTAACAGATTCATCCTTGTACGCGATGTGATGGAATTGTCACGTTTTTAGAATCACAATTGGATTCAATAAATTAATCGTGTTTGTCTCGTTGGTATTGCCTTATTTGGTATGCCTGCAGGTTACACCAGTGCTGTCGTGTGTGCTTGGTTACACCTCTTTCACTGTTTGTGCGTGTCATTTATATGCCCTTGCCCGCAGCTTCAATCCATGCCATTTACATCTTTATACTTCACTGTCCGTGGGTTATTTGTGTGCTCTGCCCGCAGGTTTAACCAGTGCTACGGCGTGCTGGGTGTGCTCGACCGGCTGCACGGCACCGACGCCGCGTTCCGCCGCACCAAGGCATATGAACGGCACATCATGCTGCTGGGCCTCACCCCTCTCAGCGAGAGCATCCCTGACACTCCCAAGCTCGGCAAGGGGGAGTAACCCCCCACCCGCCAACCGCCCCCCCACCGACCGCCCCCCCCCCGCCCCCATCGATCCACCCCCGCCGATCCCCCCCTCTCTCTCTCGAGCCTCGAAATCTCCTCAGGGGGGGGGGGGGGAGCAAGTGCTGTTAGCGAGCGCCTGTTCAGGTCTGCACCACGCACGAGTTTACTGGTAGTGCCAGGGCATTGCTGGACGTGCATGGCCATATTTTGTCTCCCCAGTTGCTGAATTTGGCTGCGTTGCAGTAAATGCTCGTTGAAGTCCGGGTTCATCTAGGGAAGGTACGTGCCAGATTAAGGTACCCATTTGTCAATGGTTTGTCATGGCCAGGAATTGAACCGAGGTAGAAGAGTTGAAGTACAGTGTGCAAACCACTACAATACACCAGTTAGGGGCCATTCATTGAGTAGGTACGTAAATATCTGTCAAAACTTGACCCCTCCCCCCCTCCCTGTACGCACGTGTACTTTTTACACCCCCCCCCCCCCCCCACCTGCGTACGTATGCTTGACGCACCACCCCCCCCGAATCCTATAGAATGGCCGATATTTAATCCACGTAGAAACGATCAAGGATTAATAATATGAATGTGATTTTGATTTAAAGCTTTCGTGACTGCAGTAATTCATATTCTTAGTTTTTTCGGTAAAGTCGGTTTGCAAACCGACACAGCTGATGATGACCGTTTGAGTTATGGTCGAAACGTCGTGAGAATTTTTATTGTTTTATATATATTTTGTTATTTTGTTGTTTCTCTTCAACGTGACTTTACCGAAAAAACTAAGAATATAATATGAATGTGTTTAAGCAAACAGATAGTCCACCGCCGGACTATCTAATTAATTTGAAGGCCAATGTAGACAAATTATTATCGAGGCTTCACCCCCCCCCCCCCCCCCCCCCCCGTTTCCTATGCGTACGTACATTGTCAGTAGACCCCCCATACGCAAGCTACGCATTTGCGTTAACCCACCCCCCTTCCCCCTCCATGCGTACGTACTAAATGGATGGCTCCTTACTCTCCAAACAATCGTGTTAAGTGCTCCCCTTAATAGGTGCTTGCTAACCTCACTTTGTGTGTCTCACGTAATAACTTTTAGATTTCGCTTCATTTTAATGTCATCAAAATCGCACATGCCAGGGCGGTAAATACTGGTCAGCTGCTTGCAAGGCATCGTGGGGCGGAAAACCTCTAGAGTACATGGTAAGCTCAGCTGAAGGACCGAACCACAAGTTGTATGTACAGCGTCATAAAATTGCCAGCAGCTTAAGCAAAACGTTCATAAATTTACATATTGTCTTTCTTTTGAAGTGCCAATGAAAATGCACTTCTGGACTGTTTCACGATTCGTTTTTGTTGATAAAAGGGACTTCCAGGAAAATCCCCTCTTGGAATGTCTTTGCCAGTTCCTTTTTAAGTGGCCTTTCACTCGGGAGGAAACTGGAGTTACCCGGCTGCAAACCAAGGCACACAAATGGATACCATGTACAGGTTCACGAACCAAATTTCTGTTGTGCCATATTCCTGGCTGTCTTTTGCAGCCTGGCGGGCTTGGGCAGTTTTACAAATCGATGTGAATTACTAAATATGCCACCGCACCCCGTGTGTGTGCACAATGCATTGAGATACTTTATGCACAACCATTCTTTGTTGCGCAAGTTTTTTTGGTTAATTTCCAATGTTGTGGATTATATTGGCTGGAGAGAGAGGGTGTGTTAAGAGGTTGCAGTGTTTTGAGATAATTAATCTGCCTGGGCATGTTACACACGATAATCTTCACTGCTTATCGGTGTAATCTCCTCTGGGTTTAACTCCCTTCATGCCGTGGCCAGATGACTTTTCCAGTTTACCCATTTAACACGTTTAATCTTTTTGGAAGGAGTGAAGTGATTTACTTGTCGCTCGTCAATGAGAAACGTTTTAACGATTGTGAGATCTATGCCTAATGGCCTCCTGGCTCGTGATAGCAACGGCTGACTCCTGGAACAATCGGAAACATTGCTGCGTAGTAACATCGAATGTGCAACCCATGCAAATCAAACCAATGGGCAGGTGACGTGTGCTTCCCAAACCATCGCTTTTAACAAGTCCAACTACCAGCTTTTGTTGACGTCTTTCGATACTTTACCCAGGAAAGCTGCTTTCTGATGTTTATCCCTGGTGATGCATGGTGATATATGTCAACAACCGATACATTTGATTGTAAGGTGACTTGCATTTTTATTGGAGGTCTCTTTATGTTTATTTAAGTCACACGTCTGCCGAGCTCTCTTGGGTAAATATTGATGTTCATTTGCCAAAATGTGGTCTCGTCATTTTTTAGTGATTTATAGATGTTTAAACGTACTTTCTTAGAAGGATACATTTTCCCTTTTTATTCTTGTTTTTATTCCGTGGAATTGATTGAATGCTCCTGTTTGAAATGAAGAAAAGTAAAAATGTTTAGTAGCGTATGGATTGTGAGCAGTGCCATATGATCAGATCTTCATGTGTGCATGGTTGCCAAATGTGATTTGAGGCCTTCCAATTATCGTTTGGTGTAGATTATACCTTTTGTTTTATCCAACATTTACACTTAAATTGAAGATTACTTTTTGTGATACCGCTCTGTTCAATTGCATTCAACGTGACTTGTTTTTGTCATCCGTGGAAACGTCTGTAATTTGCTCACAAGACTTCCACAATTTCTTCTACGTGTATTCACATTATGTTTAACAGCAAATTAGTAGAGTAGTAGTAGTGCACTTTATTAACAGAATTGCAATATTCATGAAGCTTCAATAACTCGCTAAATAATTACTCTGCGACTCACAAACGACCGTCCAGGTCTTGCGAAGAGTGTTCATGAAGGGATCGACCATTCCGCAAATGGATAATTACACAGCAGCTTTTGAGGGAGGTTGATACACCTACACACGCTTAGGACATATCAAGATTTTTATTGCAACGAGTGTCATCTTCTCTGAGCCTACGCGTGTCCACCATGGCAATAGCGACGCACATCGTTACATCTGGGAGGCCCAGCCGCTTGGCGAATGCCTCGCGATTTTTGCGATGGACCTCTCGTGCTTATTTTGCATAAACTTTAGATTTTCATGTAATTCGGACATTGGACCGTATAGAGTTCAAATTGGGATATCTTTGTGGACACCTTGTGGGTTCATATTTCAATTGGTATCAAACCCAACATTAAAAATATATATATACTAGGAATGGGAGTTTTACAGGGAACAGCATTTGTAGTTTTATTTACATGGCACTTGAGCAATGCAGTGAGTGTAAAAGAAAAAAACCCAATAGCACTGGGACCTTACCACTCCAAGACTTACGTTTTCTTGGGATTTTTTTGCACTTAAAAAACACGTGGCATTTAGTAACAGACGACTTCAATGCACTTTTTGTTGTAACACTCAAAACACGTCAAAAGTCTCTAATCTGTTTCCGAATTGTGCACGAAAACTAAGCAATTCATTGCCTGCTATTTGCCTTAACGCAACAAAGATCAGGTTGAAACTTTACATGTTGTATTTTAACAAAAAGAATACTTATCAGTTAATCGGCAAGCTGTGGTGTTCTGGAAGATGGTCAATTTTCTTTGTGTGCTTTAATTGCTTTTGACGTTTTTTAGATTATGCGTAGTTGAACGCAACATCGGTGCAAGTTGTACTCCATAAACGTTAACGTTTAACTTCTGATCGTGACCAGTTTCTGCTGTTGTACACGTGTTACACGTATATGTGTGTGGTTTTAATAAAGGGCCCAATTGTTGCAAAGTATATTTAATTTACATTTGTGTCGTCTTTCCCCCCTCCAAACTTTATCCCAAATGTGCTCAATGTTGGCATCACGTCACGAGACGAAGGCAACCATTCGGATTTCTCGGGAAGGAGCAGGCCCTGAACCCCCTTTGGTGTTAGTGAACGGCACGGGGTAACGGACATCAAAGCTTCCACCGAGAGAGATCCCTTTTAAGTGACCTCTGGTCAACATTGAGGGCAGCACTCACTCGCCCTGCCACCAAGAGTAATAATGTTCATCGCATGATATTGGTTTAACATTTTAATAATTGGAAATTTGCCGAATTGTATTGTCGTTGTTGACCGGATGGAGGCCAAATCATAATTGAGAACCCAGTTTAATCACAAGTCGGCTACCTGGATTCAAATTCAGGATATCTTAAAATAAAACTATTTTACCAAATAAGGCCCACATTTAATTATAGCTCAACGAAGTGGCTTATGTAGAAATTTATAGCAGCTAAATACTCAAAGTTTGTTTCACAATCCGCTTGTCCTGGTGAGGGTCGCGGCGGCAGCATGTTGAGTAGGACTCTAGCTGTTCCGGAGTAATTGCCAGGCGTTCCCAGGCCAGCCGAGCGACATAGTCTCACCAGCGTGTCCTGGGCCGGCCCTGGGGTCATCGCCTCAATGTTTCTAAATGTGGAGGGGAAAACCAGAAGACCCGGAGAAAAAATCCATACAACAAACAGGAAGAAAATGCAAACTCCAAATATACGGCAGGCGTCAGGGTTGGGATTAAACCCATGACCTGTACACCAGACGAGGTAGTTAACATCTCGCCACTGTGGCACCCAATCTGAAGTTAGCAAGTTTTACTCTGGGGCCAAATAGTGGTTATGTGCCCTGCAATCTAGAACCTTGGGAGGCAAGATCGTGAAGGAATTAGAAAAAAAAATCCTAATTCTGTTGGGTGGTCCTGTTCACTATAGCGGTCCCTCGGTTTGCCGTATTTCGATTAACAATCCGCATTTCGATTCACAATCCGTCTCCCTTAGGGTTACCCCATTGTTCCTACTAACGATACATTTACGTTGTTTACGATATCACGCGGACCCACCAATTCCGGCCAATCGGAGTGCTCCTTAAGCAGACTTGGCAGCAAACCTAAGTCAATCAACGAGTTTTGAGAGCAACTGGCTGATAGCTTTTCAATGTTTGATGGCGCGTTGCTTATGAAAACAGTACTCTTGAATACTTCGTTGTTTTACTTAAAACATAGCATCAATAACAATGGCCCCTAAAATGAATGAGAAGACAAGTGATAAAAACAATTTCCCCCAACCCAACTTCTCCATCAACCCCTTAAGGCATTCATTGTCTTAGCCTAAGGAGCCGTCCATAAATGACGTCACACGATTTTTGACCACCCCCCCCCCCTCGTCACACGGCATCACAAAATGTCAGACCCCCCTCAAATATGACATCACAAAGCTCTGCCTCCCCCACCCCCCCAAAAAAACGTGCTGCAAATCGCTTTAAACTGTTGTCATTGTGTGTATTTAATGTGGCGCTGCACTGTTGTAGGAGAAAACATTTATTAAAGTCTATTTAATTAAGTAGAACGTGTTTATATTTAAATTTGCGCATTTTGATGTGACGTCACATGTCTCACCCTCCCCCCCTCGTCACACGTCTGACCCCCGCCCCCCCCCCCCCCAGGTGCGTGACGTCATTTATGGACGGCCCCTAAGCAACGTTATGCTCTATGTATGCACCTTTGTATGCTCTATTAATTATTTACCCATGTTTCTATTATGAATACTTAAAGATGTTCTTATGTTAACTTATAATTGCGTGTTTAAATATGAGAAACTATGTTTTTAGGGTGGAAAAAAGTAAACTTCCGATCGTCTTGGAACAAATTAAGCCCTTTCACATCTATTTCCTATATTCGATTAACAGTCATTTAAGTTAACGATGGTTTTCGTAGAACCAATTAATATCGTTAACCGAGAGACCACTGTATAGCAAATGAGATTGGGATCCCATCTGTTCTAACCGATGTGTTATCCCCACGTGAACAAAAATAAACTCCGTATAAATGGTCAAACGCCTCCATGCAGGACCCCTCCTGAAAAAAGGCATCTTGAGACTCGGTCTCTCTTGCGCAAAGAAAGCAACTTTTATTTTAGACAACATTCATACTGCATAGCAATTTCACAGTACCCATCGTTGGGAGGTTTAAAAGCCGATGCAGCCTTAACCTCGGCAAATCATACAACTTTCACATTCCACTACTCCCAGAACAACACCACACGCGTACACACACACACAACTATCGTTAAAAATATATCCACCTGGAAATCATCAACGGGTCTCATTTCGTGCTGCTGATAAGCATTCCAGTGACAGCCACTTGCCTGGTGGGTTCCACGGTGGCGAGATATTTACTACCACACGGAATATACAGGAGGTCCTGAGTTCGATCCCAACGCCTGCTATATATTTGGAGTTTGCACGTTGTCCCCGTGGTTGCGTGGATTTTTATCCAGGTCGTCCGGTTTTTCCCCTCCACATGTGGAAATATGCGTTTGCAGTATTTGGCAGCTCTAAATTTCCACGTGATAAGCCACTCGGTCGGGCTGTCATTTGTGGTCAGGTCGCTTGTGAGAAAGAGCTACAATATAGCTCAGCAGGCCGAACCTGGTAAAATAAGAGATGGCTTTAGTTTCTCTTTTCCCCTCCTGACTTCCCCCATTCTAGTCATCTAACCATACCTTCCACCTGCTGCCCTGTGCTCTACCCCTACACAATGTGTGCTATGTTTCCAAGACCAATGGTGCAACATAACCCAAAGCCATGCCGGGCTGTTTCTGCAACAGGCATAGATTATTGTACAATGCTTCCATAGCCGGGCGGCGTTGTATTACCCAGTACATCCTCTCTGCCTCTTCCTTACCTCCCTTTCTCTCTGTGGCCAGAGGGATACTATTATAACATTGCTTAACAGTTTAATGTACGCTTGCTTAACAGTTTAATGTACACTTGCTTTAAGGTACAGTGTTCCAAACCAAAAGTATTTTTTGTAATTTTCTATTATTTGTATATAAAACATTAAGTTTTAAAAAAAGGTACGTTTACCGGCGGTTTTCTGACACCGATGTCTCCCCCGCCCCCCCCCCCCCCCGGGGGGGTTCCTCACGGCTTCTCCCTCTCACGGCACGATGGCAACAACACACTCTGGAGACTGAACTGGGAAGCCGAGTAAAGCTTTACTTTTCAAAATGAGAGCCAAACGGTGTGGTAGGGACTGACTTCACCTCGGCCAAGACTGCCATGGGAATGTGAGCCTAGCAACTTTTCCGGGCCAGCTTCTCATCAACAGTTGTGGGAATTCAACATCTGCGCTCCACTCAATCAACAACCCTCCAACCCCAATGCACCAATCACATCCCACCCCTCCCCAGCAATTCATCTTCCCACCCTGTGTCTGGGTCGCAAAATGTATAGCTTAGTGCCAAGTTAAAATTGAGGGGGAGAAAAAAAGAAGTAAGCTATGGTAATGTTTAGTTTTTCATACAATGAAATGCTACAATTCCCAACTCTGGAACTCAGCGAGTTGAACAGAAACTTTAGGGTTTCTCTATTTTACATACGAGGTAATGAGTGTTGTGTGACTTGGGGCAAGTGGGATTAAAAGTATGCTTACGATTGATGAAGGGCACTTTGGGCTTTTTACAGAATACATTTCAGCTCTTATTCCCCCATCATAAAAACCAGACAAGTGGAAAGTTGTGCTTCAGCAAATAGTACGTGGTCAATTTTCTTTTGTGTCGTTGGCAAGGGTCAATCCGGCCGGGTGGCGCTGTGGTCAGAGCATCTGCCCCAACCAGAAGAGCATCTGCCCCAACCAGAAGAACATCAATTCGAACCCCAATGAGAGGTTGACTTGGCACGCCATCCCCAAAAGGTGGAAAAAAACAAGTACCTCGATGTCCACAGCAGTTGTCCTATGGAGGGACCGGTCCCCCACAATGGCAACGCTGAATTTTCTCCATCGGGTCAGGGTCACCAGGCCCCCAATGCTTGCTCGCTTGCTTGATCAGGGAGACACTTTTTAACTTAACATTGTGAATTCGGGACAATGTAAAAGTTGTTATGTCACTGCACCATTTGCCAGTCCCAAACCCCTTTCTCATCACCCCCTTCGCTTCTTCCATTTCACCCCGGTCGCTCTGCCCACCCGCTGTCGATGGGCTCCACAAACAGAACCGCCGGCCCCCGTCGTTTCACTTCTTCCCGCGCTTGTTCCCCGGTGGTGGCTTCTTGAGCTGCAGCGGCTGGGAGACGTTGGCCAGACCCAGGCCAGGCGTGGACGAGACGCCGAAGGTGAGCCCAGCTGATGGGTTGAGTCCCGGGTTGCTGAAGCTGAACCCGGAGGTGGAACTCCCTCCTGCTGTGCCAGCAAAGCCTGCCGCCACAAGGGTGGGGGGGGGGGATTCCATTACACGTGCCGCGTGGGGTCCGCGACTGTCGTCCACACCTTTTAGGAGATCCCACCAAACTATCGCTGGCCACACTTACAATATTATTTGCATGTAACTGCGTGCACTTGCGCTATGATGTAGCTGCGGTGAGCAACACTTGGCTTGCGATGCAGGGGGGTTGCCGGTTCGATTCTATCTACTTGTCGCCCCCCGCAGCTGAAACAAAGGGGCTAGTGTGATAAACTCTCCCTCCTCGCCTCTGTCCACCCACCGGTATAAATGGCTTCACAACGCTTAGTCGAGCGGCAGGCTGTACAAATAACCCGGGAAAAGTAGCGCACTTCCGCAGTTCCGTCTAGCGGCCATGAGTTTCACTGACAGCCTAATCAGACAAGAGGTAATTTTGTAAGAGATACCTGCAGTAACTATAAAATATTATCAAAACAAGAGATCAGGGTGCAGAAATGTGGTGCCAGAAAGCACAAGATTGTATAACACAAGGACACATTGATTTTAATTAATGCTGTCCGTAGTCTATGGAAAATGGTTTAATGTGCTGCTGTATGTCGTGCAGAGAATGAAAGTGGACGCCGAATTGATAGGGTCCTACTTACTGCATCTGGAACAGATGCCCAAGGACCCCAGAAATGTGCCTGAAATGCTCCTTTTTGTGTGGAACCTGTGCATGCAGCAGCAGGTGCCAGGGATAATGTTGTTCAAGTGCTGGATTATGTGCACGCCAAATTTTCACGTAGGGAAATGTAAAATTTTAAGTCAGTGCAGATAACAGTGTAGTGGAATGCCTCATCTGAAAATGAAGTGCTATCCGATGGCGGTGATACGACTGAGAGCAAGTACGTTTGTAGCTTGTTGCAGAGGCTTGCGGTTCAAACACTGCAGCTGCCCTGGTTCAAACCCTGCAGGTGCCCCCTGGTTCAAACCCTGCAGGTGCCCTGGTTAATACTGTTGGGTGTATTAACCCTTTCCCATTCCGATGACGTACATGTCATCAGAAAAACTTCATAAAATAACTATCGATACTGATGCTCCCACACAGCCATGCCGGAGGGCGCGTGGCAGTTTTGGCGACAGCTATCATAGAGTGCGTCGTGTCAATATGGTTCTCTGCGGTGAGTACAATGTCTTTAAAAACAGCGGAGCTACGATGCCTCTCTAAATAAAACTAACGCCAACCGCGTGCGCGTTCCAAGATTCGGCGGTGAATGAGAAACCCAACACCTTGCAACTTGCAGACGTCTCACAAAGGGGTTTACCAAAAAATGTGGTTTGCTTGACAGTGAACGTTGAAGATCCTGTCATGTTAAAAGAAAATAAGTAGGCCGAGTGGGTGCCGGTGTCAAAGTGCTAATGTGAATAACCTGGAAATACCTCAACGGAAAAACCGCGTACCAGCATGGCCCCCTACTGGCACATTGATATCCACTTGCAGGACGGTGCTGCGTTCACCTTGTGCCCTATAGGGGCAGCTGTCACCGGGGGGTCCCCAGGGATAAACTACAGTCGGGCATTCAAATGATTGAGATGAAATGTATGGAGCTTTTGAGTTGCTGAGGAATTTAAGTGGCCTTTAAAAGCAAATCCTTCTGGCAACAATTTTGTTGTTTACAGGTCATGCTATGGCAAAAACTGATGACCACATTCATGATATTATGTAAATGCAAATTATTTAAAAGGTTATTATAATTACGTCATTATTTATTCACAAAAGCCTCAGATCCTGTTTGAAGATGGTCCTGCATTGGAACGTTTGGCCACATGCCTTCTTAGGGAGTGTTTGTGTATGAGAAGAAACTGGAGTAACTGGAGAAAACCAAGACAGAAGAGGGGATTAACACGTAAAAGAAGATCGACACAGATGGGTTATCTAATCTGCTTGTTGTGCTACCATCTCCTGGCGAAATTGCAACCTGCGGATTTAGGAGTTCCAAATCTTTAATTCGGTGTCCAATTATTCAACCGCCAACGAATCGATAATCTCTCGTGATTTGAGGTTGCAATTAATATCAAGAACAGAATTTATAATTTTACTGTCCTAATTGTGCCGTTTCCAGAATTTGTCTCCTTTATAAAGTTTTGTTCGCTCCCCTTACCCGAGTGTAACATTCAAAATGCATTTACATTTCATTTTTATACATCATAAATATCCATTTCATACATGTGATGCGTGCATCACATGCACAGGAATCGATTTTAATTTGACGATTTGATGCATAGTTATTTGCCTATCTGTGATCCACCGAAACAACGCTGCTTTCAAAGCACTGGATAACAAGTGTGCGTCCACCACTTACACCCAATGTAAAAATATTATCTCCCGTGTCCTGTGAACGAGGCTAGAGCGCTGCCATGGTCGAAGCTCGCAAGCCACATGGAATCCCAATACTGGTGTGATGTCACAATAAGCAGGCATCTGGACCAGCTGTAGTAGGCCAGGATTATTTTATACATATATTTGTACCTCCAAACTAGGGGAAAAAAGCGTGGGTCTTTTGAGTTGCGATTCGTGTTGCGGCAGGTGCGGCACTAAGCAACACCTAAGGATTTGCGGTGAATTGCTGCGGGCCAAATAATCCACCGAGCACAGCAAGCCGGTGGTGTAGCGTTGTCGGTATTTAAGTAGAGAACGATTAATAAATTATTACGTGCATGATAGGTGCACAGAACGTCACGAGAATCAATTATGTACAATTTATGCCAATAACATTCAATGGGTTATCATCCAAATAATGAAAAAAAATAGACAGTATAAGACTATACTTTTGAGAGTGTCTCATTGAGACCAATCAGCCTAAATTTTACATTTAAATACAACTTGCACATAATTAAATAGTTGGTTCTTACATGCATGAATTGATTTATCGTGAGCATAATAATACATTTTAATAAATGAATCATTACACGCTTGGTAATGATTGCACGTCAGCAGGGGCATCTCTTTCCAAATGATGGAGGCTGCAAGGCCTTAGAAGGTCAGCAGGTCAGAGGCCCTAATGAGCTCACTGGGCAAGTCAAGTTTTTGTTTGATCAGGCGAGAACTCACGTGAGACCAGGGGAAGTCTCATTCGCGAGAGGGGCCTGGGTAAAGCAACCAATCAACCTATTTGTGGGGGACATCGCTCGTTGCCTCCAATCCATTCTAGTGCGGTCTAGAACTCATCGAAGGGGGCCGGCTCAGTCCTCTGACCGCCCCACTGAGCCCGCCATCTGCGTCTTCCATTTTAAGCATCTTGAAATACCAATTTTATGCTCTTTTTTTGCCGTTCGCGTGCTTTTTTTAAAAGAAAAAATCTAATAAAAAATCCATATCTGCTTCATATCACGACACGAAAGAATCCATTAGGGGAGAGCAGTGCAATCATTTGTGTTTAGGGAATGGCACACAGATACTCCCAAGTGACCTCTGTGCCACACAGAAGGGGACAAGCAATTCCCTACAATGATCTGCCAGAGCTGGGAATTTAGCCAAATTTAAGTGCACAACCAAATTTAATGAGATGAAATTTTGTGCAGACATTGGTGTGTCCTGCCAAAGACTATCAACTCACTACTACAATGGAGAACCTGGTTTAATCACAGGCAGCTGCCTGAATGAGAAACCAAGATCTCAGTGTGTTGCCAGCTCACTGCTCTTGACCTCTGTGCCAACCCAGCCTCCTCCAATTTAAACTTGTTAGAAATTCAGATTGTGCTGTATTGCAGAAAGTGATGCCCCTTTTTCCACTGGCTCACCCATGCTGAACCAGCACAAGGCTCTCACAGTATGGGTGATTTTCCAATGGTCGTTTGCCATGCAAAGCCAGAACCTAACCGCCGATACGCTGACCTCACAAGACGTCCGTCTGCATCTGGCTCGGAGGCCAAGCAGGGTCAGTGATGGAGCTAACGACGCATTCGTTGCGTGTACCGTCAGTCGGCATGCAACTCAAACACGGCTTCAACCGCGTCGCCGACATGCGTCTCAATTCAGTCACAGCGTGGCGACGTTAATGGCACGGCTCGGCGCTTTCTGCATTAGAAAATCGACCTGGCTCAGCGTGGCCCCGGCATGGTTGTGCAGTCTAGAGGGTGGCATTCGCTATGCTTCCGAAGCACCCAGAAGTCTCAACAGTCGCTGTACACGAAGAACAAACAACGAAAATGTTTGCCTGCGCTCAGACTGCCGGACGGCTTGTTGGCAGCGCCAAAGCTGAAGCCCGAGTTGAAGGAGGAGCCAGAGGAGAAACCCGAGCCCCCTCCAAACGTAGAGCCTGCCCGCCCCACACACGGAGCACAGCAAGCACAGCGACGGCGTGAAGAGAGACAGAAGGCGCTCTCTCTCTACGTGTGTGTGCGCGCAAGTGAGCGCATGCGCGCGTGGGGGCGAACCAGCACCGTGCGCCACACGCAGGCTCAATCTACAAAGGCTAGGCCATAATGGAATAAAATATCATAGTCCAGAATCTTACAAAAAGTTTGTATTGTCGTCCATGGCAGATACACCCTTCCTCAAACACACTTGCTCTCACGGTTGTTTTTCATTATTTTATTCCCAACTTGTAATGATGCTTATAAAGATTTATAATTAGTTATTTTGATGTGCATTTTTCAAATGAGGTTTTTTTTGCCGTTTTGTTTGCACGTTTTAATTTGCTGCCGTTTTGCCGACTATGAAGCCTATATATTTGGAATTTGCATTTTCTCCCCGTGGTCGTGTGGATTTTTTCTCCGGGTCCTCGGATTTTTCCCTCCACATTTAGAAACATGCATCGAGATTATTTACATTATTTTCGTGCAATGTCCAAATGATGGGCCACTCTGTTGAGCTATCTCAATTGTGGCCAGGTTTCTTCTGAAAAATAAGTTAATACTTCAGCGGGTTTTGCCTGGTAGGATGGGGATGCATATTCTTTGGGCCTCTCGGCAAAGTCACGTGACTTAACCGAAAGACCCGAATAATATGAATTCCCGCAGCCATGAAAGCTTTAAGTCAGGATGGGGATGGTTTATTTGTATGTGTTTGGGTGACTTATTCACCTTTCTTGCACCACAAGTACAGTAAAACCTTGGATTGCGAGTAACTTGGTCTGCGAGTGTTTTGCAATAAATATTAATTTGATAAACGAGCGAGGTCTTGCAATACGAGTAGTGTACGTATACGCTTTGTCTGCCGAGCGTCACGTGATCACAAATGATATACGAGTGCTTTGATATACGAGTGTTTAGGATTACAAACACGTTTCCGGAACGAATTATGCTCGCAAAATAAGGTTTTACTGTATATGTGGTTAATGCAGACATGATTCCTTGCAAAGTTTTCAGATTGGTGTTTTAACATCTTAACACAACTGTTTTATTGCCAGAAAGGGGAAAACCCTATCATCATAATTTAATACTGGCAAAGGAGGTCTCATGATGCACACATTTTCTCATTGAAAATAGGTAAATTTCAAAATATCACTTTCCTGGTCACAAAAGCAAAGTTTGTTGGGAATAAGCCATTTTCTGTACTTTTGAGGCATAAGCAATTCGGAAATAACACTTACTACCCAGGAACAAAAAACATACTTTTTGTTACAGTGTTATACTGTAAATCACTTTCACGAATCAGCCCCCAAATGTCGTCTCCCATCATGTTGTCGTTATACTGTCCTTGGTAGCGGCGTTCAAAGTCCAGTATTATCCTGGTGGAAGTGCTCGCCTTGCTCCTCCGAGTGCTCCCATGTTCTCCTTGAATTTACCAAGATGAGCATCAAGGATATGGACTTTGAGGGACATCCTACAGCCCATTGTGCCGTAGTTCTCCACCAGAGTCTCAACCAGCTCCACATAGTTTTCGACCTTGTGATTGCCCAGGAAGCCACGAACCACTGCGACAAAGCTGTCCCAAGCCGCTTTCACCTTAGTAGTGAGCTTATTGGGGAATTAATTGCACTCCAGGATCTTCTTGATCTGTGGTCCGATGAAGACACCGGCTTTGACCTTTGCCTCAAACAGCTTAGGGAAGAAGTCTTGAAGGTACTTGAAGGCTGCCGACTCCTAATCTACAGCTCTGACAAACTGTTTCATAAGGCCCAATTTGATGTACATCAAATTACAATAGGCAACATTTAGGGCAACGGCCCCAGATATTTAAATGATAGGCAACTCTAGATTTGAAGCTTTCGTGACTGCAAGGATCCATACTCTTTGGTTCTATTGGGTAAAGTCACGTAAAAGTATATATATAAAAATAAAAAAATTCACGACGTTTCGGCCACAACACAAGTGGCCTTCATTAGGTGAAGGCCACTTGTGTTGTGGCCGAAACGTCGTGAATTTTTTTTTTATATACTTTTACGTGATAGGCAACTGTCCAGGCAATAGTTCTTCTCGGGTTGTTGCCCATAAACGTTGTCTTGATTTGTTGTTTTCCATTTCAGGCAGTGCTCTTGACAAAATGTGTTGAGTTGAGCGTCGTTTTGTGCTTTGTGCACCATGGCTCACGCGGTATCACCAAATAATCGTTAAATGTTCTGCTCGCAGATCTCACCTCACAGCTAAAGCATCCGGTCTCAGTAGTGGCGTCCCTTCCAAGGTCCTAGCTAACAAGCCCATATTAGCCTCATATCCCAAGCATGTCAAATACCAATCACCTATTTCATTTATGGGTTTCCTACTGTTCCTATCCATTCCAATTATGCATGCAAAATGCTCTAAAAAAGTAAAAGAAAATTGAATGCACTCGTGTGAGTTTTAATATTCTTTATTTAATAAATAAATTGTAATAGTGCAAAATAATTGCCGTCCTTGTGATGTAAATTTGGGCAGGGCACGTTGGGAGAAGGGACGGCCAAGAAAACAAAAAATAGGGATAGGAGTGGCAACCCAAGGAACGTCTGCCGAGGAAATGGAAGCAATCAAATCAGCTCGTTGCGCAGGTTCCGGAGTGGATTAATAAACGTCAACGGGACCACGAATGTAACTCGAACACTTGAAAGGCTCACAGACCAGAGCATCAGGCGATGGGCACTGTAAATGGGTACGACCCAAAGGGCAGAGTGAGCGTTTGGGTACCTCCCAGGGATGAGGCGAGGCCCCCTGAGAGGCCAGTACCGAGCGAGGGAGCTATGCCCAGACCTAGCGAGCCCTGGGACCCTGCGGCAGAAACAACAGAAACACACAAGCAATCTCATTAACCTTCACACCTTTATATTCTTGGGTCTTTATCTCTCAATCAGTGTTAACCGTTTCCCCGTTCCAATGACGTACGTGTGTGCATCATCAGAACGACACCGGAGGAAAAACTGAAATAAAATTATTTTATCGGTACGGAGGTTCCCACAAGGCTATGCGGGAGGGTGTGTGGTCGTGTTGCAATGGTTCTCTGCGGTGAGTGCAATGTCTTTAAAAACAACGGCGCTGCTACGCCTCTCTAAATAAAATTAACGCCGAGCCGCTCGCGCGTTCTGAGATTCAGCGGGTGAACGGGACACCCAACCTGCGACTTACAGACATCTCCCAACGGGAAAGGGTTAAGGCACAGCCCTTTGGTCAAATCCACAACCAGATGAGGGTCTGCCCATGCTATGCGTGTTATTTGACCATAGTTTAACACGGAGGCTTTCACGACCAATATTATCCGCCACCTGATGAGACTGGTTGTAATTACCTGTGAAATGTCGTGCTCGCATTATAAATGTTGTGGGTTTACTCTCCAACACATCGTTGTGCTGAACTTGTAACTAAACACCTCCATTATGGATATTTGACCGTACTTCACAATGCTCGTCAGTGTGGGCTGAAGGTTGGGAACATAAAACATCTGCGAATTGTATGGTACAACGGACATTGCTGCACAGCTAACAATGTAGCCCCACAGTAGTCTACAACACCTGTATTATTTTAACATGTAATTTTTCCCACCAATATTATCCACAAGAGGGGTTTTTTTGGGTGAGATCGCATAGATATAAATGTTGTTAAAACCGCTACCACCCAACAGCCAATGAGTAAGGTTTGTCACGTAAACAAAACATGCCAATTAGTTACTAGCTCAGCACACCGTGTGTTGGAGAGTAATTCGAATTTACAATAACAATTCAACTAGTAACTAATTGGCATGTTTTGATTACATGACAAACCTCACCAATTGGCTCTGTCGGGTGGTGGCGGGTTTAACGACACATCTATATCTACGCTATCTAACCCAAAAAAACCCTCTCCCTGTGTTATTGATTGGCAGTCATCCATCCAGGCACTATCCAGCGACAGCGCTGCTTAACTTCTTTGTGAAACTCATTGCCGGCCACTGCCCAGGATATGTCACTACCTGGTCGCCAGTTCGGCTGTAGGCTCAAGTCGGAAATGCTCTGTGGAGCTTACATGGCATCAACATAACCCATTTGAGACTGCCTTCATGCTGTAAAAATTACACGAATAACACGTGCTCTACTAATCTCATACATGCATACATACATGATGACACACGCGGAATAAATACAAAGCAAATCGCATCGTAAAAAAATAGTGCAATGCAAACGTTAAAAAAAAAATCGCACTGTAGAAACCTGCTGCTGCCGCCGCTGCCGCTGTGCCCAGGTGCTGGTGCTGCTGCTGTTGCTGCTGCTGCGTGAGTGTGGCTGCCATGGCGACGGCGGCGGCGTTGGGGAGGCTGCCGAAGGGCGCGGGGCCCGTGGTGAGGCCCGGCCCAGGCACGAGGCCGTCGCGCACGCGCTTGCTGGCCGTGCGGTGGGCCTCAAACACGTCCGTGTCGTCCCCGTGGTACGTCTTGCGGAAGCTCAGGTACTGCTCCTTTTGCCTCTGCATTCACGAGATCGCGACAAGTCATTAAGCACTGGGCAAAATGGAAGTGCTCGGTCCCTTTTAACAACGTTACTCATGGCAATAAAAGTAATTTTTTGGTTAGATCGCGGAAAATATGAATGCGTCGTTAACCCATCGCCACCCGACATGGCCAATCAGTAAGGTTTGTGACGTACACACAGCGTACCAATCAGTTACTACTTTAGCACACTGGTGTATCGCCTCCATAGCCATGATCAACCCGCTGCTGAATTAAGAACTCTACATCCCCCAAGACTTTTCCGCCTCCCCAGGGTCTTGCGAGATAACACCTAAACATCTCCACCTCCGTGGTTGACGACCTCTTGGGTGGGTTCCCGGTTACCGCCATTGGCCGCCGCTCCAGCGGGGTTGAGAAGAACGACCGGGTGGCAGCCAAGGGAGGGAATGCGCCCGAAAGGATATCCACCGTGGAGATGGAGCGATTAAATGAGCTCGTGCGCAGGTGCTAATTGGATTGTTACATCGCTCGACGATGAATGGCTTGGCGACGCTTTCATTCGGCTGCGGATTGGATCAGGGCTGATGATACGTTTTTACAGCATGCAAAGAGATGACGTTTGCTTTTGGCCAGACAGGGAGTTGAGGACATTGTGGTAGAAGCGCAAATGAAGACAGTTCATAGGGAGAGCCATGGGCAAAAGAGAAAAGGCTTCAGCCTGGATGTGAACAGGGGAAAATCTCAGCAGTGCGCAGTCAGAAGGCAGCAAACAACGACCGATTATAATCCTGGGCAAGAGACACTGGTCTCCACCACAGCAATCTTCTCATTTTCTATGGCTGATGTAGACGCAGAGCAAGAACTAAAATTTTACATTCAAGTGGTCAAGCCCAGCGTCAGGAGCAGTAATGTCTCCATATTTGTGGATCGGGCATTGCGTCTTTATACATTGTATGGTCTGTTCTGGATGACCAGTCACACATTGGAGAATTTCATTTCCCATTTGTGCATTAGGTATCTGCACCTGGCATGGTTTATGCTGTGGATGTGGTTGAGAGAGGTTAGCTACCTCGCCTGTTATACAGGTCGTGGGTTCGATCCCAACGCCTGTATATTTGGAGTTAGCATGTTCTCCCCATGGTTGTGCGTATTTTTCTCCGGGTCCTCAGGTTTTTCCCTCCGCATTTAGAAACATGCGTTGAGAGTATTTGGCTGCTATAAATTTCCATCCAATAAGCCACTTTGTTGGGCTATCATTTGTGGTCAGGTCGCTTTCGAAAATTCGTTTTATATAGCTCAGTGGGCCTTACTTGGTAAAATAAAAAGTGTAACCTGGAATGTCCACTACCGGCCGAGGACTGAAGCAGTGGAGCACCAAAATGTGGACACCGATGATGTCAATGATACCATTAGGGTTTGGAGGCGGTGGCCTGGGTTTGGAAGCGAACGCGTCACCGCTCGTTCAGAGGGCAGCGGAGATACGTTCTCACCTTGACAGTCTCGTGAACGGTCTGCAAGTGCGCGGCGAGCGCGATGAAAGTCTCGTACAACCTCTGCATGGCCAACGACAAGTCTGCGGGACGTACGATATACAGACAGGCTGGGTAAATGACGAGGCGTACGTTTGTCACGAGCATTTGGAGCTTCGAGTCGGCTTCACTTGAATAATGCAAAGGCACGCGTCGTGTAAATACGGCACAAGAGCATTCTGCAGCACGGGCCTTGTATCTGTCGAGCATTCAGCGGGATGAGCGTGTTTGTCATCCTTGCATTTTGTAAAATAGAGACTATAACAAAAGTCCAGCAAATAAAATCACCATTTCACCTTATTTGGGACAACATTTAGGAAACACAGGGTGCCAAAAGGTATCATCCGATATTAAGGAATTAACGATATGGCAGATTCAAATAAAATTGTGGAACGTTCGATGTTTTGAGAAAGATTTAACGTATGCAAAAAAACATGAAAAGATTGAGTGATCTTCAACGGCACATAACAAGATAATCTTTTTCATGACTTTTCAAATTGATAAATTTAACCTGTAAACAATGACAAAAATGTATGCATTTACAATCGATTAACAACCTAAGATCAGACCCAGGCCCCTAGGCAGTGCTGGCTCGATGTCTCTACGTGGTGATATCCCTCCAAGCGATCCTTCGCCGAGGGCCTCCAGTACAGATGTATGTATGCATGTATGTTGAACTTCTTTCGCACCGTAAGTAGCCAGCCGTGCTAATCGCAGGTGCGGGGGAAGGACAACAAACTAAGCACAAAAAAGTAGTTCTGAAGAAATTTAGTTTTTCAATCTAGATTATTTAAAAGTGCATAGTTCCACTAGCCAAAAGCCGCTGCGAGCAAAACCGTATGCTCCTTGACGAGACCAGCAAAGTATTGTGGTTCATTTGTGGCAAGCAATTTGTGTAGAAATGAGAGTGACCTCGTAATGTATTCACTCGGCAACCGAAGCTAATGCAGCTCGGCGAACACTGGACGGACACGGTCGGATCTTGCAGTACGCGCCACGACACGTGCCAGGGAATTTTGTACACGCTCCAGCTCAGTAATGTTTTTTTCCAGACGTTCCTTAGAGTAGCGAGTTGCAATAATCGAGCCTCGTCGATATAAGACGCAATACGCACCTTGTGGTGTCATGTGCGCGCTGGTGGCCTGGGAGGTGATGTGGTTCTCCATTTCCTCGATCTGCCGCCTGTACAGCTGCATCTGCACCTCGAACTGCTCGGCCAAACGGCGGAAATACCTGAGCGGCAAGACAGGGAGGAGACCCAACAATACCGCCACAGCCGGTTACTCAACCACATGGTCATTCTCTTGTAATTTTTAATGCTAAACAAGCCAGGTTTGGAGCGAAAATGCATTGCTCTGTCCGTCTGTAATATGATCGATCTAATGTGAGACAATATTTTATCAGTATATATAAAAGGGAAATTTGTGAATGTGTCTGTTCGAAATGGATATATTTTGCACGGCAAGTGAGCGGTGACGTCACATATGTGATGTCACCCGCATGCGGCAGCGTCACGCAGTGTGCGTGCTGACGTCACGCATTCCCCCCCCCCCCCCAAACCCTCCGCGTAGGCCATGTATTAATCCAAGACAAGAATCCAAGTCCCGGGCGAAGCCGGGTAGTAAAGCTAGTTTGGTATAAAGTTGTGTTGCTGTTCGAGAGTTACCCTATAGAAAACTGGCACACATTGATCATACGGTTTGTCAAAAACATGGAAATGAAAACCAGCTAAGAAAAGTATCTTCCTCGCTGGTACTATCATGTGTCTCCCAAGTTTTTGGGCAACTCTTTCGATCAATTTGGTCAGGTGTTTACATGATCTCACATTTAATTTGCTGAAACAGGTGAGTGCTCCAAAAAGAAACCTGGATACCCATTTGCAAAAGTGGCCTGGGAAAGTCCCCAACTTTCACACCCAAGTTTCGTTCACAAGAGGATCCCGTTTACAAATATTGTGCCCCATCATCATTACGGACAGAGGGAACTAATGAATAAACGTGAATAAGCACTTGCAAAGCAAAACTGAAGGGCACCGATAATGAAGGGCATGGCTCACTCGGTGGGCGCCGTGTTCTCGTGCTGTAAGCCATCTGGCGTCTCTCGCGTCCGCACCGCTATCTCCACGTTCTTCAGCTCCTGTAGTGCGCACGCAAGTTAACGAGCACGTGTAAATCATCAGCACTGCCAGCAGGAAATATGAAGCTTGGAGAACAATGCACCAACTTGTATCGATTCTTACACTTACAATACAGTAAAAAAAAAAACGCTCGAAGTCATACTAAATTTATCTTTAGCCGTGATCAATCCACCGCTAGATGGAGAACACTGCAAGTCGCCGCCAACTTTCGTGGAGCAACAATCCATCTAGCACTTGTACGTTAACTGATTTCATCGCTCCATTTCCACAGTGGATGTTCTAACGGATTGATCACGGCTAAAGATCAAGGGATGTTAACTACCTTGCCTGGTATACAGGAGGTCGTGGGTTTGATCCAGACTCTGATGCTTGTATATTTGTTTTTTCCCATGCACATTTAGAATCAACATGCGTGATAAGCCACTTAGTTTAGCTATCATTTCTGGCCAAGTTGCTTCTGAAAAAAGCTATATAGCTCAGTGGGCCTAACCTGGTCAAAAAGTCTAGTTTAGGTTCATTCTAGATTTGAAGTTTTCATGACTGCAAGGATCCACACTCTGTGGTTCTTTCGGTAAAGTCACGTAGGTGAATAAAAAAAGAATAATAAAATAGAAATAAATAAATCACGACGTTTCGATTGCAACACAAGCAATCATCATCAGGTGTGACAACCACAGCAATATTTTTTTTACTGAAGTGGGAGAGATGCCGGAATTAAGAGGGGGTTTATATAAGTCAGAGAGGGCAGTGGGGGGGGGGGGAAATGAGCAGGGCTGTAAGTATTTTTTATTTTAATTGTATTATTTTTGTATTTTATTTTTTGTTTATTTTTTCACCTACGTGACTTTACTGAAAGAACCAAAGATTCTAGTTTAGGTTGCCATTCCATCGTTAACCTCGACTACCGGCCATCATCCCTTTTCATGCCCACGTCTCCTTACTGTTGGCAGCACTCAATATGTCTCTAACTTGAGTATGCTCAACTCAACTGAGTGAGCACAACTAATCACTGCCCCATCATCTATTCAGCCATGCTCTACATGTCAGGTCAAGGGCCCACCCATCCACCCTCCTTGCACGCACTATTTATAAAACTCAGGATTTTAATCGCTCCTAGCTCAAGGGGTTGGGAACATTGCTTCTTTCTTTACCTGGGCAGCCTCTGCTCTCAGCTTGTCGACCGCAAGCGTGCTGCGCTGGAGCCCAGCAGCCACAAGCGACAGCATCTGCCGCAGAGCCTTGGTCTCCTCCTGCACCCGCAGCATCACCTTGGAGGAGCTGCGGCCGATCTCCTCCTGCACCTGTCGCTGATCCTTAACGAACTTCCTGCGAGCCGGAGCAACGGGTGGAGGGTGGTACAGGGGGGACATTGGGAAAAACTGAAGAAGTTGTTGTTCTTGGGGTGTAATGGTTGCTAGGTCGGCAGGATGGAAGGGTTTAACGTTTTCCAACCAAGGCATTAAGCCTGTTTGCTTTGCTGTTAAGGACTTCATCTATAGAAAACTGGCCAATTTTATTAATGAGTTGCCAAAATATTGGAGACACAAACTAGAGCAAAAAAATTGATATTTGCAAATATGCAAAAGCATTCTGCCAACAACTACGCGCCGGCTTCTGCACACCTAATGAAAAACTTTCGAAGACAAACACACGTTGTAAAACGTTGCTCAAGCTATGCAGCAATTTTCCCGACTTATTTTTAAGAGGCGCTGTTAGAAGGTGGCTCGTAGGGGTGGAATGTCGCATCATCGATTCACTGCTTAATATCGATTCGTGAGCTCGCAACACGTGCATCCATTCTTGTGCGTACGAACTGCTGTTTTTATTAAATTTGCATATGCCATACGTTTGGAATTCAGGTCACCCCTGTATCGATTAGACATGCGATCGTAGACTTAACTCCATTTAATCGAAGGTGGTTGAATCCCAGATATGAACCCAGGATCTCAGCAGTGCCAGCTTCGTCCTCTGACCGCTAAGCCACCTGGCCTCATATTAAACATTTTTATTTGTCCGCACACCTATCCCCCCGGGAATTAGTAGAAATCCCTTTCAAATGGTGATCGCCCGCTTGTAAACAAAATAAATAACGTACATTTAACATGACGAGTAAAGCAAAACTCACTGGAAATTTTCAACGTCTTTGCAGATCTCAGGTGGCAGAACCTGGGACTTCAGTGTCTTGCTGTCCCTTAAACAAATGGAAGCAAAAAAAATCAAGTCAGTCACTTTGTTACCTGGGTGCTGATTCTTCCAGCCATCACCGTGAAGAAGATACTATTGAGGGCAAACCCACGTGGTTAACAATCACATTCATCATCTGCAGATTCAATTTCTACGAGCGACTATCATTTGTGACATTACTCGTACATGCACAAGTACGGCAAAAAAATCAAGTCAGTCACTTTGTCACCTGCGTGCGTTTTCTGCCAGCCATCACAGTGGAGAAGATGGTATTGAGAGAAAACCCACGGGGTTCAAAATCACTTTCATTACCCGTAGCTTCAATTTCTACCAGCGCCGATAATTTGTTACATTGCTCGTACTTGCACAGGTACGGCACTTTTGTCCATCTACTGCCACGAGGGGCCTTCCCACCAATGCGTTTTGCTGCACTGCCCTCTGCTGCCCACGATGTAACCCCACACAGCCACTCTGCATGGCAGTCACCCATCCAAGCATTATCCACTCAGCCCATCTTAGCTTCTGAGGTCTGACACATTGCAGGTAATTTAGTCTCTTACGCCCATGTTTGAATCGGCACTTTTATTTGTACTGCAAATCTCATAAAACAAATTGAAGGCTCCCTTAATGGCCTCGCTGGGAAGTTTGTCGTGGTATTCAATGCGCTTGAGAACTGGGCTTAATCGCAAGTGGCTGCCTGGACAAGAACCCAAGATCTCAAGAATGGATTTTTGACACAGTGCTTTGACACGGGCCCGGCGTAAACACCTTGAGTCACCAAGCCAAAGAATGTTGGGGGTCAGAGATTGCCCCTTATGTTTTTAATGCACTCACCCTGGGCCCCCGCCAGCAGACAGTCTGTCGTCTAGAGGACAAAAATACAATTCACAGATTAGCTGGCTTGTTAATAGTTAAGCAATGTCTTTTGACACATGAGGGGGAAGACATGGATGTTCACAATTACTTGGGGAAAGATCCAATAACTGTAGTTGCTAGGAATGTAACACTTCATGAAAAAAAATTAAACAAATCATGACCTGTCGAATCATAAAAAATAGTCATGGGAGTGCATATTCTCAGCAGCTTCGGTTCATTGACAGGCAAACCGGTCCAAACCCTGGACCGGTTATTATTGTATGAACAAGCCAATGCTGCTTGTTAATGGTCAAATTCTCCTGAGATTCTACACTCCCAGAAGGCCGTTTGGTTGACGAGATGTGTAGAAAAAGATACTTAAAAATTTAAATGGAGAAACAGATATATGGAGATATATAGTCCACTTATTTATTTTGTTTAAAGCTTAGTTAGTCACTTAATAGCGGTTAGCTGCTCATATGATATGTGAACATTGGATCTGGATGTCCCCCTCTCTTTGCTCTTAACAAGGGTCACTACCCAAATATTTAGCATAGCATGCATTTTGTTTTAAAGCAGTTCCTAATTATGAAGGTAGTGAGTGATGTGTTTCAAAATAACACGCAGATATTAAGACACATGCAAAAAAGGTATAAACTAATAAATGTAATTTATTTATGCAGAACAACCTTTGCGAGTCTCACAATTAATTTCCAGGCAAGTCCTGCAAATTAATATTTGGCCAATTGCTTTATAAACAAGGAGCATGCTGCTTCACGCAGGAAGAATCCAGTGCGCGATGCACACGAGCGTTCAAAAATATAAACCACGATTGAACAAAGTTCAGCAAAAAGAGCGATGCAAACTTTACCTTTTTTGTCAGAGGAGCTGGTGAAATCCACGCCTCCGAGCCCCTTGCTGACCGGTACGTTGGTACCGGCAGCAGCCATTCCACCAAGCGCCGTGCCCATACCCCCGAGTCCCGCGCCGATCCCACCAAGCCCAGAGCCGATCCCACCAAGTCCTGTCCCGGTCACACCTACCAGCCCGGAGCCCACTCCTCCAAGGCCCGTGCCAATCCCACCAAGCCCCGTAGCTGTTCCTCCAAGCCCAGTTGCTGTTCCTCCGAGCCCAGTTGCTGTTCCTCCGAGCCCCAAGCCCGTCCCTCCGAGCCCCATGGTTGCACCGCCGCCCCCGAGGCCGAGCATTCCCTGGCCAGCGGCTGTGCCTCCCAAGTTCAGGCCTGTGCCTTCAGTTAAAACACAAAGACAAAAATCCCCCGTATAGCCTTAACATACTGTAGGGGCAAGTGCTGTTAGCGAGCACCTATGAAGACTGACACTGTGGCACACGAAGGGGTGGGTGGCCAGCACCATGCCCGACAGCCTTTGTCTCCTCAGTGGCAATGTTTTTATACATCGCACCAGGAACTCATTTGAGAGCTGTCGGAAAGACAGCTGCTTGCGTTGTGGCCGAAACGTCGTGATAATTTTATTTTACTATGTTTTATTTGTATTATTTCCCTTCTACGTTACTTTACCGAAAGAACCAAGAATATGAATCCCTGCAGTCACGAAAGCTTTAAATCGAAATCCAATAATAATTACCACAGTAAGGTTAAAACCGAAAACCCACACTTTACCCCATCACACACAACCCTCCAATCGTCTGTGGGCGTACACATCTATACCGCTGGATTTTAAAGAAACTTTCCCGTTGCCTCAACTACCACGCCAGCAGAAAGAACTGGCGAGCTCCCCGTTATGGTAAAAATTACACCATAGCAGCAGCCTTAGAAGTACCACTGCAACCGTACCAACACTGACCAGTGCTTGCTGTGCTGGTCCCTGCAAATAGGGAGCCTCCCACCGCTGAAGAGAACATGTTTCCTCCGAGCCTCAAGCCACCAGCGGCCGCTGTGGTGGCAGCTGTCGTTCCTCCAAGGTTTAATGAGAGTCCTCCGCTAGCTCCCAGTAAGCCTTTAGATAAAAAAAAATATCATACAATTGTGCATTTGCGCGCACCCTAACCACCGCACCGTTACAATGAAGTGTTGTGTGTGCAGTGACGGGTGCATACCATCGATGTAAGGAAGCATTCTAAAATAAATTAATGTGGATTCTTAAGCTCAACAGATATGCGTGTGGAAGAATCCATGTTTTCTTTCAATGCATGTCATACATGATTTTACATAATCCCTCTGGCCAATAGGGGCCGCTACAAACACCACAATCCATGAAAGGTTTTTTTGGAGTTAGATCGCATAAATATAAATGTGTCGTTAGACCCACCACTACCCGACACAGACAATTAGTAAGGTTTGCCACGTAAACCAAACATGGCATTTAGTTACTACTTCAGCACACCGGTGTGTTAGAGCAAACCCACTACAACATTTACAATTCGAGTACCGTGACGTTACGCTGGTAATTACAACCAGCCTCATCAGGTGACAGCCAAACAGCACAATGTAAAAAAACACACGCGACTACGAATTGTGACAATTCAACGAATCCGGAAACGAACAATGACTACCCCAAGGTACCGCGTCCCCGTTACCTGTTGTGGGAGCGCTGGTGGTGGCAGTGAAGGTGCCCTGGGAAAGACCCCCCATGGAGCTACTGCTTGTCATCGGCATGGCAAACAAAGTGGCAGAACCTGCTGGCCTGCCCAGCCCTGCCAAATCAGACCAAAGCAACGCATTCAGGTCAGCAAATGAACTTGGTGAAGGTCAAGACGTGACATGCCGTGTACATCATCAATTATTCAAGTCTTAATTTTAACAGGGTCCGAGGCCATTCAGATTCATTGCCTCTTTTGCAACGTAGCCTCTGCATAATTTAATTATTGGGGCCCTTGTGCTTTTCGCATCCACTGAATTTTGCACGGTGGACCCGTTCGTAATTCGCTCTAGCCATTACTTGGCGATGCTAAATCACTTTAAATTTCCACCGGAGCCTTCTGGCTGTGCAGGCCCCCGTGTGGTACAGTTTAATAACATAGTACACTCCAGAGGCAGTGGTATAGATTGGGTATTACGTCTCATGCATACACTCATGGACATGTACTTTCAGACAAATGTGTATTTTAAGTAAAACGTCCAGTAATCATAATTATATTTTCAGTTATTCAGGAAAGCTTGAGTTTCAAGATCTTTTTAGACAGGCCTTGAATTGTTTAACCAGTTCATGAGTGAACATGGAATTGGAATTAACTTAAATCAACAATGTGTTCTACACAGAATGTTGGAACTAAAATAAGATTCAGGTGTACAAGGCAAGTGGTCATGGACAACAGAAACATTGACACACATCAGGGGATTATAAAATCATAAAATTGTAAAAAAAACAATCGGTCCCCACCATTTCAAATAAAACTGAAAAAAATGCATTGATATTTGCCAATTACAGCTTCTGTAGTTAAATAAGGTCTCTTCAAAAGCTGTAATTAATTCCTTTTAAACGTTGTACGCAATTATCGCTTGGGAGAACATCTCTGCCCGCTGCCTTTCCTGGTCTCAGGCTCTGGATCGCCTTCAGTACTGGTGCCATGACACTGGACTAAGATATTTGCATCTGAAACTTACAGAGCTAATGGTGCACCATCCTGTGTCAGAGAATAGTTCCAGAAGACAAAGTCACAGACATACTTTTTTAATCCACTTCAATATGGATTGTTATCTACACTAGGAGCATGCATTTGTATTGCCTGTAAAGAATGTTTATCACATGTTAATCAGACCTAAATATCCCATTCTCAGGAGCCAGAATAAATCATTAAGTGAAACACTACATTCAATCAAATTGTTTGGGTGCAGTCATCAATAACCATGCTGAGACCATTATAATACTTATATTTTATATAGCTCATAGCATTCCATAATGCTGTACATTAATTATATATAAGAACCAAATCCCACATACAGCCACTGCCAAGCAAATGAAACCCCTACTTACCAAGCAAATTCAAAAAGAATCAACAAATTAAAGTATGGCACCAAAACAAAGAGCACAAACAACAACAAAATTATCACGACAGTGAGAAAAGAACTACTTTTTTAATGTGAATGTTTTTTTGGCAATATCCTTTCACTTTGCTCCTGATTGTGCTATTGGTGTGATATCAAGAGATGGAGCATCTAAAGAGTTAGAAAACGTAATGAGTCGATTGTCCGAGCCCGGGCACCAATGACTACAACAAAACGCCCCATCGCATTAAATTTGGCTGTGTGCTTCATTTGCCTAAATTCCAGCTTTAAGAGCTAAACAAATATAGATTTTACTTTCATGAAACTAACATTACTCTCAATGTCAGGGCAGGTAGAAAAGTTCCGCCCCTAAATGAATCGATCTCAGAGGTAGCTCTGTGATATCCGCTTCCACGGCCCTTCCCTAACACGGGGATATATATTTTTAATGTTTTCATTTAGTGTGTTGTATATGAGAATAGTGATAACAACTCACCCAAGGTGCCCGTGGTGCCAAAGAGTGAGGCGGTGGGCGCAACAGAGGTAGTAGCAGCGCCTGTGGTGGCTGGCCCTCCGAAGTTGAAGCCTGCAGGAGCCGTCGTGGTGCCACCCCTGCGACAGCACAACAGAAAGGTGAGAGGGGCCGAGTGTGTCATGATCCAATCCAAGTCGCGATTTGACAAACTGTCGTGATGTGGGGGTCACGATTCGGGGTGGGGTCATGAAGAATTTACTTCTTCGCGTCAGCTGGGTGGCTCAGAGGTCAGAGCGTGGAGCCAGCACCCATTTGAAATGCCGGGTTCAAAGCCAGGTTTCAGACACCTGTGACTTAAGAGGTTGTTTCCGTCCGTTGACAAATTAAATGTGGGTAATAATTTACAGTCCTTTGTCAATTCACTGTTGGATGAAAGACTTCCCATGCTGTGTCGGTTATGGGGGTGTTGTCTGACCATACTTGGCCACATTATTCAGTGCTGGTCAGTAATAGGAGGGATCCAGAACAGGTTCGTGTATCATTTGCCAGTGATGTTAGTCGTGTTTCAAAATCAAACTCGGGTCACACGGTTCATAACGCAGTGCGCCAACCACTGTACCACTGCTCCACCCCTCTATTACAATATAGCTGAGCGACTGTATGTTGAATATGTCGGGTAGGTGAGATACAGGACATACGTGGGGTGGCAGGGAGGGCTTTACAAATGCTCAATAATGATTTCGTTTTGAGAAATTAACAGCTCTCAAAAAGCACACCACCCCCCACCTTCCCAGGAGGCCCATGCCACCATTAGTTACTGACCCAGTGGAATAATTGTTCCAGAATATAGCAACTAACACAAGCTAAACAGACTCTATGCATTACCCAGAATCTATGAATGACACAATGTCTAGGGACTGACTAATGATTGAACCAAGTATGGTGCACATTTTTCCAGACAAGAATGTAGGACATTCATGAGATTGGTAGACATTGTTTTTCATGTCTGTTATATAATGGTACGTAATGTAAGCCACGTTCATTTCAATATGTAGTGTACGTGTGTGTGTTTTTGTCTAAAAGGGAGGTGAGACATTTCAAAGAAATCCATTTGACCATGATTTCACATTGATGAACAAGAAACCCATGGATACAAGCAGTTCGTGTTAACTGGGCCAGAATTCTGTTTAACTTGGTCATACTGCATAAGGTGCACCTCCAGATTAGCATGGTTGGCTACGTATGCTGCCAAGGAAGTTTAACATATAGACGACAACCTGAACAACGTTGGTCAAGCCTTAATATGTTGATTTAATTTTAGTCATTCTCTAAATCTAGTCGGCTCAAGCAGTGCGCGAACATTTTTCCACTCCAAAATAGTATCAGGTCAACAAATTAGCCTACTCCGTATATATACACATACGTGTTCTTATACAACAACTGCCGTTCATCACTAAGTGGCGGTGACGTCACCACAACCCTTGTGCCAGGCTATGTGCACCTTGAGGCCACGTGAAGTGTCGAACGCCCGCTGGCAGGTCACGGGGCAGACCCAGATGCCACGGGTCAACTGACTGAGACGACTGGCTGATGCACCACCTGTGCCCCCTACTGTGCCAACTTGCTGTGCTTTAGCCACCCGGCGCTCCGCTCGTTGTTGTGAACGTCGCTCCTCCGCCCTCCGTTGTTGTTGGAGGGTGACTGCCTCCAACTGCCCAGTAGCGTCCTTCACGAGCCTCCTCCACAGAGGCCGATCTTGACACCGCTGGTACCCGTCATTGGCTAGTCCACTCAGCTCCACATCCTCCTGTACCACATCACTCACTGGGACTCCTCAGCCACCTCCAGAGCCACCACTAAACCTTGACGGATGTCACCCTCGGACTGCCGACGACGACATACAGTGTATCCAATTACCATATTTGGGGTTCATCATCTCTCTAATGATGAGACTGAAGCGTATCTTAGATCTGCCTACTCATCGTGACTTGGTGAATTTCGTCTCGTCAGTCCGTCACTCTTCCACGAGGTGCACGGGGAGTCAAGTCGTTTCGTCAGTCTCGACAATGTCGCCACTCAACATCCCCGAGTGTGATATGACAGCAACAATGTTAAGTTATTTCCCCACTTACATTACGGATCCATTGAGGGATGTTGATTCATGCGAAACGTAATGGTATAGAGGCAGAGCCGGATCAGGGTCCCGTGAGGCCACTGGGCACGTGTCTTTTGGAGCCCCCCCCCCTCCCTCTGCTTTCCTATATTGGTGTCTTTCTTGCCTTCTTCCTCGCCAAATCATCCACTAGATTGTCAAAATCTCGCTGTCTGACAAGGTCTGACTCTATTGACGTAAGTGACAATGAGCTGAGACGTCTTTGGCAACGCGCTACTCCGCAGCTCATTTTTTTTAATTCTGCCTAAAAGGGAGAATGTCCGCTCACCCTGGCAGTTTGTTACTGGCAAAGTTAGAAAGATCCCAAGTGGCACGAAACCATTGGGGAACACTGACTGCAGACTAAGTGCCTGCAACGTCTCAAGCAATTTAGCTGGGCACTTCTTACCCTCAAGAGTCAGACGTGAAAGACTTGAATGAGTTCGTTGGCAAAGTTCATGTCCAGGTCTGATGGATATGCAGCAGAGAGCACATTTACTGGTCACTGTGGGTTGAACGCGAGGGGCCATATAAGTAAAGTACAACAATAGATGCGGATGGAATCGTCCTCGATAGCCCACTACATACGTGTAGCTCGTGTGTTCACCAACCACGCAGTGACTCGCATACAAATCAAAGGCTTAAGCTCCAGAGATCTATCCAGATCGGGCGCATTCTGAATGATGGTCATGTGGCACGCCATATGACATTGTGTTGCTGTTGTTCCACGGCTATTGTTGTTTCACTGCTATTGTTGTTTCACTGCTATTGTTGCTCCAGTGCTATTGGTGTTACATTGTTGTTGTTCCACTGCTATTCTTGTTACACTGCTATTGTTGACTCACTGCTATTGATGTTCCAGTGCTATTTGTGTTCCAGTGCTATTCTTGTTACACTTGTTATTCCAGTGATGTTGGTGTTACACTGTTATTGTTACACTGCTATTGGTGTTAGTACTGCTACTGTTGTTACACTGCTATTGTTGTTCCACTGTTATTCTTGTTACACTGCTATTGAAGGCGGTGCTGCGAGTTCATTGTGTTAAATACTGCACTGCCAAAGAGTTATTTTAACGTTACACCGAAAAAACTAGATCCTGAAACCCACCCCACTAGTTGAAGCCGTTCTGGCGGCGATCGTATTTAATTCCTGCACAGCTCTTTTACAGTTGAATAACATTGCTGTGAAACGTGCGCAATAAATTTGGTGTCGCAATGCACACTCGTCACTTGGCGATGTTAGACTTTACCCGAATAACAATTTTAAATCGAAAGACTACGCTAGCGTTTTCCCATAAAGGCAGAAACCCGCGGCGTCCATCTTACGTAGGTAACAATCCGCTACAACGAAGGCGACCCCCACCTCCTCCCCCGCGACATCATCGCGACGCGCACCGCCACCTCGGCACTTGCATCCAACAAAACGGCGGCGTTACTCTACCAAAATGGCCGCCACCGAACCGCATTGCGATGACGTCTTGCGGCCCACTGCCGGTTTCCCCCCCCTCCCAGTTGCGCCTCAAAACCGCGGTAGGCCTTTACCCGCCAGTGGCGCCAAAAGCGAAGCCGGTGGTGGAGGCGGCTCCGCCGAACGAGAAGCCGCTGGTGCCCGTCGCCATGGCTCCAAGAAGGTGCCCGCTTCCTCGCTTCGCGACGTCCCGAGACGAAGGCCGCCCCGTCGAGTCAAACAAAATCGGCGCGAAAAAATAAATGAAGCAACTGCCCACTCCGCCAACGTTTCCCTCGTGTCTTCCGGAAGACGGTAGACAGTAGTCGTCTTCCGGAATACGGTAATCGTCTTCCGGAAGACGGTAGTCGTCTTCCGGAAGAAGGTAGTCGTCTTCCGGAAGAAGGTAGTCGTCTTCCGGAAGAAGGTAGTCGTCTTCCGGAAGACGGTAGTCTCTACAACTCTCGTCTTCCGGAAGACAACTACCGTCTTCCGGAAGACGGCATACGTATGTCTTTAGCAAAATGTAGGTTCTACCTAGGTGATGGTAGAGGTCTTCTGGAAGACGATCGCTGTCTTCTGGAAGTCGGTCGCTGTCTTCTGGAAGACGGTTGATATCTTCTGGAAGACGATTGATGTCTGCCTTCTGGGAATGGTTGAGGGTTCGACCGAGGGCATGGTCGTGAGGTTTTGGCAGTGGGTGGATGTCTTCCCGGAAGATGATAGCCGAATTAGAATATCGATTTAAAGCTTTCGTGACTGCAATGATTCATCTTCTTTGGTTCTTTCGGTAAAGTCACGTAGAATGAGAATAAAATAATAAATTGTGTTATTTTATTTTATCAATTTATTATTTTATTCTCATTCTACGTGACTTTACCGAAAGAACCAAAGAAGAAGAATTAGAATATGTTTCTGTTTTTTTTCAGTTCAGTTTCATTTATTTGGTATAGCCCTGTGAGCCATTCGGCTCTTGAATCGGGTGCAACCCGCAACAAACAAAAACATGAACAAGAAAACATCTTAAAGTGACTACGCGCAAACAGAAAAATCCAGGAAAAAACAGCAAAATCTTCCAGAAAAAAGCACCGTAAACTAACGCTGTGTGCAAAAATTCCAAGTGGGATGCAAGTCAAACAACCACAAGACAACTTAGATTAAAGCCATCAGTTTAACTCCGTACTGCAACAAACATGGCCAAACCAAAAAAGTTTTCGAAATCACCAAAATAAAGCCATAAAAGCAATGTAACAGTGATCATAGGAACTGTGACCGAAATTTCACAATAAACGACATTAACAACATGTACCACCAAACTCTAGAGCCATAGCTGGCTGCATGAGTCACTCCACAATAGCAGGAGCATCAGTCGGAGTATCACATGTTTTCAATGCACCTTTAAAGATCAGCACACTAAATAAAAACACAAGATCATACTTTGCAGCGGTCATCCGGAGCGAAACATTTGATTTTAGGCCACTGGCAGTGGCAGCTAGGGGTGTACAACTCTTCTAGCGCAGTTTTAAATGACGATCTCATAGGTAGTGATTCAAGTTGCAGTTTATTGGCAATAGCATTCCAGACCCTTGGGGCATAAATAGCAAAGGCCCTTCCTCCAGTATTTGTACGGCAATAAGGAATGTGAAGCTGGTAAATGAGGTCACATTTGTTCTTTGAAACAGAGAGGAGATCCAGCAGATAGTCTGTATTTTTTATAAGTACATCGTGAATAAATAAGATCTGATGCACAAGCCGTCGAACATTAAGATATGTTAATTTTGACCCAATGTAGAGACCACATTGGTGGGTCCTATATGGACAGTTCAATGCAAATCTTAACGCCGAGTGATAAATTGAGTCAAGCTTCTTCAGTACAGTACTTGGGGCTGATTTATATACGATGTCACAGTAATCAAGTAGAGGCAGTATGGTAGCTTTTATCAATTCCAAACGGAACATTGGGGGGAAGCAATGTTTATGTGTCGATACAGAAAACCAATTATTATTATTTTTGTCTTTCTACCAATATAATCAATGTGTTCTTGAAAATTCAGTTTTGAATCAAGGATGACCCCAATCAATGAAGATACTTATAGGTCTTGATTTATAGATCTTGACTTGCTATATTTGATAATTATTTAAGGAATGTAATTGGGGGAAAATAACTTCCTGCTTTAGTCCTGGTGAGAAGCATATCACCTTGGTTTTGCAGGTATTCAGGACTAGTTTAAGAGAAACTATCTGATGTTGTAGTTTGTTGAAATCACCCTGGAGCTTAGCAATCACGTCATCCGGAGAGCGGCCAGCAGTAATCAGTATCGTGTCATCTGCAAAAAGATTTACCCTGGAATGATCCAGGTCGGTGCCCAAGTCATTGACATGAAGAGAGAACAAGAGGGGGCCGAGGATAGAACCCTGTGGAACCCCTTTTGTTATCTTAACACTGTTTGGCCTCCAACTATCTGTGAATACAGAGAGGTATTTTTTAAAACCAATTCTACTGCGTGTTTGGAGAAACGGAGGCAACTTAGTTTACTAAGCAGGGTGTTGTGGTCGACTGTATCAAAAGCTTTGGACAAGTCAAGAAAAAGACTGGCACAGTACTGCTTATCAAGGCTACTGTAAATGTTATTCAAATTTAACTAATTGTTTGTATTTAGACTGGAGGAATTGTATTTAGACTGGAGGACTGGAGGAATCCGATGAGCTATAAAGCTCTTTTCACAGATAAGGCAGGTAGAGGGAAGGTCAAAACGTTACAACAAACAGCAAAAACACGGGAGGAGTGCAAAGTCTAGGAAAAGTAAACAAATCACTTAAAAATATACAAATTTAACTCATTTTTGTCGGGCTTCTGGAAGAAGGTAGATGTCTACTGGAAGACGGTAGACGTCTACTAAAGACGGTAGTTGTCTACTGGAAGATTAGTATATTGTCTACGAGAAGACGGTAGAGGCGGTTCAATCTTAATTTGAAGCTTTCGTGACTGCAGGAATCCATACTCTTTGGTTCTTTTGGTAAAGTCACGTAGGTATAAAATAAAATAAATCACGACGTTTCCGACGCAACACAGGCGTCCGTCATCAGGTGGGAAAGCATTGGTCTGCTGCTGAGGCAAACTTTTAAAAGGTTTGAAATGGGTGTAGCCCAAGGGTCATAAAGAAGTGGGCGGGGTTAGTGATGTTAACGGAATAAATTAGCATGTAACGGTAAGAACGGAGAGCGGCCTCCTCGACAAGGGCACGGAAGTGGCTATGTTAATGTGAGAGATTAGCATGTTAATGTATGAACGAAGAGTGGAGCAATCCAAAGGACATGTGAGCATGAGAGTGCAATCCAAAGGCATGAGAGTGCAATGCAAAGGACGTGAAAGGAAGCAGGGTCTCAGACAGAAATCAGGCCAGTTTGTAGGTGGGTGAATTAATGGTGGAGACGATAGGACGGAGCGGGGTACTTACTTTGTGGATTTTTGGAAGACCATTACATCTGGGTGGTCTAGCAGCCGAAGGTTTTAGTGATGCTCTTGTTGTTTTTTTGTGGCTAGGCAGTTGATGGGATCTCTGTTGATTTTGGTATAGCTGCCATCATTAAGAAGGTCCTGAATTTTGTTGTTGTAAGTGGTTTTATCCATGATGAAGTGGCATTGCCCTTGTCGGCTGAGAGGATGACAATGTTATCTCTGTTTTTTGATTTAGAGAGTTCAAAACGCTTGTCCTTGCTGATGTTGCTAATGGGTTTCTTATATTTTTTTAGGATAGCAGAAATATCAGATCTAGCAACGTCTGGCGGGATGTGTCCCAAGCCTTGGAGGGCTATGTCGACCTGGGCAATTATATCATCCACTGGGATGTGTTTAGGGGTGACTGTGAAATTCAACCCTTTCGCTAGTATCGATTTTAGGCTGTCGGAGATTGGGATGTAACTATGATTGATGACAATCTTGTTAACATAAAAAAAATGTACGTGTGGATCTGGCTTATTTTTTGACAGGAGGTTGAATTTAGCGATCAAGTTAACTTTACATTTGGTTGACATTGAAGTAGCAGAAGAAACTGTCATGTTATCTACATGGTCCCATTCAGAAGTGGACATTTTATCTGTTAATTTTAAGTGTGATTGTAAGAGTCTTGTCTAAATGATCAAGTTCAATTCAGAGCAATCTTATTCAATCTTATTTTCTCTGAGATTGCGATAGGCTAGCTTTGGATTGTGCTCTCATGCCTTTGGATTGCACCATCCTTCGTTCTTACATTAACATGCTAATCTTTCACATTAACATAGCCACTAGTGCTGCCCACTTATTTATGACCCTTGGGCTACACCCATTTACAACCTATTAAAACAGTCTGCCTCAGCAGCAGACCATGCTTTCCCACCTGATGACAGACGCTTGTGTTGCGCCCGAAACGCCGTGATTTATTTTATTTTATGCCTACGTGACTTTACCGAAAGAACCAGAGTATATAAGATGGTAGTTGTCTACTGGAAGATGGTGTCTATGTTGCGAGTCTCTCTCTGTGTGTCTCTGTGTTGTCTCTCTGCTTGTGTGTCTGTCTGTGTGTCTCCATGTCTGTGTTTTGTCTCTCTCTCAAATTTAGTTCTACCTGATGACGATTGCTTGTGTTGCAATCAAAACATCGCATTCTATCATTTAAATGATTTTCTTTCTACGTGACTTTTACGAAAGAACCAAGGAGTAATTTCTGCAGTCACGAAAGCTTCAAATCAAGTTTGGAAGATGGTAGTTGTCTACTATAAGATGGTATATACCTACTGGAAGACTGTAGCTAACTTCTGGTCGTTATTTTTAAAGCCCTCCCCCCAGTAAAGAGAGCGATAAAAGTAATCGATTTCAGGTTGTTAGTCGATTAATCGACTTCACCGTCCATAGACCCCTTACAGGCTGCAGCCATTGAGGGCTGACAGCTGCAATATGACAGCAATACCTAACCACAGTTATGTACTGTACCTCAAAATTGACCTTTAAAACATTTATAACGATACATGTTCGGTCAAAGCGAGTTTAACCATTGTGTAAGTGTCCTTGGGGAAGATAATTTTAAGTTTTAAAACATGATCTGTGTTGTGTTGTACCAATTTGGTTGAATTAAGTAGGTGAGAACTCGAGAGACCGGGTTGAGTCTCATTCACAAGAGTAGCCTGAGGCAAAAATGACAAAAAAAGTGAATCCAGTACAATAAATCAAAACACGGCAGCGAAGATGAAGCTAAATTGGAGCAGAACAGCCACGTTTCAGGATAATGACCGCATTTAACAAGTTGGCGACAATGCATGAATCACTTCGCCAACGCATATGAAGTTGCAAATTGGCACTTTTGTATGCAGCACGATTTAAAAAATCGATGTATTAATCGGTTGTGGAAGCTGTTTGACCCTTAATTCAAGCTGCTCATTGCGGGTTCGTAAATGACTGGCACAGGACCCGTTCGGATATTCATTTTGCCAACTGACATTAGCCATGGCCGGGAGTCTAAGGGGCAATCCATTTAGTACGTACGCATGGAGGGGGGAGGGGGGGTTAATCCAAATGCGTACGCTTGCCTTTAGGGGGTCTACTGACAATTTACGTACGCGTAGGAAACGGGGGGGGGGGGGGGGGGGGTGAAGCCTCGATAACACCAACATTTATTTATTTTTGTTCCTGGGTAGTGTTATTTCGTAATAGCTTATGCCTCAAAAGTACAGAAAATGGTTATTATTCCCCACAAAACTTTGCTTTTGTGACCAGGTCAGTGATATTTTGAAATTTGCCTATTTTCCAGAACATTCTAGATATATATAGTGCTGAGTAAACTTAAAGTAACTTCTATAACATTCTACAACCTTCCAGTAATCTAAATAGTAGTATAAATACAGGTGCCTTAAACCCACGAGTTCAGTTTAGTTCCAGCTGCCTAAGTGGATACATATCTGCATTTTTCTGTGATGGCATCAAAGGCTGCAAGCATCCGGTAGACGCATTTTGCTATGTCTGCGGCCAATTTATCAAGACGAGCAAAAAAGTACTCTGTAGAAGCATCTGCTAAGATGTGTGAGGTCTACAAGGCATATTTCGGCATGCCTGTCGGGGATCAAGACAAACCCTGGGCACCTCATTTCACCTGCGAGCAGTGCAAAAAAACTTTGTAAGGTAAGATGGACAATTGTTGCTCAAATTTTAAGTTATAAAATTTGTTAAAATTGTAAAAAAACTAAAAGTTTTGTATTTTTAAATGTTTTACAATTTTCAACGTTATTGAAAAAAATATATCATGTGAGAAATGTTGCGATAATCTCTTACAGATTAGCCATGGGTGAAATAAATGATTTTTGTAGGATGGTACAGAGGGGAAAAGAGAGCCATGAAGTTCGATATCCCAAGAATTTGGTGGGAACCCACTGACCACCCAAGCAACTGCTACTTCTGCATGGTGGACCCTTGCAAAAGTTTGACTGGCAAGAATGCACCTGTTATCACGTATCCGAACCTTCCTTCATCCATCGCCCCGGTGCCACACTTCCATGAGCTCCCCGTACCCACTCCTCCGGAGAGAGAGTAGCTGTCTTTAGAAGAGAGCAGCACGTCAGAGAGCGAGGAAGATGTTGTAGATCCAGATTACAAATTCAGAGGTGGAGCTGAGGAGAGAAACCCATACTACCCCAACCAAAATTACCTCAACGACTTGATCAGATATCTTTGTCTCACCAAGTCCAATGCCGAGCTTTAGACGTCTAGGCTCAAGCAGTGGAACTTGTTGGATGAAAGTGTGCAAGTCGCAGATTAGAGGAAGCATCACCAACCTTTTTTCAGCTTCTTCACCCGTCAAGATGGGCGCTGCTTCTGCCACAATGTGACCAGTCTGTTCGAGGCAATCGGAATCGGACTACAGATAAAGAAGATCTTGGAGTGCAATGAATTCCACAAGAAGCGCACTAGTAAGGAGAAAGCGGCTTGGAACAGCTTTGTCGCAGTGGTTCGTGGCTTCCTGGGCAATCACAAGGTCTAAAACTATGTGTAGCTGGTTGAGACTCTGGTGAAGAACTACGGCACAATGGGCTGTAGGATGTCCCTCATAGTCCATATCCTTGATGCTCATCTTGATACATTCAAGGAGAACATGGGAGCGTACTCGGAGGAGCAAGGCGAGCGCTTCCACCAGGATATACTGGACTTTAAACGCCGCTATCAAGGACAGTATAACGAGAACATGATGGGAGACTACATTTGGGGGCTGATTCGTGAAAGTGATTTACAGTATAATCATAAATCTCGAAAAACTACTCACTTCTAAATCTTTTGTAGTATTTTTTATTACTTTAGTATAAATACATGTTCATTTTGATTGATATGTTGGTTTTTTCTGACTTTATGTGAACGAAAAGACACAAATTTGCCCGTTTTCTCATTGAAAATAGGTACATTTCAAATTATCACTGTCCTGGTCACTAAAGAAAAGTTTGTGGGGAATAATAGCCATTTTGTATACTTGTGTTACATAGTGTAATTTGTCTACATTTGCCTTCAAATGAGTTAGATAGTCTGGCGGTGAACTGTTTGCTTAAATATGTTAATATTATATTCTTGGTTCTCGGTAAAGTCACGTAGAAGGGGAACAATAAAATGATAAATATTGTTTCCCTTCTACGTGACTTTACCGAAAGAACCATGAATATGAATCCCTGCAGTCACGAAAGCTTTAAATAGAAATTTCACGTTAATATTATTAATCCTTCATTGTTTCTGAGTGAATTATATATCGGCCGTCCTATAGGATTCGGGGTGGGGGGGGGGGTGTAAAAAGTACGTATGCGTACAGGGAGGGGGGGAGGGGTCAAGTTTTGACAGATTTTTTGCGTACATACTAAATGTATAGCCCCTAACTTGGTATTCCGGGTGCATGGGCGCAGTGATCTGAACACCACCACTCCGATGAAGCACGGTTGGCGACATACGGTGCGAAAGAAGTTCAACATACACACTGCCTATAGACTCAACCCTGCCCACAGACTCAACATTGCCCATAGACCCAACACTGCCCATAGACTAATACTGCCCATTGACTCAACACTGCCCATAAACTCAACACTGCCCGCAAACTCAACACTACCCATAGACTAACACTACCCATTTACTCAACACTGCCCTGAGACTAACACTACCCATAGACTAACACTACCCATTGACTCAATACTGCACCTCCGATTAGCCTAGTTGACTACATATGGTGCAAAAGAAGTCCATCATACATACATCCTGCTCATAGACTAACACTACCGATAGACTCAACATTACCCATAGATGTGTAGTGGGTAATAAACTGGAGGAAGCTTACTCTGAGGCAACACGTTCATTACAACACCAACAGAATACAACACGAAGGGGTAATGGCCCCTTTCACCCGATACTCTATGGAGGGAGGCCCTCCGGGCTAGCTCGCCTCTTACTGGCTATCACTATGCCTACACTGCTGGGGCTTGAGTCTTCTCTTGAGTCTTCATTCGTTATAATCTGGAGCTCTCAATGGTATGAGCTCGAGCCGACCCTAGCCAGGGGTTCGGCTCTGCCCATTAGGGTCTTCTCTTCAGGGCTTTAGGTGAGGCTGTTCGGTCTTCAGCCAGACGATGACTGCCGGGACCGCACAGGGGCCTGGCTTATATACAGAGTCCCGGCTCACTCCGCCCCGACCCACGCCTTCCTTCCATGATCTTCTCCAATGACCCCAGCCCCCTTCCTGTGGTCTGGGGTCCCGACCGTTGGTCACGATGCTCCTCCCAGGGATTGCCTCGGGCCAATGGCCCGTCATCATTATCCAGCAGGTTCAGCGTCCCTTCTGCTCCCTACTGGCACAAGCTAGTACTGCCGGCTATAGGTAGTGGCGATCATGTTCAACCATGCCACTACAGATGCAAAACGACCCATAGACTAACACTACCCCATAGACTAACACTAGGCAATAGCCTCAACACTGCCCATAGACTCATCACTTCCCATTGACTCAACACTTCCCATAGACTAACACTACCCATTTACTCAACACTGTCCAGAGACTAACACTACCCATAGATTAACACTACCCATTGACTCAACACTGCACCTCCGATTAGCCCAATTGACTACGTACGGTGCAAAAGAAGTCCATCATACATACTGCCCATAGACTAACACTAGGCAATAGACTCAACACTGCCCATTGACTCAACACTTCCCATAGAATCAACTCTTCCCATAGATTCAACACTACCCATTGACTCAACACTTCCCATAGATTCAACACTACCCATCGACTCAACACATCCCATAGACTCAACACTACCCATCGACTCAACACTTCCCATAGACTCAACACTGCACCTCCGATTAGCAGGGTTGGCTATGTACGGTGCGAAATAAGTTAAATAGCATACATGCAAATGTCAATTGAAGGCAATTGAGACATTGTTTATATTTTATTCGCATATAATACTGTAATACAAAATATAAGACATTTCATTTCATTTGGCGACTATGATAATTATACAATGCTAAACCTACACGTAACAACGGAACTGGGGAACCTTTGTTCAATGTAAAACTGACAATAACTATTTGATGATTACATAAATTAAAAGTCAAAAGTGCCCTATGCTTAAGCAAGTGATACATGAGGCTCATCCCTGTTGGTGGCTCTGAACCAGCGGTGTCAACTCGACATTTCTATGGTGGGAACCAGTCCGCACTGTAGGATCGACCGTTCCAGACCGGCAATTGAACTCACAACCTTTCGTTTGAGAATCGGGCATTTTGCTACGGTAAAGAACAAAACCAATTGCAACGATTAATTAGTGGCAACGTTCAATCCACCAAGTAATGCAACGTGGCTTAACATCAAATGTCAAGCTTAACACCAAGTGTTAACATCAAGTGTCAAGCTTAGCATCAAGTGTTAACATCAAGTGTCAAGCTTAGCATCAAGTGTTAACATCAAATGTCAAGCTTAGCATCAAGTGTTAACATCAAGTGTCAAGCTTAGCATCAAGTGTTAACATCAAATGTCAAGCTTAACATCAAGTGTTAACATCAAGTGTCAAGCTTAGCATCAAGTGTTAACATCAAGTGTCAAGCTTAGCATCAAGTGTTAACATCAAATGTCAAGCTTAACATCAAGTGTTAACATCAAGTGGTAAGCCAAGTTAGGGTGAGGGAAAAGATGCGACCCAGGAATTGCTTAACGCCAATGCTGTCCTAACGGCCTTGACTACAGGCAGCTCTTAGAGAGACCCTCTCGAGCAGTGGTGCGTAACCTTCACTGCAGCCTTGCACCCCTTTGGTTCTCAATCGTGAAACGTTAATGTTAATAAATACGTAGGTTTGATGAAACAAAGTAGTTGTTGTTACTTACGTGCCCGTGTTTAGTTTACGTTGCGATGATTTACCTTCTAAAAAAAAATCTGACCATGTATCGCTATCCCCATAAAGGGCATCTATCACCGCCAGGGGGTGCCAGCGTGCACCCCAGGTTAAGACCCACTGCTCTCCATGGTAATGGACCTACTCTTCCACGTTGTCCTGGCATTTTAGAACAGACGTATGAGAAACCTCACGTTTTCACTACATACATGTAACTGTATACTAATGGGTGCACAGAGGTGGTGGTATTTTAAGCAACTTGCCCCGTTGTTTCTTCTGTCGGGCCACATACTGGCATCATGCCGGTTGGTCCCTGGATTGCAAGTCCAATCTGCGTAGCCATTGCACTACGGCAGCATCCTAGGCATGTCATGATCCATCAATAAAAAATCAATTCTCACGCTCACGATACTTGCATCGAATCGCGCGTGTAAGAATCGTGATTTGAGCAAATTACTGTACGGTATATGCAAACGTTATCCTTTCGGCTTATTGAAGGAACGAGACAAAACGAGACAACAAAAAAAAAACATTCCACACAATTCAAAGGAGACGGAAAAAAAACGATTCACAACAATTGAATTGTGGTCGACATTGTGACGCAGAATCATGGAAATGTATCAAACTAGGAGGTGGATTGTCACGTGCATTCTCGCCATGGAGTTAGAACTGGCGACTATTTGATTATGTGGATTCATTGGATACGAATTGCCATCGACTACTGTTGTGCGGTCGATTACTCGGGCCCATTTTATAGTACTCTCAAAGGTTGGAAACCCCCTATAAGTCACGCCCAGCGTGACGTTGATGATACTGATGACGTCACAATGCCCAGTCCATCACCTCCTACCCAGCGGTACAAGTGCAACAGAGATCGGACCTCTTCGTGCAATGACAGGTTTGATTTTTGTTTTATCCAATGAGTCGAGCGATCAAATGGATAGCCCAGTTCTACATGGAATGATTTTACTCCTCCTGCGATTCGAGGAATTCTCACGATTTTGGGTCACAAATGATGAAATGCTCTCATTTTCATAACGTCGCGTTGAATGCATACCACCTGCAGTGGCTGCAGGGGTCACGGGAACCAACTGCACACGGGCTATGCGAGTTAAAAATAATTATTACACAAGGAGACGCATTGTATATCGTGAGCTTACATTTTTTTAAGTCAGTGCTAGGTGTCCAATACCCATGCTAAAAGCAAACCCTTTTAATTTTTATACCATTTCAACTATAGTATACAGCTCCCAAGTTAACTAACTTTTGAATTAAGGCCTCCCCATACCGTGCCAGTATGTGGGGGTTGTACGATCATTCTTCACCATTGTGGTGAGTGAAGGTCGGTGGAGGAAAGTGCCAAGGACAGGTTTGGATGGCACTCGCCACTGATGTTACCTGTGGCCTAGAAACACAATAACCACTAAACTATCGCTCCACCATGAAAGGTAATTATTTGACTACTTTGATTACAATAAAGAGTCATTCCAAACCACATTCACTCTCCTCCGGTATTTATGGCATTTTATCGAAGCCTCAGTCGAACCCTGGTCAGTGATTGTCGCTTTTTCTCCTCTATTGTCCCCATAACCTGGAACGCCCCTCCGCCATCCATCAGCGCTGTCGACTCCCTGCCCCTGTGCAAGTCCAGGCCAGAGACTTTCCTCTTTTCCTCATCATATTCGATGTAATTAACTGAATTATTTGTGTCAGAAAGTAAACACCAACGGTTTAATGGAGGGGCCAGGGAACCTTTTCCATACTGAACTTTGGCGGGATTCGCATTTCCACCTACTTCAAGTCACTTCTGTCACTGCAAGATACCCTCGCCAATGACAAGTGACTATGAGTGTGCGAAAATTAGTAAACGCGTTGTTGCTGGGTCAAAAATATTCCCTTACGGTACCCTGATTCGTGCGACTAAAGAGGCATCTAGTGACTTAAACATTTAATTTTGGCTCTAACCGCATCATCATAATTCAGGAAATTATGCACATTAACAATTTTAATGACAACACGTTAGAAATTGTAATTTTTTTTAACAATGCGTAGTCGACATTCAGGGAGAATGCAAAGGTAAGCGCGATGTGTTTGAACATACCCCTTTGATTTAATATCTATCTTGCTTATCTCGTAAAGGAGAATAAACCATCACGCAAACTGGTCATCATCACGGCAGCTTCTGGCTGGGCATCGAACAAAGACGGTCACTGCATCGCGCGTTTTCAGATGCACTTCTGCGGTCGTCTGGAATGCTCTTCTGATATTAGGAAGCCACTGGAGCTACGCACGTTTAAATAACCTAGATTGAAACATAATTTCTTTAGAACTACTTTTCGTGTTTAGTTTGTCGTCCTTCCCCCACACCTCCGATAAGCACGGTTGGCTACGTACGGTGCGAAAGAAGTTCAACATACGTACATACATTGATTTTGAATGCCCCTTACTTTATTCTCAATTGGCGATTAAATAGTGTGAGAGTGATGGCTACGTGTCTTACAGAACAGACAGAGGTGGTCGTATGGATGGAGACTCACGGATCTGTGCTCACACGCACACACAGCGTGCAAATTCTGGGAGAACTCACAGCGCATGCCACCGCAAAGGAAAACGACACTCCACCCCTGCACGCACGGCCTGCCTGCCGATCAACTGTGAGTTGTACTTGTTTGTACTGCTGGGTGGACAGAGGTTGGGTTGATATGAGAAACTTGCCATGCCAGGAGATCGAACCGGTGGACTCTGGGATTGGAATTCCTCACGCCTCACCCTTGTAAAGTGGCTCCAAAGTTGATGGTAGCTTGTGTGTGCATTTGGGCCAGAAGCTGGGATTTGAGGGGGGGGAAACAACCCCTTATTGTTTGAGGAAATGCTGTCAACAGCTAGGTTTCCATCAATAATTATGAATGCTCACTTGTTTTGATGAGTTATCCGTTTAACATGAACCCCAAAGATCTTTCAGGGTCCCCAGAGACAAAATACAGTGTAAACACCAACTTAAATAATGCGTTAAATGGTGGAATAACAAAAAAACAACCCCATTGAATTGCTTAGAACGTTTGTCTTTTTTTTGGCATAAAAATACCGTCGTATATATACACACATCATACTTTCAACTAACGCATACTCATTTAATAGAAAACCATTTAAATACATCGTTTGATCGTTTGATTTTGTGCCAATAACCTCTAAGAAAAGAAAACGACCAGTGTGCTTCCCTATAGATACACTATGACTACTCTATGATGGTGGAGTCAAACTAAAATAAATAATAATGGATAAATGTCAATAATATAATCTGGATGTGACTGACCAAAGAGATTCATGATATATATTTTGCAAAAGATGTCTAATTTTCATATTTACATAGGCACAGTAAATGTATAGTTTTTTTCGTACGACATCAGTTGTTTGGGAACTTTATAAGTTGGTTTAATTCTCTGCCATTTAAGTTATCCAACGCTGGCACACACTCTTGCAGACGATGTATAGACGATGCTTTGTCGGGTCTTTAATGTCCACCTTTCAGTAGACGGTGTACATTGGTAATTCCCTGCAGAAGTAACTAAGAAGAAGGGATATGCTCCCAATTTTGTTAAATCCTCAAAATAGCAATCTGAAAATCAGGCCGAAAGTATGATGCCACGGGAAATGACGTCATAATAGTATGTCACTTCCCCTTTTTCACCGCTAAAAGTGGCATCAATGCCACGTGATGCCGCTTTGTTTCGCTCAAGCACAGTTTCCACTATTACAAAATGGAAATGATCCGAAAATATAGAATTTTTATATCCAAAACCCATCCCGACTCTGCTGAGGTTGTCGAGCGTGGGCATATTAACAACTCTTCCTCAGAGCCACTATTCTTAGAATCAATTGTGAAAATGAGTTGGCCCGTGATTTCTAAATGGAGAGGAGGGTCTCCACCATGGTTACAAATACAACCCTGGAAACCAGAAGCTCTTATTTTAATAGGAACACACAGGATGTGTGCACCGGGCTGTCTGTTTTGAGTTTTATAAGCTTCTTTCACAGGGTGGGGGGGGGGGGGAGGAATTGAAAGTGGCATTCACGTGACTCACACTACTTTTAAATTTGTCCAAGATAACAGCGCACAAGTGCATTATGGAAGCCAGCATGACATGACAGCATACCTGTCAACCCATACGGTTTACCTGTATTCTTGTACAGGGAAATTGAATGAAAGTATTTTTTGTCTATTTATTTGTGTGTATCCCTTGTGATGGGACTTTGTAGGATGAACGTTGAGAATCATAAGGGCACGGGGTCTGAATTGGTCTGTAATGAGGTAGGCACTGATAAGGGGTTGACAGATATGGGACAGTCAGATCAAAACGAGAGGTGCACTGGGAGGCCGGTATGAAATTGCACGTGTACTCATCGGGTTTCAAATAATCTACCGTATACTAATCTGCGTCCAAATTCAACGTGGTCAAAAAAATATCTCACGCTAGCACGACTGCTAATTTCTGGAGTGGGGCACTGTGGGAGCCGGGACGCATGAAGCCAATGCAGGTCTGCTGGCACAAAAGGCATCTTAAATATGGAACAAAGAAACTGCTCCAATGTTAAATGGAACAAATTGGTACTTTCATCTGGTGACAGCCCATTGCAAGAGGGAACTTAGCAATTTTTATAATGCTGCAGAAATATATATACACAGTAGTCCCTTGGTTAACGTTTTTTTTTATCCATTCCACTGAAACTGTTCACCGAAATGACTGTTAATCAAATTCAATTATAAGTGTTTACACTGCCAAAATAGTGTTTACACTGCTAGAAAAACAGAAAACATGTTAAGCATAAAGCCATTCGAGCTCTAAACGCTTGCAAATGGCAGTTGCTGTTTGGCTGAGGGCATGGCTCAGCCCTCACTTAGGAGCGCTGGAATTGGCCAAAATTGGCGTGCACAACATAAACATGTTACCGTTACATGAAAGTGTTAACGTCAGTTCAAACCATGGGGGTTCTCTATGGGCGGCGAAATGTTCACCGCAAAAACCGTTAACCGATATCACTGTTAACCGAGGGACGACTGTATATCATTTTATTTATTATAACTTTCACATTTGGGATTTGGGCTTAATGCAAGAGCACACAAATAGCCCGTCCTTTTGAACGATCACCGCTGTCTTTTTGTTCTTGTTTAACATCCACATTACAGCAGACGGCCTGCTTTGGTAAGAAAAATTACCAACCGGATGTGGTAATCAGACTATGACGTATATGTTCTCATTGTTTCGTTTACGCCGGGGAACACGGTGGGGGAGGCGGGGGGGGGGGGGGGGGCGTCGTTTTCGAATGGAAAATGCAAACGTTTCGCGCACGCAGGCGGCGTTGTCCTCGTCCCGTTTTACTTTTAGGCTCCCTACGACTGCTCAGTGTGGCCCGCTTCACACAAGCAACTCGTCCTCTTGCTACTCGGCAAAGAGACTCGCGTCCAACGATGAGGTCGCCGCATCACGGCTGACCGCCCCCCCCACCCCCCCCCACCCCCCCCCCCCCCCCGGGTCCTCTGTCGCTGTCCGTCAAACACACATCGTCCAAAAGCACACCGCCCTAAGTGGGAGATTTTTGCCACCCCCTCTCTCACGAACCCACAGCTCCAAGGGCTATAACCTGACATCTTTCTCCTCCAAGTCCAGCTCGTCATTGTCGGATGGCTGTGGGATCTCCAGGTTGAACTTTTCACTGAGCTGCTGGATAATGGCGGCGAGGTCTTCGGCATTCTGGGACTTTTCCTCCAGGAGCTCGTAGCGCAGGCTCGAGATGTCCTGCTTGATGTCCTTGAGCTCTCCTGCAAGTGACATGCGGGCACATACATAAAGATTCCCCGTGTGGCCTGAACATACGATTGGGACAAGTGCTGTTGGCGAATAGCACCTATAAAGGCCAGCAATGCACATGAGGGGGCGGGTGGGTGGTAAGCATCACGCCCGGTTGCCTTTGTCTCCCCAGTGGCGATGTTTTACACACCGCACCAGGTCTCATTTGAGGCTGAGTCGACCTAGGGGAGGCCCAGGAATGGTTCAGATAATCGTCACAGATGTTGGCCGTGAGCAGGAATCGAACTCGGGTCGCCGGGTTCGTAGCGCAGCGCGCTAACCGCTACACTACCGCTCCCCATGTGTGACGTGTCGTGCGATGACCTCACATGCAATGCCAGGGCGAGTCCTTTTTGGCGCGAATTTTACGTCTCCCAAGTGTTGGTCAACCGTCTTTAATCAATGGGGCAAATCCCTGATAGCAACACATTTGCACTCAAGTTGAACTCCCCATTGGTTTACATTTACAGAACTTATTGTGCCCCCCCCCCCCGCCCCGCATTTTGAATGGACGGACCAGACAGAGATAGCGAATTAGCGCTTTCATCTTCGGTTCGAAAGCACCACAGTTGGTTCATACTATTTGAATTGACGTTCATTAAAAACATCAACATCATCATCATCGTCGTCATTGTGAGCGATAATCGTCACCACCATCAGCAACATCAGTAATTTCAAAAAAGTGTTTTTAATGGAATGTGGCCGTTACCTTCGTTGACCTCGTCGTTCTCCTTGTCGAACTGGGCTTTCAAGACGTACCTCTTGATGAGCCGTTTCATGATTTGCTGCGGAACAGCGTGAGAGAAACGGTGACCGCGAGCAAGCATTGCGTGGTGCCTGATACTGCAATGACATTGTAATTGTGCTGTCGTGCTGTTATAAGATATGAGGATATCAGAATCAGAATATTTATTTATATTGGAGGAATCCGATTAACTGTATAGCTCTTTTTCGCAGATGTCCAGTCGGGTGGGTAAGAACGTTACAACAACAAACCGTACAAAAACATGATAGTAGTGCAAAGTACAAGATAGGTAAGCAAATCACCAAAAAATATACAAATACAACTAAACCATCCCCATCCTACCAGGCAACGCCCAGTCAGGTATTGACTTATTTTTCAGACGCTACCTGTTCACAAATAATAACTCATAGGGTTTTTCCCCTTTTTTCTGACAACAAAACTGAAACCTTTTTACGAGGATTCATGTCTGCATTAACCACAATACCTGCAGTGAAAATGCAAACAAAAAACATACTATGATAATATATGCATCGTCCTTGAAACTGATTGGTCCACACCAAGGGACGGCTTTCTTTTGAGCCTCGACCCAATTGTTGCTCGACCAGATGACGCCAAAAGGCATTACACAGCTCAAAGACAATACACTATAAAAGTAATGAGGGCTCGGGGTGAGCATCTACATCATTAGACCTCCTTTGCCAGCACCAAGATATAATAATAGGGTTTTCCCCTTTTTTCTGGCAACAAAACTAAAACGTGTAAGTGTTTAAAAAACAGAGAAGAGAAACACCGTCCGTACCAAACCATGGCATCATGGTTTACCAGGTAAGGCCCCACTGAGCTATGTAGCTCTTTTGCAGGAGCGATCTGGCCATCACAAATGATAGCTCAACAAAGTGGTTTATCATGTGGAAATTTATAGCAGCCAAATACTCTAAACGCGTAATGTTGATTCTAAATTTGGAGGGGAAAACCGAAGGACCCGGAGGAAAATACACGCGACCACGGGGAGAACATGCAAACTCCAAATACACAGGCGTCAGGGTCGGGATCGAACCCACGACCTCCTGCATACCAGGCGAGGGAATTAACATCTCGACACCACAGCGTTTCATGTGGACCAAGTGTGCGTTTACCTGGTAGCGGGTGGGATGCTGACCTATGCTGTTCATGCTTCGGTTCATGTTGCTCCTCAGGCTATACAGGTCCTGAGGAATGACATTTCGCACGCACTTATGATAGCACAACCGTAGACGCACAACCTGTCGACAGGAGCCATAGACAATTTGATTGAAGCTGGACGAATCCAACGATGAGCAATCGAGCCCTTCAAAACACAGGGTGTCCGGCTCAAAATGCAATGCAAAGAGTCGAATAACACACAGTTAACGCATAGCCGACTCTCTGCGTTGGATTGCATTACATTTCCAATAATTTGCTCAGTTTGTTTTCTCAAACTGCCTATTTCTCTCTCTAAAATTTACCAGGCAATCATAGGTCCATCGCTGTTTCTCTCACACGGCCGCTTCGGGGTGGATTTCCACACAAATCTGTCTATAATTTACCAGTCTTGCTGGGTCTTTTTCTCCCCCTACTATCGCGGAGTGGATATCCACACAGCCCTCTCATTGACATGATAATTTCTCTGCTCCAGCAGACCCACCTTTCTCTCTCTGCCCCCCACGCTCTCTCTATTTAAGGCCATGACACAGAGGCATTGGGTCTCTGTGTGTCTATGTTGTGTGTCTCTCTCTGTGTGTCTCTGTGTTGTCTCTCTCTGCTTGTGTGTCTGTCTGTGTGTCTCCGTGTCTCTGTTTTGTCTCTCAAATTTAGTTCTACCTGATGACGACTGCTTGTGTTGTAATCGAAACGTCGTATTCTATTATTTTATTTATTTTCTTTCTACGTGACTTTACCGAAAGAACCAAAGAGTCATTCCTACAGTGACGAAAGCTTCAAATCAAACAACTGGAGCTATGCACTTTTAAATGAAGATTGAAAACGAATTTCTTTAGAAATGTTTTTTTTTGTGTTTAGATTGTTGTCCTTCCCCCACACCTCCGATTAACACGGTCGGCTATGTACAGTGTGAAATACGTTCAACATATAAGACCGAAAGAGGAGGAATTCTCCACAATTCTGGCTGTCGCCTGATGATGCTGGTGATCATTGTAATTACGGGCTAAACGTGACTGTACTCCAACTGTAAATGTTGTAGTGGGTTTACTCTCCAACACACAACCGGTGTGTGGCTGAACTAGTAACGAAATGGCACGTTTTGTTTATGTTACATAACCTTGCCAATTGGCTCTGTCAGGTGGTGGGGGCTTTGCAGCAGCACAACCGCACGAACGTGCATTTAGAGTATTTGTCTGCTGCTATAAGTGTCCACGTGACGATGACGATGATGATGAGCCTCTTTGTTGAGCTCTCATTTGTCATGGCCAGGGTCACTTCTGAAAAAAGTACTACACAGCTCAGCGGGGCCTTACCTGGTAAAATAAAAAAAAAATTGTTTCAAATAGTTTAGTTCAAACGACACATGTATATTTACGTGTTTTAACCCCCCCCCCCCCCAAAACTATATTTTTAATACAGGGACCCCTCTACTTTCTAACATTAGACTTACAAACTTTCAGAGATACGAACAAACCTGGTCCATATGTCCAGTTGCCTGTTCGGACCGAGAATCGTAAGTTCAATCGCCGCGCAATAGATGGCAATGGTTGCATCTACATCTGCAGAACCTGAAGAACCAGTGGCATCTACATCCACAGGAGATTATGCAACTTTTAAAGCCCTTCCCCATGTTTAGTGTACATGCCGTACAACATGTTTGGAATCGACAGGTGTAAAGTTGGACTTACGAACAAATCGACTTTGAACACACCTTTGGAACCGAACTTGTTTGTAAGTAGATGAGTGCCTGTATATAAATACATGTGGGCTGTTCTGCAGTGTTAGGCTTCATGAGGCCTTGGGCCAGTTTGGAATGGGGCCAGGCCACAGGTTCACCCTCTCTACCCCTCGTCGAGTGAAACCACCGGTAATTGAGCAGCTCGAGAGAGAGAGATAATAACTCTCATTTGGACCAGAATTTCCTCACGTACACTTCTAGTGCATTTACTCACGCGCGTTGAGTAAGCGTATTTGGAGAAAAAAAATCTGTTCATGTTGCTCAGATTATTCTGTTGCTATAAATGTCCACATGATGGCCCACTTTGTTGAGCTATCGTTTGTGATGGCCAGGTGGTTTCTGAAAAAGAAGCCAATATCTCAGTGGGCTTTACCTTTTAAGATTAAAAAATAGTTCTATTTACATATATTTTAAGTGATTTGTTTATCTTTCCTATACTTTGCACTCATATCGTGTTTTTGTATTGCATTTGTTGTTGTGACGTTCTGATCCGCCCCTACTGGACATCTGTGAAAAAAGCTTTATAACTCGTCGGATTTTTCCAATATCAATAAATATTCTGATTCTGAAGTATGTTGAACTTCTTTCACACCGTACGTATCCAACCATGCTAATCGGTTGTGCGAGTGAAAGACAACAAACTAAACACAAAATGCAGTTCGAAAGAAATAAGTTCATGTGTTGTGAGCGATTATCTCTTAAGGCCAACTCTATGCACATATATACACACACTTACACACCTGTGCACGAGAAATCATGCACGCACGATACACAGCTGTAGCCAAACAAATATGCGTGCACATCTGCGCAAAATAACATCCACACAGTTCTAAATAAACTATTAACTTGGGTTTCACAGCGGTGTTGTGAGGGTGGGAGATTCAGACCACCACTGATGCTATTAAAAATGCTGCCGCTCCAATTGCCGAATTAGTGGTCAGATTTATTGTAGAGCAAGCGGTCCCTGCTGTTTACGACGTCGCAATGCGATCCTGGAAACCCCTTCATTGTCATAAATCAGGACCCCTGTTTTCCGATAGACCAGCGGTTCTTAACCGGTACTGCAGCCTTGCACCCTTTTGGTTCTCAATCGTAAAAAAAATATATAATGTTAAGAAATACATGAGGGGTTTGATGAAACAAAGTAGTTGTACTTACGTGCCTGTGCTTAATTTGTGTTTTCGATTATTTACCTTCGGGAAAAAATCTGGCCATGTCTCGCACCCCCAGAAAGGGCATCTCGCACTCCCAGGGGGTGCGTGCACCCCAGGTTAAGAAGAACCACATTGCCATAGACGGTCGAAACAGGAGAGACGTCACTTGCCGGTGTGTTTTTTGTTATTTTTCGACGTATTTATCATCCGTTTTTATTTAGCGGGGTTTATAAAGAGGTAAAATTCGTCCACACAAAACAACTCGAGAATAACAAAAAAGGCTCGGAAACGCCTGGTGACGTCGGAAAACCGGAATGCGGAATGACTCTGTTCAAATTTACGTTTGGGAATCGTGTCGGATAGTTTAGTAGTATAAACGTAATATGTGGATTGTCGCAAATAGGACCATCGTAAATTGGAGACCGCCCTGTACTCCAGTATTACATTTCAATCATCATTAATGTTTTAATATTTCTGTACACATTTGGTAGCACCCTCAGAATCCAAGACCATGGCCTACAGCCCCTAATGCTCCTACATTATTCCAGCCCTCAATATTTCCCTGTCACCAGGGATTAATTTGTCTCTGAACATTTTCTGTAACGCTCCGAGGATTAATTTTTCCCTCTCTCAGTATTTCCTGAAATACTCCGAGGCTTGCTTGCTAGCAGTAAGGGATTATTACCAAAGGGCACTACCGCTGAGCACAGGTTATGCCTATCTAAAATATAATCCTTTGTTATTTGTACCCTGCATTGCTGCAATCTCCATTTCTATAGGCACACCAGGTGGATGCGGCGTGCTAAAATAATTCCCGGCACAGTCTTCCGGACCTTTTCCAGCTGAAATTAAGGACTTCATTTTGAGCAATTGCATACCAATTTTGCAGCGGTTTCCCGATCTCTCTGGACACGCGCACCCTTGGCATCCCTAAAAAAATCCTCACGTCAGATAATTATAATGAGCATTTGGAAAGCTCTCCCCTGCCACCCCACATATTGCAATTCACTACTCTACGGGACAGCTGGAAAAAAAAAACCTAAGCAAGCTGCAGCGTGTAGAACATTCTTTGCCACTTGTCGTGACGGATACTGCAAGATACGACCGTGTCCGTCCAGTGCTCGCTGAGCTGCATTGGCTTCCGGTTGCCGAACAAACACATTGTAAGGTCACAATCATCACACACAAAGTGCTTTCCACAAACGAACAGCAATACATTTGCTGATCTCGTCAATGAACATAAATCACCATCATGTGGGCTCCGGTAATCCTCGCAGTGGGTGCTTTTGGCCAGTGGTTGAACAAAGACAGTTACCGAATCGCTGCACTTTCAGATACGCTTCTGCGGCCGTCTGGAACGCTCTTCCTTCTGACATTAGGAAGCCACTGGGAGCTATGCACTTTTAAATCATCTAGATAGACAAATTAATTTCTTTAGAACTGTTTTTTGTTGTTGTTTTGTTTAGTATGTTGTCCTTCCCCCTGCACCGCCGACAAGCACCGTTGGAAAGGAATTCAACGTGCACGCGTACAAAACCAAACCAATGTATCTGCTCCAGTTCCGCTGAGCACTCCTCATGGCCTCACGATCACCGGCACGTGTCCACGATCCACAGCCCGGGAAGAGCCGGCGTGCGCACGCGGTATGTGCGCGCGGCGCGAGCGAACGCACCTTGGCCTTGGCGTCCAGCATGTCCATCTCCACGTCCAGCTTGCCCTTGTGCTTGCGCCAGCGGCACAGGCGGCCGAGGGCGCGGGCCGCTGCCAACAGCAGCTGCACGGCCGACTTGGGGCTGGGCACGAGGTTGAAGGGCACGGGCAACGTGCGGCCCTGCTCGAAGTACGAGATCCAGAGCTTGGCGCGAGCGAACTTCCACTCCACGTCCGAATCGTCCTGCCGGTGAAGTATTTTTTTCGGCATAAGAATGACTGTCATATACCTATTTTTTTAGACGCACACAGACAAATATCCCCGGCGCAGCCTGTGACAGACTGTTGAGGCAAGTGCTGTTAGCGAGTAGCAGCACCTATTATCAGAATGCAGATTCGCATCATCATCCAGCTCAGAAATCCTCTCTTATCAAGACGCTCATACATCGGGCTAAAACAGTGTCAGATGGTGAAAGTCGAGTGAGAGAGATAAACACGTTAAAGACGCACTACGAAAGAATGGCTACAATAATACCCAAATTAACAGAGCACTGAATGCCAAATTACGATCGCAAAGCAACACTGCTGAAAGCGATCACATTGTTAAAACAATAAAAATTCCATATATCTCAGGAGTAACTGACAAATTAGCCCGTGTTTTGAAAAAGCAAAACATTACAGTAAGATTTGGTACAGTACACAATATTAAAAAACTAGTATCTTGCACTAAAGACGAATTACCTAAATTATCAACAGAAGGTGGATATCGAATTAATTGTTTATGTGGCAGATGCTATATTGGACAGACGGTACATAACATCAGAATAAGACTAAAAGAACACCAAAGAAATATGAAATTATCTCAAACACAACTGTCGGCAGTGGCAGAACATGCTTGTCAACAAGGACACTCAATTGATTTTGATAACGTTGAAGTGTTGTGTACAACTAATTATTACTGGCAAAGACTAATTAGAGAATCCATTGAAATTGAGAGAAATAGAAATAACTTTAATCGCTCTGACAGCTACAGGCTTAGTGCGGCTTGGAAGTGTATTATTAAATAATACATATTACAATTCCTTATAGAGGAAACACATACTAATTAACGGATTACTAACGTAGCATATAATCACAATAACACACATTACAACTAATTACTAATTTACAACTCATTACTCATCATAACCATTGACTGATTACCAATCGATTATATAATTACAATACCCCCCCCCCCGCCTCAAATCACTGCACCTGAAATGAGTTAAATGATGACGTCACCCTGCTGCTCTATTTAAGACCGGGAACAAGTGAGGGATTTACCATTCTGGCGAACTGCCCATTGATGCTGGATGTAATTACCAGCGACACGTCGTGCTCAAACTGTAAATGTTGTGGATTCACTCTGCAACACACCGGTGGGCTAAAGTAGTGAACTATTTGTCTTTTGTAAACGTGACACTTTTTTGCTGATAGGCTGTGTCGGGTGGTGGAGGGTTACGACACATTTATAAATAACGCGATCTAACCCAAAAACCTTTATTATGAATAATATTGGTCGCGAAAGCCTACGTTTTAAAATAAATATCCTACTGTGAAAAGTGACTATCCACTGAACCGTACTTACCACTCCGATCTCGAAGACTCTGCATCATGGGTGATGTACGTAGCGCCACTACGCTCTTTTTTCAACACAACCACCACTTGTGTTTGACAATCGCCGGTCTGATGCAGCCTTGAGAGCAGTGCTCCAGTGAACGCCAAATAACACAACGCACTTTTTTGCTGGATCTCACCGTCTGTATTGTTTTTATCACCGTAGTTATTAGTCATGAAAAATGTATACACATGCAGTATTGTCATTGCTTAAGTTGTATGTAGTGTATAATGTACCGTATATGCTATTTGATACTGAAATCAAGCGAAGCTGCTTTTTGTCACACACACGGTGCTGATTGCCGGGCTCGGTTACAGCCTTTGGAGCGGTTTGTTGTCGGTTTCACCGGATCGGCCCAGGACCGCCGGATAAAGTTGTATGCCACATAATCGCTCCACCAGATAATCGGTGATCGACTGTACATCTTAATTTAACAACTGCAAGCTCTCTCTATATATATATTTTGTTGACGTAAAGGCAACATTTAACACGTAGGCTTTCACGACCAATATCATCCATAATAGAGGAGTTTTTTTTGGGTTAGATCGCGTAAATATATAAATGTGTCGTTACAACCCACCACCACCCGACACAGCCAACTAGTAAGGGTTGTCACGTAAACAGAACATGCCAATTCGTCAGCACACCGGTGTGTTGTACTCAGGTTGTAAATGTTCTGGCTTGGCTGTCCAACACACCGTTGTGCTGTACTAGTGACGAATTGGCACGTTCTGTTTACGTGACAACCCTTACTAGTTGGCTGTGTCGGGTGGTGGCAGGTTTTAACGACACATTTATATATTTACGCGATCTAACCCCCCAAAAAAAACCTCTATTATGGAAGGCAACATTCTCCGCCCCCCACATTCCTCACCTCGATCTCCTGGTAGGAGCTGTTGATCATGGCGATGAGCATGTTGAGCAGTACCACCACCATGGTGACGTTGTAGACCCCGTAGAGGATGTAGCCGATGTTCTCGATGAACTTGTGGTTGTAGTTGATGACGACTGAAGCCACCTCGGAGAGGCCGAAGATCGACCAGAAGAGGGTCTTGAAGCTTTCCTCAACTCTGCGCGCGTTGGTGCGGCGCAAATTATCGGTGGAAGGGGGGGGGTAAAAGGGGGGGGGGATAAACGTCGACAATTCCCGGGGGGCCAAGGGAATTGCAGCAGCATGGGGCACGGAGTCTGATATGATACGGTCAATACACGGGTGGACAAGAGACCTTCTGCCACTTACCCACATGGGGTGCATATATAAAATAAAACTACCACACGCAAGGCCCGCTGAGCTATATACAGCTCTTTTTTTTCATAAGCGACTTGGCCGTCGCAACTGATGGCTAAGCAAAGCGGCTTAAAACGTGGACATGATGTTGATTCTAAATGTGGAGGGAAAAACCGGAGGACCCGGAGAAAAAAATCCACGCGACCACGGGGAGAGAACAGCGCAAAATCCAAACATATAGCAGGCGTTAGGGTCAGGATCGAACCCACGACCTCCTGTATACCAGTGGCGCGAGTGTAATAATGAGGGAATAATAAACCATGGGTTTCATTGCAATGCCCTCTGATGGTCACTCCGTAGACCCACAGCCGTAGTCACGTGGTGCTGATGCATGGTGGTCAAGTGGTCTTCAGAATCTTTTTAGATTTTTTTATTTAGACTGGAAGAATCCGATGAACTACAAAGCTCTTTTCTACCGATGTCCGTTAAGGGGCGAGTCAGAAAGTTACAACAACAAACAATATTAAAAACACCATAGGGGTACAAAGTATAGGAAAGTCACGAAATAAAACCAAATAAAGTTTATAAGTACAAATAAATAATATAAGTACATGGTTGTCAGTTTATGAATATAAATATGCCTCGGTTAAATGTCCTTGATTTAGCACGGTTCTCCTCACCTCCTGTTGGTACGGTTGGCTATATACGGTGCAAACGAAGTTCAAGATTACATACATCCATTTAACCATTTAGCCAGCCTAGAGGTCCTTGATTTAACCGGCCTGAGGTCTGGTCAAATGCATTGCCTTCCACAGAGCCCAGCCGCCTATTATGCATAGTGGTTGTCCATCCAAGCACTCGCCAGGCTCAACTCTCCATAGCTTCTGATCTTTGGATGAGGTGGGCTGCATTGCGAGTAATTTGTGTGTATATACGTTGAACTTCCTTCACACCGTACGTAGCCAACCGCGCTCATTGGAGGTGCAGTGTTGAGTCTATGGGTAGTGTTAGTCTATGGATAGTATTGAGTCCATGAGTAGTGTTGAGTCTATGGGCAGTGTTAGACTATGGATAGTGTTCATCTATGGGTAGTGTTGAGTGTATGAGCAGTTTTAGTCCATGGGCAGTGTTGAGTCGATTGACAGTGTTGAGTCTATGGGTAGTGTGAGTCTATGGGTAGTCTTAGTCTATGGGTCGTGTTAGTCTATGGGCAGTGTTGAGTCTTTGGGTAGTGTGAGTCTAGGGGTAGTGTTAGTCTATCGGCAGTATGTATACTGAACTTCTTTTGCACCGTACGTAGCCAACCGTGCTAATGGGAGTTGCGGGGGAAGGACAACACAAAAAAAATGTCGCCGTTGGGGAAACACAAAAGGATTATTAAAAATGTGATGAAGACTTTAAAGGTTGAATAAAGTCACCTATTTTGAAATTGGAGCGGAGTGGTGGTACAGCAGTTGCTGTGGCGTGCTACGAATCCGGTAACCCGAGTTCAACAACCTTCGCTGAGCCGCAATGACCAGCGTGGTGAAGTATGGTAGCAAAAAAAAGCCATGACAGACATGGCTTGGAGTAGCCTCCACCCATTGGTGGATTAATATTATTATTAAAATAAAGTGAATTTTAATTATTCAATGAAAATCTGTCGAGCAATTTTGCAAAATATATATAGGATTTATTACGTAATCCATAGAAAAAAATCTTATTTAACCGTTTATACTTTTGAGAACTCTCCACGATATGATGCATTAGGGGGAAAAGTAATGTGGCCACTGTAAGATCGTTTGTGCCACCATTTTGGCGAGAAAATGGGTCACAGACGGAGCTTAATGTTACATTTTCTTTTACGATGCAAAACATTGTGAGGAAATTACAAAGCGATACTGAGAAATACAAAATTGCCGAAACCCTCCTAGGACTTGATGGCAGACTTTATCAAAGCTCCCTGCAACCAAAAAAAAATTGGTCGCAATGCCATCCAGTTACTGGGGAAGTTTAGTGCAGTCATTGCCGTAGGCCCTGAGTTGCAAATAATGAATGTGCCCTCGGAGGGAACTGCACTCATTGCAGAAATTACAAATATTTTGTTCACACATCCACATCTTAAATCTCACAAAGGCAAGGCAAAGATCCCCCGTATAGTTTTAACAGACTGTAGGAGCAAGTGCTGTTAGCGAGCAGAACCTATGAGGGCCGGAACGGAACAGGAGGGGGTGGTTGGCCAGCACCACGCCCGGCCACCTTTATCTCCCCAGTGGCGATGTTTACACACCGCACCAGTTACTCATTTGAGGCCAAGTCGACCTAGGGGAGGCCCAGGACCGGTTGACACAATAGTCACTGGCGTTGGCCGTGAACGGGAATCGAACGCGGGATGCCGGATTCATTGCGCAGCGTAGCGCTAACCGCTACACTGGCCGCTCTCCGCCTTAAATCGCACGGCGCACACACAGACACAGTCGTCCACGGGTCGAGCATTTAATAGTCACGGAGAGGCCACGCTGATGCTTGTCTCTCGATTAGCCCAATGATGGTTCACCACGCGAACTCCTGTGATCATCCTCGCAGCAGCGGCGTGTTTTGGCGAAGCCATCGAACAAAGACCGTGGTCACCGCATCGCATGGTGCTGCTTTCAGATGTGCTTCTGCGGCCGCCCGGAATGCTCTTCCTTCCAATATTAGGAAGCCGCTGGAGCTATGCACTTTAAAATCCTGGAGATTGAAAACTCATTTCTTTAGAGCTGCTTTTTGTGTTTAGTTTGTTGTCCTTCCCCCCGCGGTTGGCAACATACGGTGCGAAATAAGTTGAACGTACATACATACTACACTATACACTACACTATACACGAGACTGCGCTGTACACTACACTATGCACTTCACTATACAATACTATACACTATACCAGTATACTAAATTGAAAACACATTTCTTTAGAGCTGCTTTTTCTGTGTTATTTTGTTGTCCTTCCCCCGCACCGCCGATGAGCACGGTTGGCAATGTATGGTGCGAAAGAAGTTCACCATACGTACTATACTATACACTACAATATACACTACAACACACTATACTATACACTACTATACACTACACTACTATACACTACACTATACTAAATTGAAAACAGATTTCTTTAGAACTGCTGTTTGTGTTTAGTTGTCCTGCCGCCCATATCTGTTTAGTGCAGTAGGCTGCGTATGGTGCGAAAGAAGTTCAACGTATGTACGCACGAACATTCAGGAATTCCCCTCACGATACGTGAGACGTGGCCGTGGAGCAACAGTCGGCACAGCGGACTTGCAATCTGGAGGTCGCCAGTTCGACCTCCAAATTTGAACCTCGTCCAATTTGAGGAACGTCGACTCTTTATCGACGACACCTTTCACAACTGCTGTTCGTCGCTGCTGGCCGCTCGGCGTTTTGACCTTTCGGGGGTGCCCCGTGGGTCAAAATGAGGCTAACTGCTGGACGCCTGTGAAAAATAGTTTCTTAGCTCATCGTATTTCTCATCAGGATAAAAAACAAAGATTCTGATATCGAGGCCCACTCTGGCCACAACCTCCCTCCCATCCCAACCCTCCCCAAATCCTCAAAGAGACTCACGTGACAAAGGCGCGGTTGACCTTGGCGCCCCGGTAGTATGAGTATAGGTTAAACATGCCGATCATGAAGGCCAGGAAGACCATGATGAAGATGACCATGAACTTGAAGATATCCTTCACCGTCTGGCCCAGGGAGATCTGCAGGGGCCCAAAGCTCTCGTTGGCCGGCAGGATGTAGGCGATGCGCGAGAAGCTCAGCACAATGGCGATGGAGTAGAGGCCCTCGGAGATGATCTGAGGGTCCGAGGGGAGCCAGTGGCTCCGAGCTGGTGGGGTAGACAGACGTGCACACGCGCACACTTGTCAAATTGTTGGCCAAGTAGCTTGCGCATCTTTTTTCCCCGCCGCGCAAGCGAGGCAGAGCCGCCGCCATCGCCGCCGCGGGGTGGGCCATGCCGAACCGGCCCTCAGCACAGCTCCGCAGGTGCCGGCATTGTTTTTTTATTCCACTGCAGAAAGCCGAGCCGTGCCATGACGTGCCGTGACAGTTTCAAAGACAATGCATACAATGAGGGAAAAAAGTATTTGATCCCCTGCTGATTGTGTACGTTTGCCCACTGACAAAGAAATGATGAGTCTATAATTTTAATGGTAGGTTTATTTGAACAGTGAGAGACAGAATAACAACAACACAATCCAGAAAAACGCATGTCAAAAATGTTATAAATTGATTTGCATTTTAATGAGGGAAATAAGTATTTGACCCCCTCTCAATCAGAAAGATGTCTGGCTCCCAGGTGTCTTTTATACAGGTAACGAGCTGAGATTAGGAGCACACTCTTAAAGGGAGTGCTCCTAATCTCAGCTTGTTACCTGTATAAAAGACACCTGTCCACAGAAGCAATCAATCAATCAGATTCCAAACTCTCCACCATGGCCAAGACCAAAGAGCTCTCCAAGGATGTCAGGGACAAGATTGTAGACCTACACAAGGCTGGAATGGGCTACAAGACCATTGCTAAGCAGCTTGGTAAGAAGGTGACAACAGTTGGTGCGATTATTCGCAAATGGAAGAAACACAAAATAACTGTCAATCTCCCTCGGCCTGGGGCTCCATGCAAGATCTCACCTCGTGGAGTTGCAATGATCATGAGAACGGTGAGGAATCAGCCCAAAACTACACGGGAGGATCTTGTCAATGATCTCAAGGCAGCTGGGACCATAGTCACCAAGAAAACAATTGGTAACACACTACGCCGTGAAGGACTGAAATCCTGCAGTGCCCACAAGGTCCCCCTGCTTAAGAAAGCACATATACATGCCCGTCTGAAGTTTGCCAAAGAACATCTGAATGATTCAGAGTACAACTGGGTGAAAGTGTTGTGGTCAGATGAGAAAAAAATTGAGCTCTTTGGCATCAACTCAACTCGCCGTGTTTGGAGGAGGAGGAATGCTGCCTATGACCCCAAGAACACCATCCCCACCGTCAAACATTGAGGTGGAAACATTATGCTTTGGGGGTGTTTTTTTCTGCTAAGGGGACAGGACAACTTCACCGCATCAAAGGGACGATGGACGGGGCCATGTATCGTCAAATTTTGGGTAAGAACCTCCTTCCCTCAGCCAGGGCATTGAAAATGGGTCGTGGATGGGTATTCCAGCATGACAATGACCCAAAACATACGGACATGGCAACAAAGGAGTAGCTCAAGAAGAAGCACATTAAGGTCCTGGAGTGTTCTAGCCAGTCTCCAGACCTCAATCCCATAGAAAATCTGTGGAGGGAGCAGAAGGTTCGAGTTGCCAAACGTCAGCCTCGAAACCTTAATGACTTGGAGAAGATCTGCAAAGAGGAGTGGGGCAAAATCCCTCCTGAGATGTGCGCAAACCTGGTGGCCAACTACAAGAAACGTCTGACCTCTGTGATTGCCAACAAGGGTTTTGCCACCAAGTACTTAGTCATATTTTGCAGAGGGGTCAAATACTTATTTCCCTCATTAAAATGCAAATCAATTTATAACATTTTTGACATGCGTTTTTCTGGATTTTTTTGTTGTTATTCTGTCTCTCACTGTTCAAATAAACCTACCATTAAAATTATAGACTAATCATTTCTTTGTCAGTGGGCAAACGTACAAAATCAGCAGGGGATCAAATATTTTTTTCCCTCACTGTATACTATCAGAGCATTTTTTTGCATGTTCACCACAAGTATATGTGCTTAATGCGGTAACATGATTCCTTGCAAAAGGTTTCAGTTTGGTGTTTTAACATCTTAACACCTGTTTTATTGCCAGAAAGGGAAAAACCTAGTCTTATACTTTGATATTGCCAAGGAAGGTCCCATGATGTAGCTGCTCACCCCGAGCTCTCAATGTACTGATAGTGGCATTGTATTTGTGATGTTCACCTTTTGGCGTCCACTGTTTGAGAATAGGCTCTAAAGAAAGCTGTCTCTGGTGTGGACCAATCCGTTTCAAAGACGATGCACATACTATCAGAGCATGTTTTTTTTGTATGTTCACCACAAGTATGTGTGGTTAATGCAGACATGATTCCTTGCAAAAGGTTTACGTTTGGTGTTTTAACATCTTAACACCTGCTTTATTGCCAGAAAGGGAAAAAACACTTTTGTTACACGCCAATCTAACCCGAAATAAACTTCATTTTGAATCGCACATTATCTGCAGCTACGCAAGCTGTTTTTTTGTACATTTTCATTATTTTGAAACGCAAAATGACAATGGTAATTAATGTTTACATTGTTTTCGCTTGAGATGTTGAGCCCTGATAGCAGCAGCAGCACCTGTGCCTGTGTGCGACGATTGCCAAGCGGGGCTTCAGTGTCCCCTTTTGTGCAGCACAGATCCTGACCAGTAGTCACTTTCACTTAAATTTGAAAGTGCGAATGAACCTGGCTCCATCCGTGACACAGAGGTCACGGCGACTCTCGTGAAAGGGGGGATCCGACGTGAGTCCAATCTCAGCGTGAAGTCACGCTTCACGCTGAGAAGGGCTTTTCGATGCACAGGAAACACCGGCCAAATTGATCAAAGGGGTTGCCGTTTCGTCAATTCGGCCTCCGTGCAGCTGACAAGGTCACGTTGTCATCGCCCGTCAAATACCTCCAGAGACCAAAGCGCATTGGATGGCGTTGCACGGATTCGATGCGCGCATGTGATTCCTCACTCCTCGTTTTAGTACAATAACAGTACGCTCCACGGTGCCACGTCACCCCCGTGTACACACCGCAGTTCAGCCGTTATTGCGCCGACCACGAGCCGGCCCCATCGATTCATAAATCATTTATACATCATCACGACCGCGCATATATACACACGGTGCATGAATATTGCACAAATTGCATGAAATTTAAGTGTCGGTCACCGCCACCATCATCGTCATTGTCGAAGCAACAGACTTTCTCCCCTGGAGGCAGAAATTTAGTGGGCGGTTATCACATTAATCTTTCATCATCTTACATCAAAATTGCGATGGGCGAGGAAGGTGCAATATTGGCATTTGCAATTGCCCGGCTTGTATTCATTGTGAGGACAATTTAAAAATATATATATTTTTTTATGAATCTGAGACGCGTTCTTGCTTTACTAAGAGCCTTTATTTGGGACACCAACAACTATTCTTAGGCCAGGGCTTTGGTTCTCGATTCTCGAACATCATCTTCTCTCCAAGCCGCCCCTTCACTTTGTACTACCCCCCTTTTATATCCCTCGAGCGCCCTTTCTGGAAGGTCCGCTCAGCCCCAATTCCCTCAGCCAATCGTCGTCCTCTTTCTCTTAACGGTTGTAAACCGTCACCCCGACAGTCAACCCTCGTTTCCCGCCTTTTACGTTTGAATTGCTCTACTTATTAGTTTTAATTATCTGGTCGTAGCCAATCCCCTTTGAGGCCTCTCTGCACCAATCAGAAGGTTTGACGCATGCGTATGTAAGTGGTCTCTTGTTTTCAATCCTTATATCATTATTATTTATTTTCCCACGTAAATGCGGATCAATGCAGGAACCTCGTAAGTAAAGTAAGAAAACAACAACAACACACACCCGATCATAAATTCGGCACCTAGAGCCACTTTAAAAAAGAGAACACCCCTTTAGGATCTGATTGAAAATGCATTCGGTGTGGAAGCGGCAAAACGCCGCTCCAATCATCTTGACGATCGCCGCTCCGATCATCTTGACGATGTGCCCGCTCCGATCGCCGGAGCGGGCACATCATCAAGAGCGGAAAGGGGGGGGGGGGTGACCCGATTGACCTCACCGCCGCCACTGCCGCCCCGCGGGTCTCTCGCATTCTAATTCACTGCAGACGGCTTGACAACGGTCAGCGGACAGCCGTGGGGATGACAACGGCTTTACTCTCTGCATGCGCGAAATGAGTCAGTGGTGGGCGGTGAGCGGTGATCGCTCAATTGGCCGGCTGGGCTAAAAGCTGCCGAACGTTTCCGAAGTAATGTCCCTTTAATTGCAAACGTGCTTTTCATCATTATTATTCTTCATCATTGTTGTCGCCGGCTATGATACATATACTTCTGGATGAAGGCCTACCAAAGCAGTCACCATCTCTCACGATTCTGAAATGTAATGATTCAAACAACTCATTCACACACAAGCTTTAAATGTACGTGGAATTTTATGGTCAGTTTTCTAATTGCCATCATTCCAATTAGCTATGGGGTAGGGTTCCTCGTCAGTTTTCCTCCTTCCGCTTGTGATCCTAATTCGTTGATTCAACCTCTCAATCTCACCCCCAATTCCATCGCGTCCTCCCCAAGGCAGCCCAGCCACCTTGTTTGCTGTCTCTCTCCTGAATCATCCCCTCTTTAATTTTTTTCATCAAAGGCCTTCTTCATAACCTGATCTGAGCTCTTTCTCACCGCGGTGGCAAGATGTTAACTACCTCGCCTGGTATGCAAGAGGTCATGGGTTCCATCCCGACCCTAACGCCTGCTGTATATTTGGAGTATGCACGTCTCTCTCCTTGTGGTCACGTGGATTTTTTTACGGGACCCTACGGGTTTTCCTTCCACATTTAGAATCAACGTCACGTGTTTAAAGTATATGGCTGCTATAAAATTCCACGCGATGATAACGCCACTTCATTGAGCTGTCATTTGTGGCAAGGTCGCTTGTGCAAAAGAGCTGAATAGCTCAGTTGGGCCTTACCTGGTAAAATACAAAAGTCGTTTAGTTTAGCAATTGAGTACATGTCCACACCACCTTAGTATTGCGCCTGTAACCTTGCTCAGCATCCCTCTTCTCCTCAAGCGTGAGATGTTCTTGAGGACCAGGTGGCGTTACAACCTTGATGAATCTTAAACAGCTTTCTGCAATGCTTCGCTTTTTATTGTTTAAATCCATCGCGGATTATGGGCGATGGATTTAATGCATGGCTCTTGCACCCATTGCCACGGTGGTGCCATACAACTCTCCGACGTGTTGCGGGTTGGACTGCGAGTTATTCGTCGTTCGACGTCCGACGTTTTGCTCCGCACGCCCGGAGCTTCTTAGTCAAAAACCGATTTGAAAATCACAAAAAGACTTCCGGCTCGCTGATCAAAACGTTGGACATCGAACGATGCGTGGTACAAACCCGGAGAGCGTCGGGTGGCACCCACAGGGTCGGGAATGCCACGGGGAAAGGAAGTCGGGAACACAGTCCGGGACGACGTTGGGAACGGTACATCAGGAACGCCATCAGGAATGCGGGTTGAGAACGCATGTGGGGAACACAATCAGGAACGCGCATCGGGAACGCCGTCGGGAATGCCATCAGGAACGCGAATTTGGGAAAACGCGTTTGGAACGCCGTCGGGAAGGCTGTTGGTAACGCTGTTGGGAACGCGCATGGGGAACGCCGTCGGGAACGTGCGTTGTGAACAAGCATCGGAAATGCCGTTGGGAACTTCGTTGGGAACACGCATTGGGAATAAGCTTCGGGAATGCCGTCGGGAACACCGTTGGGAATTCCGTTGGGAGCACGATCGTGAACTCCGTTGGGAATGCGCGTTGGGAACGCTGTTGAGAACACCATCAGGAACGCTGTCGGGAATGCCGTCGGAAATGCGCGTTGGGAACGTCAGCAGCGGACGAGGGAGCTCCCATCCAAGAAATACGCTGAAACAGCATGCCTATACAGGTACGTCGATGGTGATCAATTGTGAGCAGCCAGTAATGGACACTCTGCATCTTCTGCAATTAAACGTACATAATCAATTAGATTTACATAAGAATTAACTGTGCATAACCCTACTAATAATAGATATCCATTGTAATGGATATGGCTACATTAACCCCCCCCCCCCCTGCTCTGGTCTTCGCAGCTGATAGGCTCACTAGTGATGACATCACATTTATCCCCTCTATTTAAGACCGATGCAGGAGGAGGATTTCTCCACAATTCTGGCTGTAGCCTGATCAGGCTGGAGTGCTGAACTCGTAATTCATTCCAATGTTTTCTTTACGTGACAATCCTTGCTGATTGGCTGTGCCAGGTGGTGGCTGGTTTAAGGGCGCAATGGTGGCGAGATGTTAACTCCTTCGCCTGGTATACAGGAGGTCGTGGGTTCAATCCCGACCCTGACGCCTGCTCTATATTAGAAGTCTGCGTGTCTCTCATCATCATCACGGTGGCTAGGAGATGTTAAGTACCTCGCCTGGTATACAGGAGGTCGTGGGTTCAATCCTGACTCTGACGCCTGCTGTATATTAGAAGTCTGCGTTTCTCTCATCATCATCACGGTGGCTAGGAGATGTTAACTACCTCGCCTGGTATACAGGAGGTCGTGGGTTCAATCCTGACTCTGACGCCTGCTGTATATTAGAAGTCTGCGTTTCTCTCATCATCATCACGGTGGCTAGGAGATGTTAACTACCTCGCCTGGTATACAGGAGGACGTGGGTTCGATTCCAACCCTGACACCTGCTGTATATTTGGAGTTTCCGGTGTCTCTTTCTCTCTCTCTTCTCCCTGTGGTCGCGTGGATTTTTTCTCCGGGGTCTTCCAGGTTTTCCCTCCACATTTAGAATCAACATCACACGTTTTAAGAGTATTTGGCTGCTATGAATGTCCACGTGATGATGATAAGCCACTTCGTTGAGCAATCATTTGTGGTGGCCAGGGTCACTTCTGAAAACAGAGTTACGTAAAAAAAAAGAGCTACCCGGTAAAATACAAAAAAAATTGTTTAGCTTGAACGACATATTTATATTTCCACGATGTAAAAAACTAAAAAAGAAAACAGCCTTATATATGGATAACATCGGTTCCTGCGGAATCCTACTGCTCACACGGCAACGTCAAAACCCACCCAGGTTGAAGTAGCGGATGTGCTCGGGTAGCGTCGCGTTGGAGACGTTGGGAAAGCCCTCCGAGTCGACGAAGCGCTGCGCCTCGGAGGCCTTGAGGAAGGCGAAGAGGCGCGCCGTGAACGACGCCACGAAGATGGAGAGCATGCCAAAGTCGAGGACATTCCACAGCTGGAAGAGGTACTCCTTGAGCCCCTCGGCCCACAGCTCCTTGCACTCGGCCCAGATCATCCCTGCGGCGAGGTGGTGACGAGAAGCCGGGGAGGGGGGGGGGGGGCAGTGGAAACACGAGAATCATGTTTTTAATGATGTTTTTTTTAAATATCCATATGTGGTAGATAAAAACTATAAAACTGTTAAAACTATAAATTATTTTTGTTGTATTTTGTAAGGCCCACTTAGCTGCTATATAGCTCTTTTTGAGTAAGCGACCTGGCCATTGCCCACGATAGCTCAAACGAAGTGGCTTGTCGCCACGTCGTGATTGATAGCAGCGGCCGAATACTCTGACCGCGTGACGTCGATTGTAAATGTGGAGGGGAAAAAAACCACAGGACCCTGGAGTAAAATCATGGGACCACGGAGAAAAAATAGAGACACACAGACTCCAACGATACAGGCATCATCAGAGTCGAGATCAAACCCACGACATCCTGTATACCAGGCGAGAAAATTTACATATTGCCACTGTCACACTTCCCAGAATGGAATTGTCTATGGAAGTATTTAATGAATGGTATGGCAGTTTATTAGAAATGTGCAAATTTGCAAACATTTTCCAAGTTTGATAAATTGTGTTGGTTTTATTTAGTCTCCAACAGCAACGCAATCTATACTATTTTGGATTAACTTTACATAAGGACACATATAACGTGTAAACGTGATATTACAGCATCGAGTCGAGCTGAAATAAATTGGTTCCCAATTTCCTGCACGCAAGCGTTTGTGCATGCGCACGATTGTGCGCGCATGCGGTGGCACGACGGTCATAGCACACTGCGCTACGAACATGGCTACACGAGTTCGATTCCCACTCGGTCGCCAATATCTGGTCCTCCCCCTAGGTCTACTCAGCCTCAAATGAGTAACAGCAAGCCCCTTGCCCAAAGTGAGGGTTACCTTCGTGAAAAGAGCCGCAATCGCAAATCCGCGATATGCCGACAGACACAAAGGCAAATATCCCCCGTATAGCTTTAACAGGCTGTTGGGACAAGTGCTGTTAGTGAGCACCTAATAAGGCCGGTACAGCTCACGAGGGAGTGGGTGGCCAACACCATTTCCGGCCGCCTTTGTCTCCCGAGTGGTGATGTTTTACACACTGCACCAGGTTCTCATTTGAGTACCTAGGTGAGGCCCAGGGACGATTCAGATAATCGTGACTGGTGTTGGCCGTGAGCGGGAATCAAACTCAGGTCGCCGGGTTCTGAGCGCAGAGCGATAACCGCGACACTACCGCTCCCCACAACATACATACACGTGGGCACATGTACTGTACGTTGAGCTTCATTCGCAACGTACGTAGCCAACCGTGTTAATCAGAGGTGCGGGTGAAGGACAACAAACTAAACACACGCACAACGCCTTTGTTTCGCACTTCGCCTGCTCTCCGAGCGAGCACGTGCCCACCCACCGATGATCCACGCGACGATGAGCAGCTCCGTCCAGGTGAAGGACGTCGTCTTGATGCGGAAGAGCTGCTGCGGGTGGTCGGTCTCCGTCTCGTTGGGCAGCAGCTTGACTCCCTCGAAGCGGTCGGAGGCGTTGAGCACCAGCAGCGCCAGGAAGATGGTGAAGGAGGCGGCGTGCGCCACGAACTTCATGAACGGGCTCCGCAGCACCTTCCCGATCTGCGTCGCATGACGAACCCGCGGGTGGGGGTAGGTAGGGGGGGGGGCAGCGGCGGCGGTGAACGTTTAGACCCCCCTCCCCGCGCACCGGTTCCGTCGTTTTCCGTGGAGGCGCCCGCGTGAGCGATCACGAAGCATAGCGGAGGGCATGGGTTGACCGAGGTCAACGGATGGCCACCCACTGGGGGTCATGCACAGCCACGCTCGCGCGCATGGTTCCCGGTGGTTATTCAGAATGATAAAATCTACGAAACTATGAACTATTTTTTTTATTTTACCAGGTGAGCTATCTAAGTCTTTGTCCGCAGCGACCCTGGCTGGTACAAACGATAGCCCAACGAAGTGGCGGCTTACCATCATCGCGCGGATCCGGACATTAACGGCGAGAGGGCTCGTGCGGCACGGGAGGAGACCGGAGCACCCGGTGAAGCGACCCACACATGCACGAGGGGGCAACGCTGTACCCTCTATGGATGGGAGAGACGTGGATTCGTCTGCGCTCTACTGCACCGCCCGCCTTTGCTGCCGAGAGAGAGCCAGGGGCTGGCACCTCCCCGACGCCTCCACGGGGAAGGGAGTTTCGTAACCCGCGGCGATCCACCAACCCTCGCAGTGCTGAATTGCAGGAAGCCATGTGGGTAGCCACCACATCTGCCCGTACTGAACGTCCGTGAAAAAGAGCTTCACAGCTCATCGGATTCCTAGATTAGGATTCTGAGCTCGGCCTTATGGACCATCCCCCGTAAGCATTCGCAATTCCTTTTTGAAGCCTGTTTGGATTTCCCCCCGGGCTCTATCCAAAATACTCGGTCCATCACGTCACGAGAAATAATAATAATAATACAAAATTATAATACTATTACAAATATTAAATATAAAACATAGGGGGAACATAGACATGGAGTCGCGAGAGAGGGGGTAGAGAGAAAGGGGGGGGGGGGGGCAGAGAGGGGTGTAGAGAGAGAGGGAAGGGGTAAGAAGAGCAGAGCCTGAAATCTTTTGTGAAATATTTCATTTAAAAAGGGGTGGGGGGTTTACACAAAGTAAAGCATTAAAAAACAAAAAGACTAAATGATGAATGAAGCAAAGTGCCGACTACACCGAGCATCGTCTTGTTTCCTCTGATCATAAAAAAAAACAGAGAGAGGGGGGTGGGGTGGGAGGGGATCCAACGGATGCCTCGCAGGGCAGCGCGAACTGCCCGCGTGTTGGAGGACGTCCCCGCGGAAGCGGACGTCACAGAGCTGCCACTGAGATTCCTTCGAGTGATCACCTCTGGCCCACCCTGCCGCTGAACGTAAAGTTCGTCGCGTGACAATGCAAGCTCCTTTTTCCCGTTTCCGAGGCGTACTGCAAGTCGCAGGGCGTGGGTGGGGGGGGGCTCGTCCCGTTCACCGGAGACTCTCGCAAACGTGCTCGGTGTTAATTTTGTTTAGAAAGGCATAGTCATAGTAGTGGTCGTAGCGCAGTTGTGTGTGTGTTTTTTTATATAGAATATTTCAATTCCGCATCCTCCCTCAAGTCGTACATTGCAACATCCTGACGTTCTGGACGGCGTTAGCAGGGGTATCGACGGTATCAAGTAAACCCAGACTCATCAGAGCAGGCGGAGAGGGGAGGGGAATTTTCTTTGGGGAAGGGGGGGGGGGCTTGGCCAGGTCATTGCCGTTCTGGGCTCAGGTATTTAAGAACGTTCTAAGGCTTAGGAATGGACCCCACCTACGTGTTGTATTATTTTTCCTCGTCTCTTGAGCTTATACCTCAGATACTCCGGTGCTGAGATCGGGCCTTAATGAATTCAGCCATCGAGTCCGGGAAGGGGGGTTCGTGGTTCTTCCACAAACTCCATATGGTTTTCCTGGCCAGCGCCGTTGTTTTTAAAGATGTTGTTACTCTTCTTTGGTTATTTCGGTAAAGTCACGTAGAATGAGAATAAAATAATAAATTGATAAAATAAAATAAATAACACAATAAAATACTCACCGTGGAGAACTGTAAGCGACACGACCGCTGCACTCTACGACGGCTGGCACCAAACTGTGCCACACGTGCCCTCCCGCGTGGCCTTGTGGGAGCCTCGGTACCGATTAAGTTTTTTTTGTATCTTTCCTCCGGTTACGTTCCGATGACGTACACGCGTACGTCACCGGAATGGAACCGGAAGAAAAACTGATGACGCACACACGTATGTCCAGCGGAACGGTGAAAGGCTTCATGCCGATGCTTTTGAATCTCGTACCCAAACCGAGTGCAGGAGCAAGGTACCAAGCTCGCCGGATCGCCTTGAGGTCAGACTTCTAACGCCCCGGCGTTTGGGCCCCTGCACGAGGCAGAGCGCTGATGTGGCACCTCGTTTTTATGGCTATCCCCATCCCCCCACCCCCCCGAATATGACCGCGGTGCCGCCCGAGCAAGAGGCATCTAAACGCGTCCGGCACTGCCAGCCCTCTCAGCGGAGATAAAGGTGGAGTGAGGGTGTGGGGTTGACCTCGGCAACGTCGGAAATACAGTGGGAGGGGGGGGGGGCGCAGCTCATGCGCAAGCTTACCGGTGGTTATTCGAGAAATACAATCTACAAAACAACGGTTAACAATTTTTATTTTGATAATAGGTTTTTCCCCTTTTTCTGGAAAGAAAACAGGTGTTAAGATGTTAAAACACCAAACTGAAACCTTTTACAAAGAATCATGTCTGCATTAACCATAATGCTTGTGGTCAGAATGCAAACAAAAAACATACTCTGATAATATATGCAAAAAAAACTGCTTGCGTAGCTGCAAATAAGATGCGATTCATAATTAGTTTATTTCTTAAGTGGCTGCAGATAATATGCGATTCAAAATGACGTTTATTTCGGGCTAGATTGGCGTTTAACAATAGGTTTTACCCTTCCTGGCAATAAAATAGGTGCTAAGATGTTAAAACACCAAACTTGAGCCTTTTGCAAGGAATCATGTCTGTATTAACCACACATACTTGTGGTGAACATGCAAAAAAAACATGCTCTGATAATATACAGTATGCATCGTCTTTGAAACTGTTTGGTCCACACCAGTGACAACTTTCTTTTGAGCCTTGTCTCAAACGGTGTTAGACCAGAGGACGCCAAAATGTAATTCCCCACTCAGCTATGTAGCTCTTTTGCAGAAGTGACCTGGCTATCGCAAATGATAGCTCAACAAAGTGGCTCATCATCATATGCGGAAATGTAGAGCAACCAAATACTCTGAACACGTGATGTTGATTTTAAATGTGGAGAGGGAAAACCGAAGGACCCGTAGAAAAATCCACGCGACCATGGGGAGAGAGAGAGACACGCAAACTCCAAATATACAGCAGGCGTCTGGGTCGGGATCGAACCCACGACCTCCTGCATAACGGGCGAGGTAGTTAACATCTCGCCATCTATTATGGAATCGAGTGTTACCCCCTCACATGTGTGAATTTTCTCGGGGGGTGGGCAGGGGGGGGGGGGGCTCCGGTTTCCTCCCCACACGTATCAACGCCCATCGTTAATTGTCTGAAGAGCCTCTCTGATATCGCGGTGAGCCTCCGGCTCCGTGGATTGTGCAGCGCTTTTCCCGCAGCTTCGCATGGACGACGCCGCGACATGACACTCGGTTCGAGTCACATCGACATCCACCCGCGATGATGGCAAATGCGGGAAAAAAAAAAATCATCTAACATTTACGGAGAGGGCCCGTGGCACCGCCCGTCAACCCCTAAACGGGCAGCGGTGACGCCAACGCGTACCACTTCTTACGCACCGTACGTCGCCAACCGCGCTCATTAGAGGTGCGGGTGGAAGGACGACAAACTAAAAACACAAAAAGTTATTCTAAATAAATGAATTCTCAATTTAGTGTAGTGGTGTAGTGTATAGGAGTGGAGTGTATAAGAGTGTAGTGCATAGTGTAGTACTGTATATAGTGGTGTAGTGTATATGTGTGTATGTTGAACTTATTTCACGCCGTACTTAATCGGAGATGCGGGTGGTGGTGGAGGGGGGGTACCTGGCTGCAAGGTGAGATCCAGTAGGCGAGCGCGAGGATGGGCAGTGACATGGCCACGGAGAGCACCACGAGAAACTTGATGCCGTTGGACTGCTGCCTCAGGCCCGAGATGTTCTCGTACCAAATGGACAGCAGCTGCTGCTGGCAGTTGGGATGAGCCACAAACTGCAAGGCCCACAAAAGCACGCCAGCCATTGCCAGCAAGCAGCAGCAGCCAGCAGCAACCAGCAGTGGCAGCAGCAACCAGCAGTGACAGCCAGCAGCAGCAGACAGCAGTCAGCGGCAAAAACAGCAGGAGCAGCAGCATACACCGTGATGCTGCAACGCGATAGCAGTGGTGCGCCAGATAACGAAACCTCAATGTGTTCCTCAGCAACACTGCCCCACATGTAATATACACGGGCTCTTGGCCCTTCCTCACAACTACGTTGACATTTCAAGGCTCTCCTCCAAAGCTCTGCGGTAGAGGGCAAAATGACGAGGCAACGATCGCGGAGGGCAGCGGTGCGCGAAAATTAACCCAAACCCAATTCGTCAAATGCGTCGGGGTTTTTTTGTAAGTTGAGGGCGCGCCAACTTTATCCCGGCTGCCCGACCACAGTAGAGAAATGTCGTTCGAGTGACAGTCTAACTGATGTATATTTTAAATTCACAAGAGCTGGAATTCAGCCACGAACGTTGAACGCGATGTTTTTTTTTTGTTTACGTGTGTGTGTGTGCAGCATAACGATTACTTTTTTAAATATTACTCAGGAAAGACCCACTGAGCTGCTATATAAGCTCTTTTTCAGGAGCGACCTTACAAGCACAAATGATAGCCCAACAAAGAGGCTTATCATCATGTGGAGATTTATTGCAACAGTCAAATCCTCTTAAACGCGTGATGTTGCTTCTAAATGTGGAGGGAAATACCGGAGAGAGAGAGAGAGACACGCAAACTCTAAATATCCAGCAGGCCTCAAGGGTCGGGATCGAACACACGACCTCCTGTACATCAGGCGAGGTGGTTAACATCTTGTCACTGTGGTGCCCCAGTCATCGGCGACCGGGCTTAGACCGTCAACCAATTTTTGCCACAGGCAGCTTCCTGGATTCCAACCCAGGGTTGTCAACGGTACCGACTCGGTGCCCTGACCTCTGACCCCGCCCGGCCACATCATTTTTAATTCAACGATGCCAAGTGCTGCTGCGTCAACCGTACGCCGAGACGAGTTATTGCATGACCAAGGAAGGTACACCAATTAAGTGGCTACCAGCCTACCTTTGAGAGTAGCCATAATAGGCCAGGCTACTACGTCACATCTCGGTAACAACAGACAACAATTGCCCGGGACAACTGCCCAAGGGGCATAAACCATCATCACGCAAACTCCGGTCGCCCCCGCAGCAGCGGCGGCTCTTGGTTCAGCCATCGAACAAAGACGGTGATCGCTACATCGCACGCTTTCAGATGCGCTTCTAGGGCCGTCTGGAACGCTCTTCCTTCCGATATTAGGAAGCCACTGTGAGCACTATTAAATCTAAGTTAAAAACTAATCTCTTTAAGAACTGCACTTTGTGTTTATCTTGTTGTCCTTCCCCCACACCTCCAATTACTGCACCTGACATGAGCACAGTTGGTTACATACGGTGTGAAAGAAGTTCAACATAGAACAGAATCAGAATATGTATTTACACCGGAGAAATCAGATTATCAATGAAACTCTTTTTCACAGATGTCCAATAGGGGTGGGTCAGAACGTTTCAACAACAGACCATACAAAAAGCATGATCGGAGTGCAAAGTATAGGAAAGGTAAACAAATCACTTTAAAAATCTACAAATAAAATTAAACAATTTTTTTGGTATCTTCCAGGTAAGGCCCACTGAGCTATTAGCTGCTTTTCAGATGCAGCCTGGCCACAAATGATAGCTCAACAAGGTGGCTTGTCATCACGCGGAGATTTATAGGAGCCAAATAATCTAGACGCATGTTTGTAAATAATGAAGACGCATGTTTGTAAATACACTTAAATGGCCATGCTTCCCTGGCCACCGATCCCAGCGGTTCTCAACATTTTTGTGGCCACTCTGCCCCACCTTGTTGAATTTAGTTCAATCGAGTATCCCCTCTTGCCTGACCCAACATGGTTCTGAGAAATAAATGTATGAATAATGAACATCAATATTTTAACCAATTGTCCATTTTGTGAGATATCATAACCAGCTAGTAACTGCAAGCAAATGAAACAAACATTCAATGGGCGCTCTGTGCGTGTGACTTAACGTGTTCGCGCTCACTGGCTACTCTTGGAAACCGACATTGTTTACGATCAATGAGTTTAGAAAGGTCTTTTATATCTTTATAGGTATTTAAATCTTACCGTAGTTATTTTACATAGACATATTCATACGACACGATTAGGGGCCGTCCATAAATGACGTCACACGATTTTTGACTCCCCCCCCCCTCGTCACACGACGTCACAAAAAGTCAGACCCCCCCCCTCAAAAAATAAAACATGTTTCAAATCGCTTTAAACTATTGTCATTGTAGTGCGTATTTAATGTGGCGCTGCACTCTGATGTTGTATGAGAAAACATTTATTTAAAAGTCTATTTAATTAAGTATAACTTGTTGCCTATATTTATTTAAAGTTGCGCATTTTGATGTGACGTCACATTTCTCATCCCCCCCGTCGTCACACATCGTCACAAATGTCTGACCACCCCCCTCCCCCAGGTGCGTGACGTCTTTTATGGACGGCCCCTCATAACACCGATGACTTTCACGCGTATGATACAATATCACACGTTTATAAATCACCTCACGTACCCCCAGGGATATATCCACGTAACCCTATAGATTTAAATCTTACCGTAGTTATTTTACATCGACAGATTCATACGACACGATTATAACACTGATGACTCTCAGGAATTATACAATTTCACACGTTTATAAATCACCTCACGTTCCCCCTCTTTGGGACATTATCACGCATTACCCTCCTCCTCCTCCCAGGAGTGTCCAAGTATCCCCCGATTGAGAACTCACTGCGCTCTAACCCAAGTGGGTTCTCAATCGCGGACTTGAGGCCCTCGCCCCCCCCCCCCCCCGTGCTCCTGGCCCCGTACCTTCTTGACCTCGTACTTGATGGCGAGCTTGAGGCGGATGAGGGCTGCTCGCTGGCGGTCGCAGGCTGGCGGGTTGAGCTCCGCGTCGCCGTTGAGGATCGCCTCCACCTCCTCCGTGTCGCGGCACAGGTCGAGCAGCCCCACCACGAAGTCTTTGCACTGCACAGACAGCTTCTTGTAGTCGTTCTGGGACGAGCGCATCGGCGGATGAGGGGGGGGGGGGTAAGAGAGGAAGGGAGGAGGGGGGAGGAGGAGAGGTGAGGAGGAGGGAGGGAGGAGGAGGAGGAAGAAGGAGCAGGGACGGAGGGAGGGATCAGGGAGGAGGGATGGAGGGAGGAGGAGGAAAGGAGGAGGAGGGAGGAAGGAGGAGGAGGGGAGGAGGAGCGGTCATCCTCTCAACAGCGATAGCGGCGGATTTTGGCTAGCGATTGAACAGAGACGGTTGGGTCGCTTTCAGATGCGCTTCTGCGGCATTCTGGGACGCTCTTCCATTCCGATTTGAGGGTGCCACTGGAGCTGTGCATCATCCAGATTGACAAACCAATTTCTTTAGAACTATCTTTTGTGTTTTTAGGTTGTTGTCATTCCCCCCCAGCACTTCCCATTAGCATGCTTGGCTACGTACGGTGCGAAAGAAGTTCAACATACACACATACAAGAGGCCGCTTCGAAGGGAGTGGGATGTATGGGAACGAATGGGGATGACGGATGGCACGCGATGAAGGCGACGGTTCTGGCACAGAGCTGACAGGAAAGTGCGAAACAGCAAACCTGGGAGTCGCTGCTGTGGAAGCGGCTTTTAGATTGGGAACTTGCTTCATTTGCTTCCAAGATGCCGTTTGTAGCGAAAACACAAAACGTGTCGCCCGGCTCGGGAATCGAATTCGTCAGCGGCGCGCTAACCACTGCGCCACCCCTCCCCCCACACACGAAAGAACAAAGACAAAGACCCCCCGTATAGCCTTCAACAGACTGTTGGGGCAAGTGCCATATGCGAGCATGGCACACGAGGGGGGGGGGGGGCCGCACCACGCCCAGCGACCGTTGTCTCCCCAGTGGCCATGTTTACGCATCGCACCAGGTACTCATTTGAATCCACCTAGGGGAGGCCCAGGACCGGTACAGATTATCGTCACCGGTGTTGGCCGTGAGCGGGAATCTAACTCGGGTGACCGGGTTCGTATACCAACACATGCCATTCGCCACAAAGTGACGGTGACGTCACCACTGTGCCAGGCCAGGTGCACTTTGAGGCCACGTGAAGTGTCGAAGGCTCGCTGACAGGAGGTCTCGGGACAAACCCAGGTGCCGTGGGTTCGCTGACTGAGATGACCGGTAGATGCACCAGCTGTGCCAACTTGCTGCGTTTTATCCACCCGGTGCTCCGCTCGTTGTTGTGAGCGTCGCTCATTTGCACTCCGTTGTTGCTGGAGGGTGACTGCCTCCAACTCTCCAGTAGCATCCTTCACAAGCCTCCTCCGTTTAGGCCGTTCGTGACACCGCTGGTACCAGTTGTTGGCAAGTCCACTCAGCTCTACATCCTCCTGTACCATGTCACTCAATCTCTTCTCTAGCCCGTGCCGAACAAAATCTGTTTAGGTATGCAGTGGCTAAGCATGTGGGCTACATGACCCAGCCAATGTAGCTTTGCCTGCCGGAGGAGTTCACCGATGGGACTTTGCCCAGATCTTTCAAGGATTTGTGAGTTCCTCACACAATCCAGCCTGGTTAAACCCATGATGGATCATAGTCAGGGCAACCTAAATATTGCTAACTGGCGCAGATGTTCCATTACAGGGGTCCATGTTTCGCAATCATAGAGGAGGGCATGACCGTGGCTGAGAAGACCCGAAGCTTCATGTGTAGCGACAGACCAGGTTGCTTCCACACAGCGTTACACAGCCAATGAAAATATAATGCTGCCCGACTGATTCGGAGTGAGACCTCTGTGAGACCTCTGCTGTCAAATCGGAGCTGGTCATCAGCACACTGCTCAGGTATGGAAAACTCTCCCCTCTCTCCAGAATTGCCCCATCACCAATTGGGAGTTGTGGGGGTGGAATGTTCGATGGCAGAAAATACCCAGGCGGGTGCTTAGCTTTGGTGGGGCTGATGTAAGGCCCCACCTCTTAGTGTCACGCTCCAGGTTCAGCCGGTTCAGCAGCAGTGCCTCCAACATAACGACACACACGGACACAAAGACACAGACACACACGCGCGCACCTTGAACTCCTTCTCGATGTTGGCCAGCATGGCGAGCTCATTGCTGAGTTCGAGGGCAGTGAGCACGGGGTCCTCGCTGGACAGCGACAGGTACGCGGGGCTGGCGAGGCCGCGGTACGCGTTGATGCGCGAGCGTGAGTGGCTGAAGGCGTCGTGCCGCTGCTTCTCGGTACACTCGCCGCACTTGCAGAAGTAGTCGTGCGGCCGCTCGATGCGCGCCCCCCTGCGCAGCAGGATGTGCACGATCTCGTACTCCTGGCAGTGCGCTGGGAGCATGCGGTGGGGGTCGGGGGGGAAGGGGGGGGGCGACACGCGTAGTGGACGACGCAGTCAAGGCGAGTGCCGTTTTGTTGCGACACGAGAGGGTGCCGCGAACGGCGAGATGTCAACTACCTCGCCTGGTATGCAGGAGGTCGTGGGCTCCGATCTCGACCCTTAAGATGCCTGCTGTATATTTTTAGTTTGCGTATTCTCTCTCCCCGTGGATATTTCTCCGGGTCCTCTGTTTTTTTTCCCTCCACATTTAGAATAAACGTGCGTCTAAGAGTATTTGGCTGCTATAAATACCCACGTGATGATGAGCCACTTGGTTGAGCTACAATCAGCAGACAATTTCACTTGAGTCTTGCCTTTATGGCACGAGATGTTAACTCCCTTGCCTGGTATGCAGACATGGGTTCGATCCCAACCCTGACGCCTGCATATTTGGAGTTTGCACGTTCTCCCTGTGGTCCCGTGGATTTTTCTCCAGGTCCCCCATTTCCCCCCAGATTTAGAATCAACGTCACGAATTTAAGAGTAATTGTCCGCCATACATTCCAAGTGATAATGATAATCCACTTCGTTGAGCTCTAATTTGTTGCCCAGGTCGCTTCTGCAAAATAGATACATAGCTCAGTAGCCATTACCTGCCACAATAAAAAAAAATTGGATTATAGTTTAGTTTAGAGAGAGAGGCAGGCAGGGACCTACGATATATCTCATTAGCAAAGGGTGACCTCCGCTGGGAGGTCATCACCACCACGGAATCGCAATTGGAGCAAAACAAAAATAAGCGGCATGAACGAGCAGAATAGTGATGATAGTGATGATCACAATGACGTGTGTATTGATGTTGAACTTCTTTTGCACTGTACAGGGGACCTTAGGCGGTCGCCTTGGGCACCAAGTCAAGTGGGGTGCCAAATTCGAGGAGAAAATTTTCATTATTTCAATTCTCGTGCGCGTACAGAGGGAATATGAATTATAATTCATTTCTCAGACGGACGGGCAAACTGAATAGTTATGCCTCTGTTTAAAAAAGAATATGATAAAAAAAAACATTCAACGGAAAATAGGGGCAAAGTGTTTCCCATTGCAAAGTACCTTCGTCATAGAGAAGGTACTTTGCAAGCCCATCAACAAAGATTATTTCATGAAGCCATCCATATATACAGACACAATTTCCACCGAGAGGATGGGTACAAACTCAGCAATCATTGGAAGGACGTCATCAACCAGTTTAAGTCATAACTGGCTGTGATGTTTCCATCTTGTCACCTTCCGATGTTAGTTTTATTTTACCAAAGATGTGACAAGTAATTCCAGTTTCTGCGGTGCCTCCCATGCATTGGGAGTAGCACAAGTTGTTAATTTCTCCACGTCCCATGCGGCTCCCCCTCTCCTAATTCCGAATTCACATCAACATAACCATCTACGCTTTTACAGGCCGCAGGGCACTTGTGCCCCGCCCACTTGGTTCTGATAGCAGGACGCCTGGGCTACGCCCGTTTTAAACCTTTAACCACAGCTTGCCTTTAGTGCGTTTCCCCCCTTTTTCCACTGATGACAGTCGCTTGTGTTGCGATCGAAACGTCGCAGCTAATTTTATTTTATTATTTTCTGAACCTATCAACGTGACTTTACCGAAAGACCCAAAGGATATGAATGCCTGCTGTCACGAAAGCTTTAAGTCAAGATTTAAAGTGTTTCCCAGCTTACCAAAAACCTCGCGCTTAGATCTGCCCTTGGGGTTTGGGGATGGTGGTGCTGATTTCATGGTATGCCTAGGGCGCTGCCAGTTGCTGGCAGCTGGTCTAGGGCCGCCCCTGTACATAGCCAACTGTGCTAATCGAAGGTGCGGGGAAAGGACAATAAACTAAACACATAAAAGCAGTTCTAAAGAAGCTAAAGTGTTGTTTTGGGTCAGGGATCGCCTTTCCAGTTGCTCACTGAGCGACTGCGAGAGTGAGGGCAACATTTCTCGGTGCCGAAGTCAGTGGTGACCCCCCCACCCCCCGATGATCACGATGATCATCATGATCATTGTGATCATCATTGTGAACATCATCATCATTGTGATCATCATCGTGATCATCATAATCATCGTGATCGTCATGATCATCATGATCATCGTGACCATCATGATCATCGTGACCATCATGATAATCATGATCATCACGATCATAGTGATCATCGCGATCATCGCGATCATCGTTAACCATCGTGATCATTATCATCTTGAACATCATCACACCCCCCCCCGCCCCCTAGGTATCCACAGCCGACCTGCAAGGATGATGGGGGTGATGTCGGGAGAGAAGCGCGTGCCGTCTTCGTCGTAAGCGTAGAAGTCGTCGTCCTGCGTCTCCTGTTCGCGGGGGCTCAAGATGAGGCGCTTCTCACCGGCGAAGGCCGGGTGGGCGAGGATGGCTTCCACAATTCGCACGTAGCCTGAGACGCACACCGCGCGACGTCATTGTTGTCATCATCGTGATCATCATGATCATCATGGTGATCATCATCGTGATCATCGTGCTTATAGTGATAATCGTGATCATCATGATCATCATGGTGATCATCATCGTGATCATTGTTGTGCCACTCGTTCACCCAGGAAAGCCTCGCCTGGCAGAAGGGTCCTGGCAGGTTTTTTTCAGAGCAGGGGGTGATGCTGTTGCTGCGTGCAATCCCAATTGAGTGATTTGCAGGACATTTCTCCGCATTGGGCTGTTTTTTAGCCAAGAGCAGTTATGCTGTGCTTTTTTAATTTGCTATGGGAGAACCAGAAGCAAACCCACGTGGAAAAAAGGAGTAGATAATGCAAAACATCACACAGGATGGAGTGCGAATCGGAAATCAAACCCAGGCCCTTCTTACTGTGAGGCGGCACGAGCATCAGTCGAATAATCCAATAAGCATGTTAAAATGAATAAGTCGCAACACACAGTGACTCCAGGTCGCGACCCTTTGTGATTTTCCGCTTGCTGGAACGGGACGTTACCAACAGCCGAAGAGCTATTCCCACTCCTCAATAAAAGCACACAAATACCACTCAAGCAGTTCCATTGCTGGTACGTTATGTCCCATCCTGAGCCGGCTTACCACGCGTCAACACACTCATCATATTTATCACGGGACCTTTTTTTACCGGTATCAAAGTATGAAAAGTAAGAATAGGTTTAACCCTTTTTAGCAATAACACAGGAGGCGTTAAGATGTTCAAACACCAAATAAATGCCTTTTGTAAGTAATCTAGTCTGCATTATTAGCCACACGTACCTGTGGTCAACATGCAAACAAACATGCTCTTATAATGTGCGCACTGTCTTTGAAAGTGATAAGAAGGCAACTTCCTCAGGTGCAGGTCAATCAGTTTCAAAGACAATACGTACATTCTAAAAGCATGTTTGCTCGCATGATCACCACAAGTACGTGTGTGGTTAATGCAGACTCGATTCCCTGCAAAAGGCATCTATTTGGCGTCTGAACATGTGAACACCTCCCGTTGTATTGCCATGAAAGGGTAAACACCTATTCATGCTGTTCACGCTCATCATGTGTGATGCCCTGTCACGAGCTCGCCTCCTCGCAGAGTAGAACGCAGCGCGCGTAAACCGTTAACAAAACCCGAGCCGCTTAATTCGATCTACCGCGGGGAATGGGACAAATCGTCTGCCGCCCAACGCCGGTTCGGTGATTCGCTGCGAGGTTCGATGGGGGTACGGGGTGTTGGACGACTGTGAGGTGAGGAACGAAATCGTGGCCTTCTACTCTGCTCGTGGAACTGTTGCAGCGATTCGGTGCTCGATGTGATGACGGCAACAATAGAAAACAGCTCATTGGGTACTTGCGAGGCGCCTTGATTGAAATTACCCCCCCCCCGGGAAAAATGTAGACAATAACACTGTCTTCCTGCCTTCTAACACGGCAGTAACGCAATGCCACTGGCATGACCACATTGGCATGACTACGATGATGTGACTACGAGGCAAGGCCGTAATTATAATATATATTGGGGGGGACACATCCACCCCCAATATTCAAATATGCTGAAAATGTCCTCCCCCCAATATATTGCTATAAAATAGATCTATGTTTATATGATTGTGGTTATGGTTGTACTTTATTCATCCATTATCTCTACCATTACATACAATGAAACAAGAAAATGTAAAAAAACAGAGCAATGTAATACAATACACTATTAGACATTATTGTTAAAAAAAGTCCATCCTACTATGTTTTAGTGATTTTTTTTTATTTTAGGCAGGAAATGGCAGGAAATGAGTTTTCATATTTAGATTTTTTTCTGGGGCGGGACCCCCAGACCCCCTGGAAGATTTGGTCCCCCCCCAATGTTGACTCCATTGCTACGGCCTTACTACGTGGACATGACTACGATGACATGACCACGATGACGCGACCACGATGGCAGGACCACGATTACATGACCACGATGATATGACCAGGATAATAGGACCACGATTACATGACCACGATGGCATGACTACGATGACATGATCACGATGATATGACTACGATGACATGATCATGATGATATGACCACAATGACATGACCACGATGACACAACTACGATGGCACGACCACGATGGCACGATCACAATGGCACGACCACGATGACATGATCTCGATGACATGATCACCATGACATGATCACGATGAAATGATCTCGATGACATGACCACGATGACACAACTACGATGGCACGACCACGATGACATGATCTCGATGACATGATCTCGATGACATGATCACGATGACATGACCACAATGACACGACCACACGATGACACGACCACAATGACACAACTACGATGGCACGACCACGATGGCACGACCACAATGCCACGAGCACAATAACAGAATCACGACGACAGGATGACGATGACACGACCACGACGACAGGACTACGACGACAGGATGACGATGACACGACCACGACGACAGGACTACGACGACAGGATCACGATGACACGACCGCGACGACACGACCGCGGTCGACGGCACACCGCGACTTGGTCAGGGGCCCCCGCGCACCCTTGCTGATGGCGAGCATGAGCGCGTCGCCGACCCGCGACAGCTTGTCGCGCTTGAGCAGCAGCTCGGCCACCTCGAGGTGCTCGTTGCCCACGGCGAGCTGCATGGCGTTCTGGCCCATGTAGTCCACGCAGTTGACGTTGAGCGAGCGGCCAGCGCCGCCGTCCTCCAGCATGCGGCGCACCACGGGGATGTTGCCGTACTCGGCCGCGTCGAGGAAGCGCTCCTCCTCGGCCGTGAGGCTCGTGGCCCGCTCGCTGAACATATACGCGGGGCCCCGCACGGCCTGACGCCGGCCCGCCTTCTCCCGCATCATCGTGGGCCGCCGCCGTATCGTCTGCCGGTTGACGGACGCTCTCCTGCGGGTTGGCGGGGAGAAAGAGGAGAAGAAGCAAAAGTTTTTTTTTTATTTTTGTTGGGGAGCCAAATGGTTCGAGGTGGTCGCCGGGTGGCTCCGAAGTCGGAGCGCCGAGGTCTTGGGCTGGGGACTGCCCACGATCGACACCGGCTTCTCGAACAGAGCGAGCCGCTGGTCACAAGCTCGGCGACCTGATGGCTAATTGGCTGTGTCGGGTGGCGGCGGGTTTGATGACACATATATGTCTTGATTTGAAGCTTTTGTGACTGGAGGAATCCATACCTTTGGTTCTTTCGGTAAAGTCACGTAGGTATAAAATAAAATAAATCACGCCATTTCGGGCGCAACACCTGATAACGGACGCTTGTGTTGCGCCTGAAACGTCGTAATTTATTTTATTTTATACCGACGTGACTTTACCGAAAGAACCAAAGAGTATGGATACATTTATATTTACGACAAAAAAACTTTATTATGGATGACATTGGTCGCGAAAGTCTCCTACTATGTGTTATGAAGTGAACTATCCTAATCCCCCGCCCCCACCCCCCTTTTGAAATTATAACAAATTGTATAAAGACAAAGATCTCCCATGTAGCCTTCACAGACTGTTGGGGCAAGTGCTGTTAGCGAGTAGCACCCTATGAAGGCTGCCATGGCACACGAGGAGGTGGGTGGCCAGCACCACACCCGGCCGCCTTTGTCTCGCCAGCGGCAAAGTTTACTACACACTGCACCAGGTACTCATTTGAGGCTGAGTCGACATAGGGAAGCCCAGAATCGGTTCAAATAATTGTCACCGGTAATGGTGGCCGTGAGTGTGAATCAAACCCGGGCTGCCGGATTCGTAGCGCAGCGCACTAACCGCTCCCCACACATTATTGTACAAAGACACAGATCCCCCTTATAGCCTGTAACAGACTGTTGGAGTCAAGTGCTGCTAGCGAGCACTTATAAAGGCCGGCACGGCACACGAGGGTGTGGGTGGCCAGCACCACGCCCGGTCCCCTTTGTCTCCCCAGTGGCGATGTTTACACACCCCACCAGGCATCCATTTGAGGCTGAGTCGACCTAGGGGAGGCCCAGGACCGGTTCAGATAATCGTCATTGACCGTGAGTGGGAATTGAACCCGGATCGCCGGGTTTGTAGTGCAGTGCGCTAACCGATACACTACCGCTCCCCACACATTCAAGTAAACGCGCAGACACACGCACACACACAGACACACACGTATATATGTATAAAGCAATCACGAACACATCGCCGGGCAAGTCCCGGGGTCAATTGGCGAGCCATCCCAGAGCAAATCTTGAAAGCCCAGCCATGCGACGCGGACCTGGAACCAAGGCCGTAGCCATGGAGTCAACATTGGGGGGGGGGATCAAATCTTCCAGGGGGTCTGGGGGTCCCCCCCCAGAAAAAAAATCTAAATTTGAAAACTAATTTCCTGCCATTTCCTGCCTAAAATATTAAAAATTCACTAACACATAGTAGGATGGACTTTTTTTTACAATAATGTCTAATAGTGTATTGTATTACATTGCTCTGTTTTTTTCTTTTTTACCTTGTCTTGTTTTATTGTATCTAATGGCTGAGATTAGGGATTAATAAAGTACAACCATAACCACAATAATATAACAGAAATCTATGCATTGTTATATGAAGACAAGTCCAGATATTGTGGCCAAGGTTTAGCAAATTGTTGTTTTTATTTACATATTTACAAGTAAACTTGGGTGGGCAGCAGCGGCGTTTGCTCTGCTCTGCTCTCCTATCTCCTCCTCTCCAGCCCTCTCTCCTCTGGTCCTATATTCTCCTCTCTTCTCCAGTCATCTCTTTTCCTCTCCCCTGCTCTGCAGTCATTACTGCTCCTTTCCTCTGCTCTCCTCTCCTATCCTCTCATCTCCTCTCCAGACAATGATAAGTGTTTTGACTTGCCATTCTTCAAGCAAAGGATCCAAAGGCCTTTTTGCGCTTATCATTGACACCGATAAAAGACTGGCATATTCCTTCAAGGTCCAGTCTCTCCAGTTTCTCCTGGTGCACGTGACACAAGGCCATATTATTCAGCCTTGTTTGACTCATCGAAGATCTAATCCATGTCTGAAGCCTCCTCAGGACACTAAAACTCCTCTCAGCCTCTACAGAGGAGGCAGGGACGACCAGCAGAAGCCTTACTAAAGCTTCCACCTGACTGAAGAGACCTCTCATCTCTGGCACAATTTCCCTAATAATGCTAGCAACATCTGAGCTCGTTTGATGTGTAGTTCGTCCCAAACATGGCCAGCTGCACCTGCAGTCATCTTGAATTCAATTCAGGAGACTCGTCTACCATCTTGTCCATGTCTCCGCGTAGCAGCACATTCTCAAGCTGCTGCAGCTTGTTGAATCCAGCTTGATCAAACCTTTCTATGAATTGAGTATTCACTGTGTCCAAGGCGTTGTACAATTGGGCTCTGTACAAAGATTGGGCATGCGGATGGACATGGGCTGCAGCCTGACTGGTGTAACGTTTTGTAGGTTTGCGGATATGAGGCATCTGAATCGGTTGTAGGTTCAACTTTGTTGCCATAGCAGTTGCTTTTGCGAACAAGATATCAAAGTGCTCCTCTGTTCGCTTGTCCTGCATGCTTGTTTTGACATGGTCCACAGCCTCCAACATGCCTGAAACAGTCTGTTTCCTAAGCTGCAGGGAGGTGTTCAGGCACTGCAAATCCCCCAGAAGGTCTTCAGCCATTACAAGGCCGAGCACAGTGTTCCTTTTAGAAATGTTCCATGAAGACCATTGGCCTTAGTTGAAGTGTCAGATGAGCTGCATGATGCCATTTATTAAAGGGCTTTCAGCACTGACTCACACTGGCTGAGAACTGAGCGGATGGCAGGGGTGCAAACAGTCCACCTGGTGGGACAGAGAGGTTTCAACGAGGTGAAACCATGCTGTGATTTTGCCATTTCCTGGAAAATCACCTTGAACTTGCCAGCTTGATTAAAGAAGCCCCCCAATTCATGCACCAGACCCATTGATTATCTTACTAGTGGAGAGGCTACACAGGCAGCCTACGTAACTAATTTAATGCAGTGTGGACCACAGTGACAATACATAGCCAGCGGTTGTTCTTTCCTTAAAATGGCTTGCACCCCCTGCAAGTGTCCAGCCATTTTTGTGGCACCATCGAAGTTGGGACAGAGGAAAGCCTAGACGCATCATCAGATAACATGCAATCTTGGCTATATATTGCCCTGTCGTTGATGACACTTCGTAGAGTCCCAGGAATTATTCCTTTGATTGTAGATCTGCATCTACAAAGCACAAACACATTGACTACTGTTCAACTCCTGATATATCCTGGGTGCCATCAAAGATAAATGCGAGCTGGACCACTGGTATTGATGTTTTTTTTTTTTCCCGACACAATCTTTGACGATTGTATTGCCCACCAGCTTCAAAATTTAGTTTTGCATTTGGGAACTGGTGAAATGAAAGTGACCTTTCAGCCAGGTGGTCAGCTCTACATCGCTCTCTGCCTTGTACTTTAGAAGCTGGCTGAAATTCCCACTCTCCTTATCAATGCCTCGAAAAGCCAGACCTTGCCGTGGCAAACACTTCACACCCCCAACAATCTTCATAAGATCTATCCTCGCTTGTTGCTGCTGTCTTTCAAGTTCACGTGAAAATTGCACATTAACAGATTTCGGCTCCTGAATCCGAGTCATCACAGCTAATTTGTGACACTGGCTGTCTTTATGTGCACTCAGTTTCTCCAAAGAATGTAAGTTGTTTTCTCTCTCTCTCTGTGTCTCTGTCAAATTTGACACTTAACTTCAAATTTAGCAATATTTGGAGATCGTAATCAATCAGGCTATGCGTTAACTGTGTGTTAGCCGACTCTCTGTGTTGCATTACATTACATTTCCTAAAGATTTGCAAAATTTTGTTTTCGCAAACTATTTCTCTCTCTAAAAATGTTCCCGGCTCTCATAGGGCCATAAAATCTTCTTCTTTTCCTCCGTTCGCTTCGGGGTGGATTCATTGACATGCTAATTTCTCTGCCCCAGCAACAGCCCTAGCAGACCCACCTCTCTCTCTGCCCAACCTCCCCCCCCCCTCTCTATTTAAGGCCTCGACACAGAGGCATTGGGTCTCTGTGTCTATGTTGTGTGTCTCTCTCTGTGTCTGTGTTGTCTCTATCTGCTTGTGTGTCTATCTGTGTTTCTCCGTGTCTGTGTTTTGTCTCTCTCTCAAATTTAGTTGTACCTGATGACGGTTGCTTGTGTTGCAATCGAAACGTCGTACTCTATTATATAATTTGTTTTCTTTCTACGTGACTTTACCGAAAGAACCAAAGAGTGACTGTGATGTTTCTATCCTACCTGCCTATGTCAGCTATTATTTCCGACTCTGTCTTTCTCTCTCTCTGTGCATCTCTCTCAGATCCCTACTCCAGTGACCAGGGTGCTGCTGCAGGGTCCACTTTCTGCCCCGCCTTCCCCCCCACTTCTCTCTCCCCCCCTACTGCCGAGGCCTGTATAACCTCGTGCCACGGCAGATCTCCCGCCTACTACAGCAGTATTTTCTTGCTGTGGTTGTCCCACCTGATGACGATTGCTTGTGTTGCGATCGAAACGTCATGATCTATTATTTTTCTACCTACGCGACTTTATCAAAAGAACCAAAGAGGATGGATTCTTGCAGTCACGAAAGCTTCAAATCAACATAGCATACACCAATCATACGCACGGGAATACACGACACGCGGGTCAAGGGTTAAGGGGCACTGACGTCACACGGCGCAAGATACAAGAGATGTGAATTCCGAAGGGGGGCGGAGATAGAGGGTTTAAAAGGGGCTGTGAAACGCGTGTTCCGAGGATGGTTTGAGGAACGAGTGTGGCTGTACTTGGAAGCATAAAGAAGGTGCTTACCAGTCTCCGACTCCTCTTCACATACAACCATAGCAAGGGGGACGGTGGGGCATGGGGAGAGCGAGTACTACCGTGCG